TCCCGACGTGGGATTTGATAATATTTTCACTTTTGCTGGGCCAAAAAGGTAAATCTATATTTGAATGAGAAAGGGCCTACCTTATTGTTTTGAAATTGTTTTCCATTACCGTTCCTCTGCTCCATTGGTTCTTTCCTCTTTTTCCCCAGATTCATCAATCTCTTATTAGCCTCGAGAGAGTTAACTCACCGGAAATTTCGAATCCACCGTCTGACTCTGAGAATCTGTTTTTTTATTATTCGTTGGATCTAGATCTGAGCGTCGGTGAGAGATTTTCCGGAACTCTGATCCGTTCCAAGAAAAATGGCGACGATGAAAAGTTTGATAGGTCTGATTAACAAAATCCAGAGGGCTTGCACTGTCCTCGGAGATCATGGCGGTGAAGGAATGTCTCTTTGGGAAGCTCTCCCAACCGTCGCTGTCGTTGGTGGCCAGGTTTGATCTCTTTCTATAAACATATATAGATTTGTGTGTTAGATCCGATCTCACTCCTCGCCTCTTTCCATCGCTTTAATGTTTCTGATCTAATTTAGTGTTGAATTTTTTGAATCAGAGTTCGGGAAAATCTTCAGTTCTAGAAAGTGTTGTGGGAAGGGATTTTCTACCTCGTGGATCTGGTAAGTTTACCGCTCGTTGTGCAATTTCATCTGCTGTTCGATGCTTGAAATTAGGTTTTAAACAGGTTTCGGAAGTTTTCGTGCCTTTAGTTGATACCATTTGATCGATCAGGTATCGTTACAAGGAGGCCATTGGTGTTGCAGCTTCACAAAACCGAAGAAGGAACAACCGAGTATGCTGAGTTTCTTCATGCTCCTAAGAAGAGGTTTGCTGATTTTGGTAGGTTAATCGAAGAATCTTTCGTGGGACATTGCAATTGTCAATGAATATTCGCTCCAATTGCTTAAAATGATGAGATCCAGAAACAGATTAGTAGGTTGGGCTAATAAGTGTTCTTCTATTTGCAGCTGCTGTGCGAAAGGAAATCGAGGATGAAACTGATCGTATTACTGGGAAGTCGAAACAAATCTCAAACATTCCAATTCAGCTGAGCATATATTCCCCTAATGGTTTGTGCTTAGTACCACGTTTCATGTAATGCGTAGCTATTGTAATTACTGTAGTACATATAAGAGACCAACACAGTATATTACTTACTAATATTGTTAATACCAGCAGCAATGAGTTAAAATTAGCTGGATCAGATTTTTGATATTCTATTACGTCTCTCTCATGTGAGTTTGATTTCTCACTTTATGGGGATGCTTTTCTACGCAGTTGTTAATCTGACGCTTATAGATCTTCCCGGTTTGACCAAGGTGGCTGTAGGTAAGAGTTTGATACGTCATATCATTGGTTCTTCTTCCCAGTACTTTGTGCTTACACTGTTCATTGACATGAATGTTACTCTTGTAGACGGTCAACCGGAAAGTATCGTCCAAGATATTGAAAATATGGTCCGCACTTATGTTGAGAAGGTCAGTTTTAATCTAAGCTATTGATGAGAAGATTTCAAAACTCTTTGTCATGTATTCCAACCAAGCATTTGATCATTTTCACACTACGATATGTTTTCCGATAATCCATCAGATATGAAAGTGATCCGGAAGGATCAAACTTTTTCTCTATGATGTTAACTCTAGAAGCTTATCCTATGAGCTGTTTTATTGCAGCCAAATTGCATCATATTGGCTATTTCTCCAGCCAATCAAGATATTGCTACGTCAGACGCAATTAAACTTGCTAGAGAAGTTGATCCTACAGGTACTATCTAGTTGTAGTTTCATAGTAAGTAGTATCTTTTCACTCTCCAGAACATTTTTGTAATTTCTTCTAGCATAATATCTGTAGGTGAAAGGACTTTTGGAGTGGCAACCAAGCTTGATATCATGGATAAAGGAACAGATTGTCTAGATGTAAGAATCTTTCTTTACTCCTACATCTTGGTGTCTCAACTAAATTAATTACTTTGACACCTCCACTCGGTACTTGATGAAGGTTCTTGAGGGAAGGTCATACCGTTTGCAACATCCCTGGGTCGGAATTGTCAATCGGTCACAGGCTGATATCAATAAGAGGGTTGATATGATTGCTGCGCGTAGGAAGGAGCGTGAATATTTCGAAACAAGCCCTGAATACGGGCACTTGGCCAGTAGAATGGGATCAGAATATCTAGCAAAACTCTTGTCTCAGGTACCCTTATGATGTACTCGCTCAGGTTTCACCGAAATCAAAGCTTTAATGCATAGCGTTGACTTTCTTCCAACTTTTTCATTTCCTCTCTACCAGCACTTAGAGACTGTTATCAGGCAGAAAATCCCCAGTATTGTTGCTTTGATCAACAAAAGCATCGATGAGATAAATGCAGAACTGGATAGGATTGGGAGACCTATTGCCGTAGATTCAGGGGTAAGATCTTAAACCTTTATGTTATCGGTATTCAGAGTTGCACCGGAATCAGGTGAATTTACTCCCCAAATTTTTATTCCAGGCCCAACTTTACACAATTTTGGAACTCTGTCGGGCATTTGATCGTGTCTTTAAGGAGCACTTGGATGGAGGGTAAGTGAATTAGTAATTCTTCTTCTTAGCATAGCTCTTATATTTGACTTGTCTGTACAATTTCTTTGGGAAGATCAATTTAGTCTATTAATGGTTTATAAGACAGTTGCCTTTGAAGAGTAATATGCTGCTCTAAAATGATTCAGTCGCTAGTTCTGCTCAGTTTCTAGACTAAGGATTGGCAGTATTAGTCAAGTTTCCTGCAATGATGACCTTGTCATAGATGTTCGCTATAAATGTTTCACATCATTTCTCAACGTAACTCTGGAGAACTCGGGTTTCTCACATTTATCATGTTGTTTGTACCAGACGACCTGGTGGAGACCGGATTTATGGAGTTTTCGACCATCAATTACCAGCAGCCTTGAAGAAACTTCCATTTGATCGACACCTATCTACTAAAAACGTCCAGAAGGTTGTTTCAGAAGCAGATGGTTATCAGCCACATCTTATTGCTCCTGAACAAGGATACAGAAGGCTCATTGATGGATCCATTAGCTATTTCAAAGGGCCAGCTGAAGCCACTGTTGATGCAGTATGCTTCCGTATCTTTATTAGGTCCATTACTTCGAGACTTAATTTCGTGAAAATTGACTATATCTTTGGCTCCTGTTTGCTATATCCTAGGTGCATTTTGTATTGAAAGAGCTGGTCAGAAAGTCTATTTCAGAAACAGAGGTGAGAAAAGAGGCCTTCTGTTGTGAGAACTCTTCCTAGCTCTTAACGCTCTGTTGCAATCCTATAATGCCATTGTCCTTTCTTTATCAGGAGCTGAAGCGATTCCCGACTCTAGCAAGCGATATAGCAGCTGCTGCAAATGAAGCTCTTGAAAGATTCAGAGACGAAAGCAGGAAAACGGTTCTTCGTCTGGTGGACATGGAATCGAGCTACCTCACAGTTGAGTTCTTCAGGAAACTTCACCTCGAACCTGAGAAAGAGAAACCAAACCCGAGAAATGCCCCACAACCAAACGCAGACATCTACTCCGACAGTCACTTCAGAAAGATCGGTACGTGTCTCTGGCTTCCCTCACTATGAATAGAGACATAGCAAACCTGTGTTGACTATGAATTAATAACTCAGGATCCAACGTGAGTGCATACATAAACATGGTCTGTGACACATTGAGAAACTCTCTTCCCAAAGCTGTTGTTTACTGCCAAGTCAGAGAAGCTAAGAGATCGCTCCTCAACTTCTTCTACGCTCAAGTCGGCAGGAAAGAGGTAATCAATTACCTTTTTTCCTTTGTTTGATTGTTATGCTCACAAAATTGAATCAATTTAAAGAGTGAAGAACACTTTCTAATAATAAATAAATATATGGTGCAGAAGGAGAAGCTTGGGGCGATGTTGGACGAAGACCCACAGCTAATGGAACGAAGAGGAACCTTAGCGAAACGGCTCGAGCTTTACAAACAAGCTAGAGACGACATCGATGCTGTGGCTTGGAAGTGAAGGTGTGATCAAGGGGTTTCCTAAGAAATATTCTTTATATTTTAAATTTCTTTGAATCGTGTGGGCACTGCATTATATAATAGATATGTTGGGAGTTGTAGCTTCCCATCCATTGCTATACACACACATACACACGATAACTCATGTGTTTCTTCGGTCACTACTAATCTCTGCTTCCCACTTTTTGGTTTGTATCTTCGATTCTTGAATACTGTTTTAGAACGGTTGATTCATATTTAAAATTTCGCAGTTTTACATTAAGACAAGGATGGAACTATGAATGTTACCATATGGAAGAATTTGACCCGCGGTTTGTATTCTATGCCGCGTTTGTGTCACGATTCGGCTCCAGTTCAAGTTGTAATAGCTAAACAAGAAAGCCATTTTTCTTGGACAAATAAACAATTCATTTTTCTCATTAAGAAAGCACTAACTTTTAATCAATCACAGTTTTCTTTCGTTACGGAATACAAAACGTAAAAAAATAATTTTCCATTTCAATAAGAACGAGCAGTAAGTAATTAAGATAGAAAGTCGGAAACCATATAGAAATTTATCCATTTAAAGATCGACGCTTTGCTCAGTGGGATAAGCTCAACCAGTTGTTCAAGTTTTCCACTGTTTAAAAAAAGTAATTGAATCCTACGAAGATGATCTTGTTTGTATTGTAGATACTAGATAATGCAGTTGTGCGTTTGCATATAAATTCTATAAAAAGGTGTCCCTAAACCAGCTGCAACGGATCACATCCTTTTTTGTCTTTAAAACAATGCTTTAAGTTGTTAAACTAATGAGCCTGTTGCACAAGGTTTATTTGAGATGAGGTTAAAATGATGTGTATTAAGTATTTTACGTAATCCTTAAGATTCGGGATTTAGTAATAAAGTCGTGGAATCATCGCAACTGTATTTGTTGTGTTTCAATATCTTCAAAGCTGTGAAAATAAAAGTCAAAAAAGACCTTTTTAACTTCCAGCTGTCAATGTGCTGTGAATTTGGGAAAGGTTTCTATCCGGTTACCGTAGAGACACAAGTACCCAATCCTTTGTCTGTTTTCTGGTCTTTGTCTACCTGTGGCTTCTGAGTCTCTGTCAACATCACACTATCAAAGCTCTTTACTTTTCAACCGACTTTTCCGTGTGTGTGTACGGACCTTAAAAGCCTCTCTCTTTCTGAGTTCTGAGGATCTGAGAGCCGAAGATCATGGAGGAAAGCCAAGAACTTGAGTTGTTGACTCAGCTCAGAAAATCGGTCGAGAAATTATCTTCTTCCACAGAGGTAAATCATATCCGACGCTTTAAATTCATCACAAAGTTGTAATCTCTCCGTTGCTGGTTTTTATTAATGCGTTTTATGGGGTTTTCTGGTCTACACTTTAAACTGTCTCACATCGTCACTCTGGTTTATTTGGTTCCCATTATGAATGAGCCGTCTGATTAGGTTTGAGCCTCACACCGGAAACCCTAAGAGTAGTGAATGTTCAGAAATTTTCTGATACATGGTTTGCTTTGCTCTGTTCTGATTTTGTTGTTTCCTCTGAAAGGGATATGAGAAACCGACATTGATGAGGTTCCTGGTGGCAAGATCAATGGACGCAGACAAAGCAGCAAAGATGTTTGTTGATTGGCAAAAGTGGAGAGCCTCCATGGTTCCTCCAACTGGGATCCCAGACTCAGAAGTGAAGGATGAATTGGAATTCAGAAAGATCTGTCTTCAGGGTCCAACCAAATCCGGACACCCTTTGGTGCTTGTCATAACCTCTAAGCATTTTCCTGCCAGGGATCAAGCCAAGTTCAAGAGTAATCACCTCTCCTTGTATATAAGGCTTTGAATATATTTTTTTTGATATAAAGTGTTCAGTTTTTGAGTCAATATTATGTGTGTTTTCTTTGAGTAGATTCTTGAGATTAGTATCTATGGACTAATCTTTCATGTGTTTGGTGTTGCAGAGTTCGTTGTTCATGTGCTAGACAAAACAATCGCAAGGTGTTTACACATTACTGAAACCAAAACAGTTCAAAACGCTACTCTTTAGGTACTTGGATTATATTACAAGCTTTTTGGTTGATATGTTTCAGTGGCATCAAAGGCAAAGAAGTAGGAGATGAGAAGTTGGTGTGCGTTGTTGATCTAGCAAACATTACGTACAAGAACCTTGATGCTCGTGGAATGATCACTGGCTTTCAATTCTTACAAGTAAGCATCCTCTCTCTCATTTCTGAAACAATGTAACTCACTCACACCCACACAAAAAAAAGTCGCTCCTTCTAAAAAATTTTAAAAAACTTCTCCAGTCTTATTATCCGGAGCGCCTTGCAAAATGTTACATCTTGCATATGCCTGGATTCTTCGTGAGCGTTTGGAGATTCGTCTGCCGCTTTCTAGAGAAAACAACTCAGGAAAAGGTTTGATCTTTATAATCTTCTCTCTTGATATATCTATCACCAGAGGTCCTTAAGCAAGTCTCAAGCACAATACTTTTGTTGTTTGTTGTTGTATAGATTGTGATAGTAACAGAGGGAGAAGAACAGAGAAAGTTCGAGGAAGAGGTTGGAGCAGAGGCTTTACCAGAAGAATACGGAGGCCGAGCTAAGCTCACATTAATCCAAGATGTCATTCTTCCTCAGACTGCTCCAGAAATCTTACCAACAAACAACAATGTTTAACTCTTGGAAGCATTTAATCCTTGAACCCCTAAGCCCTGCTTTAATCCATTATTATTTATTTCCCTAATGCTTTTAGTCTGTAATGATTAGAACAAAACTTTCGTTAGAACTTTCCAACAACTTTAAATTCCCAGAAGAAGTAATGAAAACACATGAGAAAGTTGTGTGAATATACCCAATCTGGTGAACCGCTTTCGCTTGCCAGTTTAAAACATCCTGCTGTTTCTAGTATTTTGATATAAAACGCCTGTTCTTCTATTTTCTCAGACTAAAACAGCATGCCGTTTTTGTTTTTGAAGATACTGATAAAAACTCCAAAATCCCGACTACAGTATTTTGTCTATCAGCCGCCTCCAAAACCTCTCTCTCTCTGTCTCTCACTTCTTCCTCCGCACGACGGCGACAATGGCGACGCTCACTCACCACACTCCACAGACCAATTTCCTCTCTAGGCTTCCTCTAAGGGCTAAACCCAGAGCCTTCTCCGCAAGGGTCAAAATGTCCCTCCAGGAATCTGCGCCTTCTCTCGCCGTCGTCGGCGTTACCGGCGCCGTCGGGCAGGAATTTCTCTCCGTCTTGTCCGATCGAGATTTTCCTTACAGCTCCGTCAAGATGCTGGCATCGAAACGCTCCGCAGGGAAACGCGTTGCCTTCGACGGCCGTGAATACACGGTGGAGGAGCTCACTGCGGATAGCTTCGACGGCGTCGACATCGCTCTGTTCAGTGCCGGCGGATCCATAAGCAAGGAGTTTGGACCGCTCGCGGCGGAGAAAGGAACCATCGTCGTTGACAATAGCTCGGCGTTTCGAATGGTTGAGGGAGTTCCGCTTGTGATTCCGGAAGTGAACCCTGAGGCAATGAAAGGGATCAAAGTCGGAATGGGGAAAGGGGCATTGATTGCGAACCCCAATTGCTCCACCATTATCTGCTTGATGGCTGTAACTCCTCTTCATCATCACGCAAAGGTTCGATTTTTCCTTCTGAAAATCTCGGTCCCAATGCTGAGAATAGTTTAGAGAATCAGTCTCTATATGAAAAATTGGAGCTTCTGTATACTTTTGCAATGCAAAAAAACTGCTTTTTTTGTGCTCTGAGTAACGTTCGATTGGTTCGAACAGGTGAAGAGAATGGTGGTTAGTACATATCAAGCAGCTAGTGGTGCAGGTGCTGCAGCCATGGAAGAGCTTGTGCAGCAGACTCGCGAGGTTCGGTTTCTAATATGGTTACTCTTGACTTTACTCTGACGATTGTGCTGAGTATTGATTCTGCTTCTTCTTTTGGATTGGTGTTCCCTTAGGTTTTAGCGGGTAGGCCTCCGACTTGTAACATCTTCGGGCAGCAGGTGATTACTCAGTTTGCTTATTCTTTATCATTGCGCGTGCTGATTCTGAATCCCTTTGTGTAATTTGATTTGATGGGTTTTGTATATTGTCTGCAGTATGCATTTAACTTGTTTTCGCACAATGCTCCTATTACTGACAACGGTTACAACGAAGAGGAAATGAAACTGGTGAAGGAGACAAGGAAGATCTGGGTGAGTGGTTACTTAGAGAGCTATTTTCTGTTCAATTCACTGTCATTGTGTTTTCAAAAATATTTGTTGTGTTAAAGAGGTTTTTTTTACCTTTCTTGCTATTACCAGAATGACGCAGAAGTAAAAATTACAGCGACGTGTATCCGTGTTCCAGTTATGCGTGCTCATGCAGAGAGTGTGAATCTCCAGTTTGAGAATCCTCTCGATGAGGTAATAATACACATAGAACCCGTTTTCTACTGAAACTGTTATTGCTATTTCTTGAAGCATTGCATTGGTGCTGTGTATTTTCTCACTGATATGTTGAATCACGGCTTAAACCGCAGTCTATGGTCACTTTTATTCTGTTGTTGTCGGAGGAATCAACACTGAAGTTGCTATTTTGAACTTGATGTGCGAGCGTGTATAGAACTTGAAAAATAGAATAAGTTTTGTGCGCGATTAAGAGAATCTTATGATCGATCAACAAGTTTGTTCTCAATGTTTTAACGGTTTTCCTAACTGTATATGAACAGAACACAGCAAGGGAGCTCCTGAAGAAAGCACCTGGAGTTTATATTATAGACGACAGATCTTCCAACACCTTCCCTACTCCACTTGATGTCTCTAACAAAGACGATGTTGCGGTTGGTAGGATCAGGCGAGACGTGTCTCAAGATGGCAATTTCGGGTAAGTAAAAGTTTCACACTTTCTATTGAATTTGGACCCCAAATGAGTTTTTTTGTCCATTTGGTTAAAGGCTACATATAACATTGTGAATTCAGGTTGGATATATTCGTTTGTGGAGATCAAATACGCAAAGGAGCTGCTCTAAACGCTGTTCAGATCGCTGAGATGCTTCTCTGATTTCGAATCCCTCACTGTATTATCAGATTTGGGCCAAGAATTTGTCTCATTTTTGTTTTGTGGGTTTCTTCTGTTTCCCTATTTGACCAAATTTTGTTACGTTTCTCATTCATCAAGTTGTCTCTGGAATCTGAATCATCCCCGCGTTTGAATCTTGCCAATTTCCGGTTCGAACCAGTACCGGCTTGGTTATTGGAAGATGCAATTTATTAGTTAGTCTTCAGATTGCTTTAGTATAGGAATGGTCACAGGTGATCCTTCAATGAGAGCCTATCCCAACAATTATTTTACGCACTCACACGATTGGGTCCTACATTGTCCTCTCTTTTCTCTTTAATGATAGTTACAAGTACGATTGCGAACATTTTTATTTTAGATTTTCTCTGTGCCTAAATATTCTTTAATTGTCTTTTGATCAATCATTTTCCTTTTTCGCAATACTTTTTTAATTGTTAGCAAATCATAGTAACTCCTTCGCTACTAAGGTTTGGTATCTTCTTCGTTATATATACCCTACCATCAAAAGTTATTAATAACGAATATTTATTTTCTTCGTCTTTAGATCTTGGTCTTCGTTGATAAATCTCGGTTTCAGATATCCTTTGGAAATACCTCCTCCTTCTTAAACCTTCTTAAAAATATTCTCGAAAAAGCTTCTTTTATCATTATCCAAAAATGACTCATTTATATAATAAATACATCAACGAGAGCTCTCCACCGTCCGATTAAATTCTGTAGCAGTGACGTAACCGATCGGACGTAATCAGGACGGGACTAAACTGTTACACGAAGCAGAGGATTAAGACTAGTAGCCAATGGGACCCCCGAAGACGACGACCAAAGAGGACGAAAAGAAAAGACGGTCTTTGGTCCAGTCAGTGTATATAATATTGAGAATCTAAAGCGATCGATCACTCATCAGCTACTTACTCGGCGATTACATCGGACTTCGGTGATCGGAGATCAGTCATCGCCACCGCAGAAACTCGCGGTCTTGTTCTTTTTCTGGTGTAAGTCATCTTTCGTCTGATTTCATTAACCCATCTGATATATCACTTTCGGAAATATCTTTCGGTAGTTCGTGTTCTTGTGTAAACGATCTGATAGTCTTGAGTTATACTTGCTAGGTTAGGTCGAGGAATTTATATATGAGAGCAGAATGGGGAAGACGATTCAAGTGTTTGGTTTCCCGGATGGTGTGAACACAGAGGATGTTAAAAAGTTTCTTGAAAGGCTCACTGGCTCAGGCACTGTTTTCGCAATCAAAATCAGGAAGCCGAAGAAAGGTGGACCAAGAGTCTACGCCATTGTTCAATTCACATCCGAGAGACACGCGAGGCTGATCATCACGCTTGCCGAAAAGCGTCTCGATTACGGGAGATCTTATCTCAAGGCCTTTGAAGTGGAGCAAGACATTGTTCCGAAACCGAGAGCTTCACTGCACAACATCTCGGATTTGAAGATGTACTTTGGATGTCAGGTCTCGCCCAAGAAGCTCTCGGTTCTATGGAGTATTCAAAATGTTCGTGTCTCGTTTGGAACTGGGATGCGGAAACTTCATTTCTCCATGTCTTGGTATGAGAAAGATTATCGGCTCGAGCTTCCTTATGAAAACATATGGCAGATCGATTTGCATTCACCGAGAGGACGACAGTCAAAGTTTCTTGTGATTCAGGTCATTGGTGCTCCTAAAATCTTTCAGAAAGAGGATCAACCTGTTGATCATTTGTTTGGAATGCTTGATTTCTACAGTGATGGGTCTGATGAGCAATGGATAAGAACCACAGATTTCACTTCTTCTTCCCGTATCGGTCAATCAACTGCGTTCTGTTTAGAGCTTCCCCTTCAGCTCAATGTTCCTGACTTCAGAGAGAATTTCGCCAACTACGCAGAGCACAAAGAAGGTAGCTTTCTCATTGAATCCGGGTCTAGCTATTCGTCAGACTCAAACAACCTCGTCCCTGTTGTTGATCCTCCTCCAGGGTTTGACCTGCCTTTCGAGATCTTGTTCAAAGTCAATGCACTGGTGCAGAACGCTTGTATGCCCGGGCCAGCTCTTGATCGTGACTTCTATCAGCTTATTGATCCACAAAGATTTGACAGAGCTCTCATAGATCACTCTCTTGAGAAACTCTTTTATCTTACGGAGTGTTGCTATGAGCCTGCTCGTTGGCTCCGCGAAGAGTACAAGTACTGGATTTCGAAAGGAAAGGTTCCAGAGCCTCCTGTGATATCTCTGGACGACGGGCTTGTTTACATGTACCGCGTCCAGGTTACACCGACAAGAGTCTACTTCTCCGGACCAGAGGTGAATGTTTCGAACCGTGTGCTTCGGCAATACTCTGTCTATATCAACAACTTCCTCCGGATATCATTCGTTGATGAAGATCTTGAGAAGGTTCGTTCCATGGATCTGTCTCCACGCTCTTCTACTCAACCAAGAACCAAGCTATACGACAGGATTATTTCCGTTCTTCGAGATGGGATCGTCATCGGCGGTAAGAAGTTTGACTTCCTCGCCTTCTCTTCCAGCCAGCTGCGGGAGAGCTCCGCTTGGATGTTTGCTCCTAGAGACGGGCTCACGGCGGCAGGCATCAGAGCTTGGATGGGTGATTTCGAGCATATAAGAAACGTGGCGAAATACGCAGCAAGGCTCGGCCAGTCGTTTAGCTCGTCGAGAGAGACGCTTAATGTTTGGAAAGACGAGATTGAAGTGATTCCGGATGTTGAGGTCAGATGTTTAGAGACACGGTATGTGTTTTCCGATGGAATAGGAAAGATCTCAGCCGAGTTTGCTAGACGGGTGGCTAAGAAGTGTGGCCTCACAGAGTTTTCTCCGTCTGCTTTTCAAATCCGATACGGCGGGTATAAAGGAGTGGTGGCTGTGGATCCAGACTCATCAAAGAAACTGTCTTTGAGGAAGAGTATGAGCAAATTCGAGTCGGAGAACACAAAGCTTGACGTTTTGGCGTGGAGCAAGTACCAGCCTTGTTACCTCAACAGGCAACTAATCACACTTTTGTCTACTTTGGGTGTTAGAGACAGTGTCTTTGAGAAGAAACAACGGGAAGTTGTGGATCAGCTCGACGCAATCTTAACCAATCCTCTAGAGGCTCATGAGGCTCTTGGTCTAATGGCTCCAGGGGAAAACACGCAAATTCTCAAGGAACTAATCTTGTGTGGTTACAAACCGGACACCGAGCCATTCCTCTCGATGATGCTTCAGAATTTCAGGACATCTAAGTTGTTGGAGCTACGGACGAAATCACGGATTTTCATTCCTCGTGGAAGATCTATGATGGGTTGCCTAGACGAGACCAGAACATTGGAATACGGACAAGTGTTCGTGCAGTTTTCAGATCCCACGAGGCTAGGAACTCAGTGCATAATGGGTCCTGTTGTTGTCGCCAAAAATCCGTGTCTGCATCCTGGTGACGTGCGTGTTCTTCAAGCTGTTAAGGTCCCAGCTTTGAGTCACATGGTGGATTGCGTTGTTTTCCCTCAGAAAGGCTCGAGGTAAAACTCTTTCTTATCTTGATTCTGATTTCTTTTTTTGAAGTATCAAAATTTGATATTTGAATCTTGTATCATTTTTTGTTGCTGCATAGGCCTCACCCAAACGAGTGTTCAGGGAGTGACTTAGATGGAGATATATATTTTGTATGTTGGGATCAGGAATTGATTCCACCAAGAACGTCTGAGCCAATGGACTACACTCCTGAACCAGCTCAAATCTTGGATCATGATGTGACAATTGAGGTAAAAAAAAATCTTACATTTTAGTTCTTTTTCTTTTCATTTTTCTGCATTTGGACACTGAATGTTTTACTCCCAAAAACGTTTTCTAGGAAATCGAAGAGTACTTCACGAACTACATCGTCAATGATAGTCTCGGAATCATCGCGAATGCTCATACCGCCTTTGCTGACAAAGAACCACAGAAGGCATTCAGTGAACCTTGCATTCAGCTTGCAAGAAAGTTCTCAATAGCTGTGGATTTCCCCAAAACGGGTGTTGCAGCCGAGATACCGCAGCATCTTTATGTGAAAGAGTATCCAGATTTTATGGAGAAGCTTGATAAACCCACGTACGAGTCCGAGAACGTGATAGGTAAACTTTTCAGAGAGGTGAAAGAGCGAGCTCCACCTCGGATCTCGATCAAATCCTTTACTCTTGACGTGGCAGAAAAGTCTTATGATAAAGACATGGAAGTTCTCGGGTTCGAGGAATATATTGATGAAGCTTTCTTCCACAAGGGGAATTACGATTACAAGTTGGGTAATTTGATGGATTACTATGGGATTAAGACCGAGGCTGAGATACTCAGTGGTGGTATCATGAGGATGTCCAAGTCCTTCACCAAGAGACGTGACGGGGAATCGATTGGGAGGGCGGTCCGAGCGCTGAGGAAAGAAGCTTTGTCGTGGTTCAATGCCTCTGAGAAAGAAGAGGACTTTAATGCGTCGGCGAAGGCGTCGGCTTGGTATCATGTGACGTACCATCCAAGTTATTGGGGAGTTTATAATGAGGGTTTGAACCGCGACCACTTCTTGAGCTTTGCGTGGTGCGTTTATAATAAGCTTGTGAGGATCAAGAAGGCCAATGTTTGCAAGCGCCAGCGGCAGGAGACGCTTGAGCTTGAGCGATTTGGCCACGTTCTGCGTTTGAGTTGATTGCTATCCAGATTTTTCAAGAGCTTTTTCTTTGGTTTTGACTATTGACCGGAAATGTTTGACTTTGAGCGCCAAAGAGCAATTTCTATGTACAAAATGTTTGGTTTGAAGTATAAGAAAGCAGTATTTTCTAGACCTACCGAATACAAACAAAACTGAAGCTAAGTTCATTCCGGTTACCCGTTTTTTCTCGTACATATCTCGAAATCAATAAATTAAAGTCAATGAATACGAATATATATCTACAAAAATGAAAAATCTACAAAAATGAAAAATCTATAATTTTAAGAAGAAAAAAGGAAAGCTTACTACTACAAATAATCTCAAAATATGTGTATGTACATGAACAGTTCTCAAACACGCATACACAACCTCTATATATATCTGCCAACTCCAAAAAAATCACTCTTTTGTGTGTCGAAATTTCGGAGGAAAAACAATATTATCGTACACAAAAAAAAATTTGTTTGATCTTTTGTTACGAAGAGGCAAGAAGACGTTGGCGATGTAGCAGAGCAAACTTGACATGCAAGCAAAGTTTGCCTTTATCCAAGTAAAGCCGAACGCCAGTGACTAACCAATGACCAGGACTATGTTGAGGTCCTCGGCATAACTGTGAGAGATCAACGAATTTACCAATCTTGTTGTTCGCCGGCACCGGAGGTCCTTTGGGGTAGACACCGGAGTCCAAAACGACCTCGTTTTTGTCTTTGTTATTGATCATATTATGATGAACACTCCCACTAGTCAATGGTAAGCTCATGGAAGAGAAGATACCAGATTTTTGGGAAGTTCCTGGTCCATGAACCCAATCTTTTTGGACGACGTAGTGATCGGAGACTCTGGTGAAACGGAGACGGAGGTGGAGAACGGACTTTGAGCCGTGTTTCTTCACTTCGAGCTGTGCTCCGGTGACTATGTAAGCGACGTTGATTTTGGACTTGTGACTTGTTGTTGTTGTGATCCAGTTTGGGTCGTACTTTACCGGAGCTGTGCACACGTGTGAGAATTTCTTACCGTTTAAAGGTTCGAAGTAGCGATTGTTGTCGACGATTTCGTCGGAGCCTCTCCATTTATGATCGTTGGTGATCTTTTCTCCAACCGTAGTACTTGTATTTTCTAGGTGTTGTAAGTGTATAGCCAGCCTGATGAACATACATATTCATTATTCAATGATATAGCTTGAGATTAAATGGAAGGGAAAAAAATCTATTCAAAAATTCCTTTCGGATAAAATGTTATGTAAATATATCAAATCTAAGTTTGTTTATTTTATTGTTATAAGTTTGTTTTATAGCTAGCTAGCTAACTTTATGTAAATATATCAAATCTATTGTCTTATAGCTAGCTAACTTTATGTCTTTATCAAATGATGATAATCACGGGTAGATATTCAAAATAATATGTAAATTTTGATATTTGCTTTGGTTGACTATATACCTATTGCATTTCTTGCCTTCAAGAAACATTCGCATTCCGGTTACTGGGTTCTTCTCGCTAGTCACCTAACCCGGAAAAGAAATCTCAGCAATTAGTAAAACCAAAAAAAAAGTATACATGTAAAAATTAGTCAAGTGATTAGTGATCATATTAACGAAATAAAGAAATATGTAAGCAAAGAATCAGAGATGTATTATGATAAATACGTACGGGAGTGGTATTAACGTATAGTTTGGGACCCATGAAGTTGATGTGCAGAGCCGGATACGACGAAGCCATATTTGGCGCCGCGCCGAACGGAAGATCGTTATGGATCGGGGCCCACGTTCTAGGCCCAGAGAAGTCCAAAAAATATTGCAGGTCCATTAACGGCGGCTTGTCTGTTCAAAATTACCAAATTACCCCTTCAATCATTTACCAAACTACTACCCTCCGGTAGTCTTATATTTAAGGCTAGAGTGGATAAGTGAAGTTACATCTGAGGTAGAGAGACATGGCGTGAGAGAGAAGACCAGAGCCAGGTACGTCTTTAAGGAGTGATGTGATCGGAATAAAGTTGAAATTGATCGCATCAGGCTTTTCCGGTACTGTTATCAGCCACTCGCTATGGCTCTTTGCTCTTCCGTCACCTCCTCTTTTCGCACATATAACTGTTATTCCCTGCACGCAAATTGTTCTTCTAGTTATGAAAATGTTCATCATACAGTTTGTTGTTTTAGATTATGTGAAACTTACTTACATTTTTGGAATTTATCGAGAAATTATTGAACGCAACCGTTTGCTTGTCATCAAAGACATTGAAAGCCTCCGGGAACTGCAATATCAAAACTCATAATGATGAATACACATGTGTTGTGTGTCCTAAGTTGATTTTTATCATTGCAACATGAATTGGGCTGACCTTGGGCTGTGATTGTGAGCTGTGATGGGCTTTATTGGGCCGGCGAGAAGAGAGAAGACAAGAGCCGGTGAACAATTGGTCGCCGAGATCGTAGAGATGGTGGCGGATGAGGTCGGTGTCGAGATCGGAGGACTTGTCTTGTCTCACAACAACCACGTCTTGTCCTCCTACGCTCACCCCAATTATTACGTGTGTCCCATACCTCTCTATAAACCTGTCCTTTTTAAAAATTTAAGTTTTTATTATTATTACGATAATACTGACAAAAAAATTACGTATTATTATTAGGAGTGCCAGAACAAAATAGTATAAACCAAGTTGGTGGTTACATTTTAGAATATTGTATCAAAGTCTTTTGCAAATAATAATCACTTCTTCAGTTTACAGTTATTCAAAGTATTTATTAGTTTTTAAAACTTCAATTCAATTAAAAACTTTTAAAAAATCAAGTTTCTTCCTGATTTTTCGGTTCGATCTTAGTTGGAAACGTTGACGATTGAATTTTATTATTATTATAAAGATGGAAAGATATCAGAAAAAAACAGACATATTCTACATTAATTGATAACATAGAATTAGTCAAATATGGCCCAACTGTTCTATCAGAAGTACATCAGAATTCAACACAAAGAAATGGCAAGTTTGGAAAATTTTGATGATATGTTTTTGCTCGTAATCGTAGTGTAAATGCCTCACAATCAAATGAAAAACAGTAATTAATAAAAAAAAAAAAAGAACAGTAAATAATATACCTGGCCAGTAATTGCGGGTCCCAGGAAGAAGGAACGGCGTTTCGAACGCGATCAGTGAGACGCAAACGATTGGGATTGTGGATGTTGAGATTAAAAAGCGTTACAATAGAAGCGTCGAGACCTAAAGATTTAACGTTTGCGGCGTCAGTTGCCCATGACCCGCTTTGAAACCCGAACGTCGCGTTGAAATTTCCCGACGGAATTTTCCCGGTCACCGACGACCGCTGATTAAAATACTCCGACATCTAAATCCGTAACAACCCACACATATAAACATCTATTACTAATAAAAGTTTGTGTCATAATAAGAAAGAAATGGTTTAATCGAGGACCTTATTGAAATCGAGAATGTCGGAGCGGAATCGTGTGCGCTCTCCTTTGTCGCAGTTGATATCGGAGGAGACATTCTGAATAGCTCCGAAACCAGGAACATGCAATTCTCTGTTTTGAGTTTCGTCTAGAACAACCAATCTGTCATCTCCGGCGGCGCCGTCGCCGTCTTTGCAGTATTTTAACCGAAAATCCGCCGTTAAATCGAATCCTTTGCCAAGACTCTTAACGACTGTCTCCACCACACCTCCGCCGCCGTCTCTGTTCATCGCTGTTTCCTCTGATAGTAAAGCTGCGAGTCTTTGTAGGCATATATATATATATAGATAAGTAGAGAAAACTGATTAATGTTTGATAGCTTGTAATGTTGGTAAATCAAACATAATTATATATTTTTAATCTTGAATAGAAGAAGAAAATAACGTGATGCTTTGATTAAAGTATGAAAACGACCAGTTACAGCTTCGTTTGCGAAGTCTTCGGAGGAACACGTAAACAGATTACTTGCAACGGAATGTTTTTATTACATAAAAAAATTATAATGAAATTGGTAAATACATTAAATTGATTCAAATGTTAATTATTTTCAGAAAAGAAAACTGATTATTAATTCTAAATGAACATTAAAGTTTGCAAATTTGCTCGTATCTGGTCATAATTACTAAATATTAAGTATATCTGATGCTGTTATCATTTAGGAAGTGTATCCTAAAGTTCTCGGATGTATCATGGTTGATGTAACACGGTTTTAGTAATTGTTATGCATATTCAAAATTTAAACTGGTTTTTAGCGATTGATTATAAAGATCAATCAACAGTAACGTATTTTCAGCTTTGACCGTTTAACTAACCCGCGTCTAGGAGAAAAGTTAAAAGAGAGTTTCAAAAGTCCTCCTATCCCACAGGTCAAACCGATATCGGTTTAGTTTCAGTACTATGTACAATTTGTACATGAGCTTCACAATTAATTCAAATAAGCTTACTTCTCTATGTATATAATTTTTTTTCTCTATATTCTCTTTGCAATTTTCCTATGTTTTTCGTCTATTCAAGTTGCATGTGTGATATTTGATAATTACTTTTTTTTTTTTTAATGAAAATGTACCTGAACCGCAATAACCGTTTCTCGCAATTCTGAATGTAATGATAGTTCCGGGGGAAGTAGTCCGCACGGTGAATTAACCCGATCCAACATCATCCCAATTAAAGTGATAAAACTGAATGTAATATGAACATGACTGTATTTCAAAACTTATTTGACTGATTTATGAATTTGGATAGCAATGTCCAAGGTCCCTTTCTTACATAATAAAAGCATCTACAGGAAAAAAACATAAGAAGTTTCCTCATATTCTTCTTATCTGCTTCTGTTTTCACACACACAATTTAGTCGACGTGACTACAGAATCGCGTACACGCATACGGATGCATATTATTATGTCGGTATAAAGACAAATATCACATTATAACTGTATCATTTATCTCTCTAATTGATATCCTCCTAGTTTGGTTTGAATATTAGACTATATAGTATAATTTGTAGCATTTTAATAAGTGGTTTTTGACTATAAGGTTTGATGGTTTGTTTCGAGGTGAGGATACAGACAATGGACAAATAAAATTGGTCTCTTTTTAAAAACGAGTTACAGATAGTGACAAGAAACAAAAGGGTGACAAATATTTATCTACGAGATGATACATGTAGCGCCTGTGTGAACGCTGCTTTCGCGACGCGTCTTTCGTTGTTTGTTTATTAAGGGCAAGTTTCTTATACTTTTTGTGGAGAATTGGACTAATTAATTGGCCCAGGCCTTCTATCAATGTGATATATTATTTTGACGGTTCAGATTTTATCCTAGAAATCAACGGTTTCTATCATTTATAGGAAAAAAAAACAAGGCAGGCCCCTTTACGGCCCAATCTACAGTTGTCCTTTCGCCTTGAGCTAAACCGAATCGACATGGTTACCGGCGAAGAAGGTCGACTTCGAAATTTCTTTTTAAAAAACTTTGAAATTCGAGGCGGGAGATTTGCGAATCAACAAATATCGGTCTCTTTGTTTCTTCTGCTCTTATTCTTCGATATTTCCCGCAAAATCGCTGATTAGGTTTTCTGGAATTCGTCGTCTTCGTCATTACTGTGAGCCTATTTGATGATTCGCTCTATTTTTTTGGTCAAATGCTTACATTTCTCTTTCTGTAGCGTACCTGTTACCGTATGGTTTACTGCATTGCTAGTTTTTGATTAAATTATCGTATCCATAGACTCGTCTTTAGTACGAATTGATCGAATTGTGATATTGGAACTTTGGAATTTGAGGGTTTAGGTTTGCTGACGCAGCTCTTGATGGATAACCATGGTGGCTCTAGAGCTTCTGATTTGAGCATTGAGGATCTGATGCATGAATATTTATCTCGACCGCCACAGATAGCTGAATGGTTATGGTGTATCGAATATGTAGCCAAATTCGTTAAGGATATACGCTGCATACTCGGTATTCTCTCGCTTATGGTTTATTGTGTATGTTAATAGTAGTAGGTGTTATATAACAGGAAATCGCTTTGCTTCAGGTTTGATGAACATGGGGTATCAAAACTCAAATGACTATGGGAGGAGGATTAATGAAGTCCTGTCTCTTAGAGTCTTGGAGTTCTTGTTTGATCCAAGCAAGAATGGTGATGCTACGAGCCTCGCCGTTGCTTCAGAGGCAAAATTTGAGTTTGATTTGTCTTTGAGCAACGCTGATGTTCTCAGAGCTATTCTGAGAGAGGTATTGGACAAACTGTTAGATAATGTGACCAGCAGTGGTAGAATTAGGTGATGTGTGGGTTTATAATTTTTAGTCTTTTGTTCTCAAATGTTAGATTCCAGTATCAGAGCTACGAGCAGGCATGCCGGAGCTATCCAAATTCAATGTTGTTCCGTTTATTGCTCACAAGAACATGTGTTTGCCGCAATGTGCGCTTGAGAAGGTAAAGATTCCTCATAACTTTCGTTTCCTTGGTTTCATGCTTTTCTTTAGAAGGATGCATAAACTTGTGACTGAAAAAGCGATGCGCAAAATCCTTTTTTTTTTTGTTTGGGATCGTGTAGCTGAAAGATATGAGTTTAACGGAGAATCAGCCAAGTGTAGCTCCTTCCATGGAAGCAAATGATCCTGTTTTTAGAGATGATGGACCAGTGAACATGGATACATGCGAGGATGAGCCGATAGATGAGCAGCAAGTGCATATTGGTTTGGAACAAAACATAAACGAGAAGGATAAAGTAATTCTCATCGACGATGAAGATGAGCCAATGCACACCAACCAAAAAGATGAAGTAGTTGTGATCGATGAAGAAGACACAGAGAATGATCAAGACATGGCCGGTGAAGCCATTAGCAACGGTAATACTAGTGGTGAGACCTCTCCTCCAAGCTCAAGCAGATGGGCAGAGGATGCACGTGTGAGATGTACAAAAGATGGAACCTGGCTAATCAGTGGGAGCGATGATGATGAGTCAGACTTGGCCAAGAAGGATGCAAGCTCCTGCACAAGACCCGCGAATGTGTGCTGGAAATGTGGAAAAGAAGGGACGTTGTTGATATGTAGCAGAAGCGAGTGTGCATCAAAAGTTCACAAGGAGTGCTTGATTTGTCCGGTTAGCGTTGACGAAGACGGGAACTTTCACTGTCCTGTGTGCTGGTATGCTCGAGTCGTTTCAGAGTACTTAGACTCTCAGAAATTGATGAGCTCTGCCAAGAGAAAACTGGCGAAGTTTATGCCGCTACTATCAACAAGAAGCAAGAGAGTCAGGTGATGAAAACTTTCTGATGTAATTTAATTATATCTCACCTTGTCTCTCTTTGGGGTAATTTAGGAGATCAATTTAAGATATGGAATTATAGAACGCAGTGATTAAGTATGCATTTTTGTGCAGACTAGAGCAATCTAAAACTCCCTTGTTCTTGGTAAATTTTGGGTAGAAGACGAGTTTGGGAAGAAAAGTGGAGTAATTTTCTTTGTTCATGTCTTGATGTAAAGAACCGGAGATGCGAGGGGTGATATGTAAGAACATAAAGTTAAGGGTGTGAATCGTTATTATTTAAACTGGCGGGGCATGCAAAAACTTCACGTCACAAAAAATAAGTTTCAATCGGCGGACGGTGACAATGGGAAGTTGCCTCAAACGTTGACTCAATAATTTGTTTTTTTTGTAACTAAAGGTTTAACGTTGACTGAAGTTTCTTTCTCAAAACAAAAAAATAAAATAAAGTAACATATGGATTTTATCATCAGTGACATTACGACTTGTTATGTTAATCGCAGTAGTCAATAGAATTTAAATTTAGGTCTATATATAAGTTCTATTTAGTAGTCAACATATATAGATATTGATGTATATAACACACAGTAGAAAATGACTGCATGAGCTAACCAGTTATTTTGCTAGTTTGGTTTTAATTAATTAATATGAGTGTTCATTTGCCCTTTTCTCAAAAAAAAAAAAAAAAACATATGAGTGTTCACTGTTCAATTAATTCAAAAGCTAAACCGCAGTTTGAATAGTTAGACTATATTTGGTATTTCAAAAAAGAAAACAAAGTCATAGTCGGATATAACAGAAAAAAAATCCTACACACAACTCAAACTTCATTAGAAGAATAAAAATATGCATTTGATTAACAATTGAACCCAAAACAAAGTTAAAAAAAATATTATATCATATTGTATTATGTTCAGTTTTACCTTTGTGTTGTTATTCTATGACCAATGGGAAAAAATCTAACAAGCCAAACAGAGATCCAAATTAACTATATACCTTTTTTGGAGGGGCGAAACTATAGATATCTACTATATTTTCCAGCTAGTTAAATAATATTCAGCATTCACCTATAAAACCTAGCCTTTTTATTTACTAATAGTCTAATACGAAGTTTTTGGGGGACAAAAGTTGAAGTACTTTGCATTTTTTTGTATGGAGATTGTGGTCTTCAGCTTAAATCAAGAAACCAATAGACGAAGTATAACAAAAAGATGAAGAAGTAACGCTCTTAAACAAAAATGAAAATAATGTATGGAAATTGTGGTTACCTCAGCTTAATCAATAAATGAGGTAACGTAAGATTGTATGCTTGTGGCCCTTGTGGGAGATTAGGAAAAGTAGAAAAAATTGGGTAATTTTGTTTTTCTTTTCGAAAAATGGGTAAATTTATTTATTTTTATCTTTTAAAAAAAAAGAAGAAAGTGGATAGTACGAAAGGTCGTTATCCAGAGATCAATAATAGGGTTTGGGGCTCCAAAACTGGCAAATACATAACTCATCAAAAATGGAACTGTCCCATTGATGCAACAGTTCTATTCCTATTTATGATCTTCTCTCTGTTCACTCTTCTGATTCTCTTTTTTCTTTCCAGCTTCGTTGCTCTCTCTCCTCCAAAACTCAAAGATTATACAAATGTATAACATCTGATTAGTGTTCTTTTTTTTTGAACATTTGCTTCATCTGATTAGTGTGTTAAGATCAACCCCACTAATTCCTTGAATAAAAACACTCATAGGTCATCAGATTCCTATAGAGCAAAGACAACTTAATCATTATTTTATTTTAATTATGTGATTGTATTATCGTTTCTATCATTTTTTAAAGCGATTGTTTTTTAGTAATCTCTGTTAGTACACAAAAGCATACCAATGTGGCAATGTATATGTACTCGTGTGTAAACTATTGTAGATTTGCAGATTATTATGTAGTAGTTATTAGCTTATAGTATGTAGATTCATCGGTTTAGAGGTAACAGAGGTAAGTGTATGTAGTTGTTTATCATGTTTATCACATAATCTAGCAATAGAAAACAATCATTGTCTAAAGACTAACGAATTAGCGATTGCGCATGAAGATTTATCCAAATATATAAATAAATTACATACACATTTCTTTTAATTCTGTATTGCATTCCTAATAAACCGCGAGCTCATTGGCATACATTATTAGGCAATTTGAAATATTGGAGAGAAAAAAAAAAAACGATGGAAACAAAAAGGTAAAAATGGAAGCAATGAAACTTGTGCATAATTCTATTTATCGACAGTCTGACTCAAAGTGCTTTCGTAAGCAATAACACAATGCTTCACCCTTTTCTTCATAATCTTCTCTGCTTCCACTGTTCCTCCGCTCCTCTCCTTTCACTTCACTTCTCCTTTTTTCTTTCTCATCCCCTTTATCTCCTTAACTGATTACCATATTTATATTATGTGACTGTTTACATATATAAAAAAATGAAAACTAAATGTAATGTTAATTTTTTTAATATAGATAATCACAGATGGCTTGGTTTAATTGATTTGTCTGAATACTAATAACAGCTTAATAATCGTATGTGATATGTGACATGTCGACCATAGTGTGACCAATGACTAATGTTATCATATGATTCATACATATGTACGTAACAGTAACAAGAGCCTCGTAGACTGACAAAAAGACCAAAAAGTAATCTTAAAACCCTAGCATCACACTTATAATACAGGTGTCTCTACTATATATGCATAACATAAATATGTCATATATGTACTTGTAGAGCTTGTGTGATAGGACTAGTGAAACATGGAGGTGAATAAAGATGAAAACAGTTTCTTAGAAAGCATGAAACAGGAGATTAATCAGATTATAAAAGAAGAAGAAGAAGAAGGGGAAGAGATTCTCAAGAAGAGAATCTCAAGCCACCCTTTGTATGAGCTTCTGCTTAGCTCACATCTCGGTTGTCTAAAGGTCCCCTCTCTCTCTCTCTTTCAGATTAAAATAGTTATTGCATATATTAATATAAATATATACTAATCTCTTATAATACGTATTTGGACCGCCGCGACCAGGTGTGTTCCGGCGACTTTGAGTCACCGGAGATCATGAACACGGCAGATAATCTTTCCCTAACCAAACTCTCTCTCCACACTGATTCTTCCCCCGAAACTACCTCTTCAGAACTTGATCAATTCATGGTTCTTCTTCTTTTATTTCTCTTTTTTTTTGAAACATTGAAAAACAATTTAATGCCAAAAAAATATATTTCACAACAACAAACTACATATTTACATGTCTTTTATCTCTGTGCCAATTTCTAAAGCTTTCATCTATTTTGAGCTAAAAGGTTATGATAATATGAATACTTATAAATCAATTCACATATAGGAAGCGTATTGCTCGACTCTACGGGAGCTGAAGGAAGCCATGGAGAAGCCTCTCGTCGAAACGCACCGTTTTATGGAAGCAGTGTACACTCAGCTAAACGACATCGTTATGTCATCACCCCCTTGAAAAGGCGAAACATGACAATTGATTCGGTGCTATCATGTTACTACTTACTACATTTGGCCAAATTGCTAGCGTACTACTCGCGTTTCACTGTGCTGCGTTTTCGGAACGCTTTTGTAGAATCGTTTAATTTAATGGTAATCGCAATTTTTAAAAGTGCTAGCATGCCTTCTCGCTTTGTATATTTAAGAAAGGTCAAACTAAAATTAAATTTCTCTTAATTAATTTAAAAAATGATTCACACTCTTTAAATTAAGATCATAAGCAACACTTTCGCGATTTCTTTCTCTTCCGAGAATTAGATTAAAGAATCCATAAACCATTTAGATCTAGCACTCTTAATACAAAGTAACAGTTGTTATATTATGTATTACTGGGTTGTTCATATAATCAACCAAAATACAAATTTGCATCATCAACAGGTTGTAATGCGACAGACGCATGCCTCATTTGGGGCTCCGGGTTGATCACAGTAAGAGGAAACAGGTGGGCCGTAAAAATCAAGACACATTTGCTCGCATTTTTTAGTATCGCAAACCATTGGCCAGAATACAGGACAAGTCTTTTGCTCCTCATTCATTCTCATCTCTCTCGCACCTCAAAAATGTGTAAGGAAAGAAATAAAAAAACAGATTTGTGACATGCATATAGAATCAAGACTGAAATTATTCTTTTAAGAAAGTTGTGTATCTGAAACAATGAAGATGGCCATGAAAAGAACTACGAAAATTTGGAGGTTCCTCATGATTCTGCAGTTTTTGATAGACTCAATCGTAACTGAGACGTTTTATTTTTATAGGTGAAAATGATATGTTGGAAAAGATAGGATTTTTAAAAATAAATAAAAAAGATGATAAACTTTTCTGTTTAGAGAATTGCTTATTTCGGGAAATAATCAATTTTTATGGTCAATGGGAGATTAAAATTTATGACAGGCTGGATTTTTGATAACGAATCCAAGTCAAGTCGGATCTAGATTTAGAAACTTTACATTGGATTCAACTGGCTTAATTAAGGAGAGAGACACACTTACGCCAATATCATTGCCATTTTCCGAAAAGCCTTTGGGCTTTGTAACCAAAGTTAATATTTATTAAACACTATGTCTGATATTTGCTATATTATGGGCTTCAATTAATAAAACTCAAAACTTAATTACGGGTTGGCCCAAGTTGAATTAGTTAAAAATGTAATCAATCACCAAGTTAGGAGAATAGACCAGTAAAAAACACATGGAGAAATGTAAATTTGCAGGGCCTATATATAGAATTTGCTTGATCACGCGACATTACAAATGCTACACTAGTCATGAAGTTTACTAACAATGATTTTTTACTCAGAAACATAAATTGAAGATTGAACATATTATTTGTTGTTTATTTCCATTTCTGTTTTCTCGTTAATTTTCCCAACAATATGACATCCCAAAACTTAAAAATACAAATTCCTACTTCTATAAATTATCAATTTTGTATACTGCAACTATGGCATTCTTGTTTTTTTTTTAAAAAAAAACTATCTCTCATTATTGGTTAATTCTCGCATGTGATGTGATACAAGAAAAATGATTAGACCGTATGTTGATAAAGCACACTAAAGAAATTAATATAAAAATATCAATCAGTTGAAGTAATTATCAAACCGCATGTTTTAAGCTAAATCTATTATTCTAATTGTGACAAAAAGGACCCAGCATGCAGAAATTCAAACGCAACCGCTGATCAAGATTTCCAAACGAGACTAGCGTCCAAGGTTACGATTTGCGGCTACTAAAATTGAACGAAAGGGAGGTTCACGTGGACCAACCCGCAGGGTATAAGAACCTCTCTCACTCTCCACCATCTCTACTTCGCTCTAAACTTCCATAACAGTACCCCCACACTCTCTATTCTCTAACCAACCAACTGAAACGAACTTCCATTTTCGAATTTCGAATTTCGAATTCGAAACTTTCGCCGGAGAAGTTTCCTGTCAAAAAAATGAAGGAGATCGCGTCGAGGAATTTAAAGCGTAAGGCTGAGGCGACGCCGTTCACCGGGAAGAAGCTCCGGTCGACGCGTTCACGCCGGAAGAGAGCTCAGATCTCTCCAGTTGTCGTTCAGTCACCTCTCTGGCACAAGGAAATAGGAGTATCTGCTGCTTCTGTCGATTCCTGCTCCAATTTGTTTTTCCCAGCCGATGACAATGTTTCCTGCGGTTCTAGCAGAGTCGAGGCGAGCTCGAAGCCGAGGAAGAATCTAATCGAAGAGGTAGAAGTTTCTGGACCTCTTAAAGATGTGAAGGAGACGATTGTTGATTCGAAGTTTCGGAGGATTACAAGGTCATACTCTAAGCTAAACCAGGAGAGGGAGGGAGAAGGGATCGAGGTAAGCGAATCGTCCTTCACACGATCCGACGTGACCTTTGCCGACCATGTCTCCGATTGCCGGAATTTGATTTTCGCACCGGAGAATAAGGAGAGCGACGTCGTTTCAGTGATTTCGGGAGTGGAGTCTTGCTCGAAATTCGGGAGCGTAACTGGAGGAGCGGATAACGAAGAAACTGAAATCTCCAAACCGAGCAGATTCGTGGAAGCTGATTTCTCTCTGGGATCCGCCAAGGAATTGAAGCCGGAGCTTAAAACAGTCGGATGCGTCTCCGATCTCGCTTGCACAGAGAATTTCTCGGTCGAAGAGGTTTCGGACTATCACGAGGATGAGTTATCGGAGCCGTGTTCCGAAGTGTTCTCACAGTATTCGGACCTCTATTCCTCCGATTACACTCCGTCAATCTTTTTCGATTCCGGCAGCGAATTCTCCGAGAAGTCTAGCTCTGATTCTCCTACTTCACATACTCGCTCTCTGTTCCTCCAGTTCAGGGAACAGTTCTGTAGATCCACAATTCCGAACGATTTCAAATCTTCTAGCCAGGAACAAAACCGTGAAATTCAGTCTGAAGTAAGTAATGCTTTCATATCTCTTGGAATAATTGCTAGTAGCTAGAGATTGAAGGTGTGGTTGTATGCTTGAAATTTCACTCGATTGCTAGTCTAAATTTGATCTGAGAATAGTTCTTCTATGTCCCTAAGATTTGACTCTGAAATTGTATCTAAGGAATGAATCTTAAATATACATTTTCGTTTTAGCTGCTAAGGTTTGAAGATGAGGAGGTGGAAGAGAGCTATCAAAGGCTGAGGGAAAGAGAGAGAAGTCATGCATATTTGCGGGACTGTGCTAAGGCTTACTGCTCCAGGATGGACCATACTGATCTCATCCCTCGTCTGCGCTTGATCATGGTTCAATGGATTGTGGAGGTGAATATAATCATTCTGTTCTCTAGTGCATTTATATATCCAGTGATCTCTGAATATCGAAGCTTGGAAATGTATCAGTAGTAGGAGAAGATTCTAAATGATTTGTAGATCCATTTATGATAGTTACTGATGTTAGGAACGTAAATTTGGAGATCTTGTTCCTCCTGGCTTGTAAGGTGTTTTATCTTTAGGAAATCTATAGTTCATCACAGAATCTTGTAAGGTTTATGTATATATCAGCCAGCTAAGGTAAGTGTTTTTGCTGACTGTCTTCTTCTTAACAACGCAGCAATGTTCTGAAACGGAGCTTCAGCAAGAGACATTGTTTTTAGGAGTTAGTCTGTTGGATCGATTCCTGAGCAAAGGATCCTTCAACAGCGAGAGGACTCTGGTACTAGTCGGGATTGCGAGTCTTACTCTGGCCACCAGGATTGAAGAAAATCAACCTTACAATAGGTACCATATTCCATCTTTGTTATTCTGACTTCAAATGGTCATTAGATACTGTTCTGAATAGGAAAAAGATAAGCACCATTCCAAGAAACTGAGTATTACACTGAACCAAAGCAGGGACTAGTAATAGAAATCTTAAATTGTTTCTGTACGAAATAAAATCCAAGAGAATTCATTAGTCATGTGTGTCAAATATTGAATTCTGTTTCTCATCAACTCATGACTGCAACAAACCTTCCACACACACACACACACAGCAATAATTCAATTTTCTTCAACTGCTTACCTGATACTTCCTCCATTTGATTAGCATCCGGAAAAGGAACTTCTACATCCAGAACCTAACATACAGCCGGCATGAGGTGGTGGCAATGGAGTGGCTGGTTCAAGAAGTCCTCAACTTCAAATGCTTCTCACCCACAATCTTTAACTTCTTATGGTAAAAACCTCTCTTACTGTATATTTTCTGTTCCAAGACACATATATTACACTGAAGTTTAACAATCATTTATATATCTCAGGTTTTACCTAAAAGCTGCTCGAGCCAATCCAGAAGTTGAAAGGAAAGCCAAATCCTTGGCCGTTACCTCACTATCCGATCACACTCAGCTCTGTTTTTGGCCCTCAACTGTAGCAGCCGGACTCGTAGTTCTCGCCTGCATCGAACACAACAAAATCTCAGCCTACCAACGAGTCATCAAGGTACCAATCTCTTCAACATTACTTAAGTACTTTTATTGATTCCAGTTAAATTCAGAATATTCACAATCCCAAAACATTTCTCTGTCTCTCTCTCTCTGCAGGTTCATGTTAGAACAAAAGATAACGACTTGCCCGAATGCGTCAAGGTACTTTCAACATCACTCTCATCCTATCAAATCTCTATTTCTCCACTGAAACGGTTACTTAATGACATTGTTTAACATTTGTGTTTCTATATACAGAGCCTGGAATGGTTGCTTGGGCAGTAAGCAATGCACAACAGCAAAAACCTCAAAACCACTGGAACACAGTATAGTCCAATACGAGGAACACACAGGTTATTATTACAATTACAAATCAAATATAAGGTATATAATAAGTACACTCTCTACAGATTAATATACTTAATCTCTGGACTTGATTAGCTCTTGGCAGACTATACCAACTATTAGGCCACCATTTGTGTCGCCACACACATTTATTGCTTATTTTCCTCAATTCATTATACTCCCACTTTCTTTAAACTTTTTTACTCGGTTCAGTAAATTTCTCTTTTTTTACGTCTGGAAGATTTATTCTATTTTTCTAATGGAACGGAGGATGCCATTTTCCTCTGGTCTCCACTGCACTGTTTTTTATATTGGTCATTAAAATAAAGTTTCAGTTTCTTCGAGAATTATAGCGTTAATATATTCGAGAAATATAGCGTTGATTCTAACGTTAGAAATATATTGACCAAAATCTTCGAGAAATATATTTTACATTCTTCAAAATCTTCGAGAAATATATGGAAACGCTATAATTTTACAAAATCTTCGAGAATATTGACCCAAAAAGGCTTATAATAAGATTGTACGAGAAAGTAGCCCTAATTAATGAAATGCAGTGAGGAAAAAAGAAGAGATGCTCGTAGGGATGGAGGGAGAGAAAAGAAGACGCGGATACGTTCACCACGAGGTTGTAGAAGAAATTCTGGTGAAGCTTCCGGTGAAATAGCTGGTTAGATTCAAAGTCGTATCGAGAGAATGGAGAGGAACGTTAGAATCAACGCACTTCATAGAGAAACACATTAGGTCTCAGAAATCTGCACAGGGACGAGAAGCGAGAATGGTCACGTTTAAAGAAGAAAAATGGAACGGTCTCGGCGTAGGAAATCTGTTGGTTTCTGCCAACGGAACCGTACATGCATCTCCTCCATATCTACCCATTAGGGCATTTGGCCGGTTTGATGGTTACAAAATCTCAAACCCTTGCGACGGTTTGATTTGTCTCTATACCTTTACTCGTATTATCAACCTTGTCAATCCCGCCACCACTAGCCGCCGCAGACTCCCTGATCCCAGGCCTGACGGTACGTACTTGTTATGAATCCTCTTGTAATTACTTGTGGCAATCTTTTCTTATAATTAACTAGACAATCTTAAGCTTAAGGTTTGTTTCTTGTAACAGGCGGGGTTAGTCATCCTATTTTGATAGGGATCGGAAGAGAGAATAGTGCGTGTCCAAGGTATAAGCTAGTGTGGTTTTTCGAGTCTTATGACAAAGGGATGTGCAATACTACAAGGTGCATGGTTTTTGCTCTAGACTCTAACACTTGGAGAAACGTAGATCCGCCTCATGATTGTCGAGTTCACTATGACCATCCTCTAATACACTTGGAAGGAGTGATGTATTGCTTCGCCCACTCGAGGTGGGATCTCAAGCTACTCGCTTTTGATCTCCACACAGAGACGTCGCAAAGCTTCTCAATTACTCCGGATATCGGGGTTAGCTACTTCGATAAATTAATCATGCGCCTTCTTAACCATCGCTTATGCATCTTCAAGAGCTTTGTCGATAAGGACGACCTCGTTCTCAAGATCTGGGGTCTAGACATGAACAAGAGATCATGGGAAGTGATGTATTCCATAGATTTATCTTGTCTTCCCCCGGAATTCAAAGAATCGAGGATCTCCCCGATAGAGACGATCCACAATTATGTCATCATTTCAAATGGTAAATGTCGCCTCTTGGTGCCCTGCGGTTCCGAGAATCGTATTTTCTATCCTACCTTTCCTTTTAATTTTGACTCTATCAAGCCTTATTTTGAGACGCTAGTCTCTGCTTACCAATAATTATGTTGTTACTTTATTTATTAATTAACTATTCAGGCTTTTCCTGAATTTTATTTATCTGCTCAATTTGCATTTCCTGGAGTTGAGACAAAATTTTGGTTAAATTTAAACAAAAAATTTTAGTTTATGTTTATAAAATAATCCCTGTCGAGGGAAACGAAGCGTTAAGACAAAACCACCTTTCTCAAATAACAGACCTCAGCCATGTTTATCAAATCAAGTATACATACAAAACGTAGAAAAAAAGTATCACCTCTAATTTTATAAACCTTTTGATGGTTTTGTGTAGATTAATGTCCATCTAGCATGACCATAATACGAATTTGTGTATATTTAATGATTATTACTGAGACATGCAATGCATATATTATTCTATAATACGATGACAAGTGCTTACAAAACAAAGGTAAAGAATATGTCGACAAGTTGGGCGTCAATAATACGTAAAACGAGTTGACTTTTTTTTTTGTTTTTTGTATATCCGGGTCTGGTCCACTTTCTGGAGTATCTTTTATAAATTTGGTTCTGACTTCCGATATTACAGTTAACATTATTTGTCAAAAATTCACTCCAATAGTGTGTCAAAATATACCAAAACAATAAGATCGAGAAATGTATTTGTAAATAAGATAAAACATGACCTACTTTTAGTCACCACTTTCTGACTCTTATCATCTCCATTATACTATCGGCGACTATGATCGAGTGAGTAACGCGAAATTATTTTGAGGGAAGAAATTGAAACTTGATTAACTTTATCGAAACATGACGAAACCCGCGCGTCTCGTGTCGTGTGAACACACTGAACAAAAAAAAAAAAAAAAAAAAAGAAAAAACAGTCGTTAGCTTAAATTAATATGCCTGGACCTGCTCAACATGTTAATGACCAAAATACCCCCTCAATTGTCTCATCGAGACGACCAAACTTTTCCCACCTTTTTACCATTTCTCCGCGTCGTAAGAGTCTCTCTCCACCCCCTCTCTGTCTGATTCTCTCTCTCTCTCTCTCTCTCTCTCTCTCTCTGATTCTCTCTCCAACGCCATGCTCGGAGAGAAAGATCTCGCCGGAGATGGAGAGTGCTCTCGAACCAAAACATCAAAGCCTCGGTTCTCTCATCTAAACAACGACAACCAAGATGAGAAAGTTGGTCGGTTTCAGAAAGGCGTCGATTTCCTCAGCGTTCGGTCCAATAACCTCGACGGTCTCTCTTCGAAATCATCACCCAGATCAGGAAACGAGCTCACTCTCAGCTATCTCTGCGAGAACCGCGAGCTTTCCGGGAAAATCGCTGAAAGTCTTGGTCAAAAGGGGAAAGAGGTGGTCACGTTCTCGGAGAATTCGAGCTACGATGACAAATGGATCGAGAGGGATTTCTTCAATCTGAGAGAAATCGGTCCGAATTCTTCCAAGAGAAAGGCTCAGGAAGACGAAGTTGAAGAAGACGCTGAAGAAGATAAGAAGAAGAACAAGATCGAAACCCTAAATCTCTCTCTAGCTCTGCCGGACGTCTCTCTCTCTCTAACGGCGTCAAACGCCGTCAAGAGGCCCAGGGTGGCGACGAACAGCGAGCGAACTACGACTTCTTTCTCGAACGATTTCACGGCGACGGCGCCGTCAATGTCCTACTCCTACTCTCACCCTTTCTCTCACAACATCAGCTGCTCCATGACTCGAAACTCCACCGACTTCGATTGCTCCGTCGGGAAAGACGACCATATCTGGTGCGCCGGCGAAGGAACCAACGGATCTGTTCACAGCAGATTCAGACCGATCGGCGACGGCGTTACGCTCGCGAGCAACCCCATCTCCGGTAAACCCACGAGCTCCTCCGATTACTCCTTCTTCCCTTCCGAGTTACCAGCTCGCCCCGGGATGGAAGTCACGGTCTCCGGCGACTCTAGGAAGAAATTACCCAATTCGGAGGAAACCGACGCGTCCAGATCGGAGAGGGTTCTCTTCGACATCGTCTCGGAATCTATTTCTTCCGTAGCGTTGATTATCCAAGGCATGGCTGATGAAACCCTCGAATCAGCTAAAGAGCACTTGAGGAACTTGATCGATTCGCCGGAGAAGAAGGAGAAGCTGACGAATCTTCAGAACCAGCTGGACAAAAGATCTGATCTTAGCAAAGAGACGTTATCGAAATGCGTCAAGGATCAGCTAGACATCCTAGTAGCTGTGAGAACAGGGCTCAAGTACTTCCTCTCTGGTAAAATCCGAATCCCCATGAACGAATTGGTAGAGATCTTTCTGTTTCTGAGATGTAGGAACGTGAACTGCAAGAGTCTCTTGCCTGTTGACGACTGCGAATGCAAAATCTGTTCCAACAACAAAGGCTTTTGCAGCTCGTGCATGTGTCCGGTCTGCCTGAGATTCGATTCAGCTAGCAATACTTGTAGTTGGGTTGGGTGTGATGTCTGCTCGCATTGGTGTCACGCCGCGTGTGGGATTCAGAAGAATCTGATCAAACCGGGACATAGCTTGAAAGGTCCTCGTGGTACAACCGAGATGCTGTTCCACTGCATTGGATGCGCTCACAAATCAGAGATGTTTGGATTCGTCAAGGATGTTTTTGTGTGTTGCGCCAAGAATTGGGGACTCGAGACTCTCATCAAGGAGCTCGATTGCGTTAGAAAGGTGTTCCGAGGAAGCGACGATGCTAAAGGCAAGGCATTGCATTTCAAAGCCAATGAAATGGTGAAGAAGTTAGAGAGCAAACAGATTTCCCCGCTCGAGGCCTCTAACTTCATCATTCAGTTCTTCAACTGTAAGTCCATGGTTTAGATAGAATATTAGGAATATACAACCTTATGGATTCTATAGGTTAAAAGTCTCTTTATCACAAATTCTTGCAGATGCAGAGTCGGTAACAGAGTTTCCGGAACCAAAGGAGGTAACAGCTGCAGCGGAAACGAGCTACAGAAAAGACGAGGCATCTGTGACGCCTTCAACATCCAAGGATCAGAAGAAGAAGAGCTTTGCGCTAACCGATGCGATGATGAACAGTTTCGATAGTTTGGAGAGCATGGTGAGAATAAAGGAGGCTGAAACAAGAATGTTCCAGAAGAAAGCGGACGAGGCGAGAATAGAGGCGGAGAGTTTCAAGAGAATGATAGAGATGAAGACGGAGAAGATGGAGGAGGAGTACACAGAGAAGCTGGCGCGGCTGTGTCTGCAGGAGACGGAAGAGAGGAGGAGGAATAAGCTGGAGGAGTTGAAGAAGCTCGAGAACTCGCACTGCGATTACAGGAACATGAAGCTGAGAATGGAGGCTGAGATTGCAGGATTGTTGAAGAGAATGGAAGTTACAAGACAACAATTGGTATGAAGGAAATCTGAGAAACAGAGCCTTTTCAATCATCCATTTCTCTCCTTGATGTTTTTTTTTTTGGGGAAAATATCAAAATAGTGAGTGATAAGTGTTTTATTTGTTTCTCTGGGCATTGCCTTCTGAATTTCAGTTTTTTTTAATCAATAACTTCGTTTTTTTTTTGCTTATAACTATAACTATAAATATTTATGTTTATATAATACGTTTATTTTGTATTAAGTAAATCATATGTATCAACGTATATTTTGGTTCTAAAGATTTATCATTAAAAGAATATGAAAATAAGAAGACAACTAGTAGAGGGGATTGAATTTGTCTGACAAAAATTTTACTTTTGAGAGAATTCTTTTAGTTAAATAAGTGAAGGATCTGTCACTAGATGAATTTTGCAGAAGTTATTTTCACCCAAAACTTATTGATAACAGTTTTTAAAAAAATAGCACTTAAGAGTCAAGACTCTTTTTTGGTTAAGTAATAATAGTACTTAACATTTACAAATAACATACTTTTGAGAAAAAAAAGTAGGGTAATAAAACTTCTAAACAAGTGAATGGTAGTGGCATGAAATATTTGGGACCGTTGGAATTGCTTTCTTACGTGTAAATTTATCACTATAATTAAAATATGCAAATAATATAACTTTCAGTAGGCATCAAAGAGCAAAGATCAACAAGAAAAAAATATCCAAAAGTAAATTTGGGGAATCAAATACTATCAAATAATCACTCTCAGGACCCGATTAGATATCACACCAATCACATTGACACACCAAAACAAACAGACAAGAATTCCTTGAATTTTACAATAAAGAAAAATTTAATCTTTTGTTTTGAAACAAAGAAAAGATTAATTTAACGGTGAGCTAATATAGGAATCCGTCAAGTATAACGGCCAAGAGCGACGGAGAAGTCGACGGAAACGCCAAAGAGTAGAATGGCTAAGCCGGTGAAGTTAATGAGACGTGACTCAGCGTTTGTGCTCTGACCAAGCATCGTGGCTCTTTCCATGAGTCCGGTAAGTGCTGCGACAATACCCATATAAAGTAGAGCCCGACCACCTAAGACGTGCCACGGCATCATCCTCGTTCTTGTCCCCGAAGAAGATTGTGGCGCAAGGAATGTGAACGCACCGAATAGCCACTGTAAATACACATCACCACCACAATATTCAACAAATTATCGTTCCTTTAATGAACGTTAATTAATATTTATAAAATTTAAATTAACCTGGATGCCGAGGAGGATGAAAGTGGTGAGACCGATCCAGGAATGAAGAGAGACCATGTCTTTAATGTTTACCATGTCGTGGAATCGAAAGGCGGCGCAAATTCCGACAATGCCTAGAACTAAGCCTATCAAGTGAAGCCCACCGTGAACCATTTTCTGTACTTGGTGCGACGCATACGCCGTTTTGTACGTCATCATCGCTGCACAATCATTCTTTTTTTTTAATCCATGCAAAATTCACGAATTTAGTAACTTCTTCCCTTTTTTTTTTTTGGAAGAAATCACGTGATAGACGAAAGCTAACGAAATTGAAACAGATTCGCTGGCAAATTTCCCTCAAACTTAACCGGTTACTTAATTTCGGCGGCAAAAATTAACTACACTTAACTGGTTCTATTCTTCTATATGCTAGATCCATCTGCACGCAAAATTAAATTGTATATGCCAAAAACCATAATATAATTTTGAGGTCGTGGTAAAATTACCTTGGCCCACGAGGAAGAGAAATCCGCAGTACATGAGAAATGGGTGCACCTAGATGTCAACCATTTTCAAACCGAAACAATACAATTAGCTAAGATTTTAATTAAGTTCAAACATAAAATATATGATTGAACTATTTGAAACATGTACATACATATATGTGTAAAAATAGAAACTTACATTTAAAACCTTAAGGGGATTGTCGGAGCCATACTCGATGCCTTCACGGTAATGGAGAAGCCATATGAGCATTAGAACAACGGCTAAGATGCCAAAGAAATGAGCCACAAGTGTCGAAAGCGACGAGTGACGCTTTAAAGTTGTTCGATCCCCTGAGAGGTCCATTTTCTGACCACTTCTTGTTCAAGAAGATGATAACTCAATTACTGATGAGAGAGAAGAGAAGGGACTCGAATTTGCTAGATTGTCTATTACCGGTTCTGTTCTGTCGGGTAAGGATGTGTGATATCTTAAAGGGTTATTTATACTAAAATACTTGATGTGTGAAAACAACTAAAAGCAATATATAAATAGAGAAACATAAAATCGCACGTAAGTGTGTACCTCTAAGCCTTTAACAAATGTTGTTAAAGTCGATCCGCCGGTTCGATTGATTTGACCACAATTTGGATAAAACTTGTGGTTTAGACAAATCAGCACTTAAAGAAGGAAACAAAAATCGTAATAGATGATCAAAATTATTTTGATTTATTCAACTAAACAACAACAACAACTTATATAAGTACATGTGTGTTTTGACAAACCGATCGATTCGATCGGGAAGATGACCTATAACTAAGACCTAAAATATAACTTAGTTCGATTTTGTTATTTATTTCTTAATAACTTCGGTAACTTAATTATGCTAAGATATTGGTGAATGAGTTGCTTACGTATAAGGGTTTGGAATATATAAATGAAGGGGTTTCTGTAGCGAAGACAACTAAGGGTTTCAATCTTTTGGATTTTTTTGTACGTTTGATTCTAATCTCATCTATCTAACTCACTTTGGCCCTACCTTCTATTGCTTTTTTTTCTTCTTCTAGAATTGCAATCTTTATGATGTAATTCTTTAAATTTTGAGCTGTAGGGTAGATTTAAAAGATGGAAGAATCAAGACTGGTGATCGCTTATAAATCATAAAGAAAATGATAGGCTTACAATAATGTACATAAGCCTCTTTGATATATATACCTTTAGTTGTTCAATGATAGAAATGCAAAGCTAAAGGAGTGAGAGAATAACCAAATACTAACTCGTCAGCCATTATTGGACTTTTTAGACCTTCCGAGAGGACTAGAAATATTAGACAAAAATATAACATGAAATAGTACTATATAGTATATCTTGAACAAATTACACAACCAGTTATAGACTAAAGACACGATTATAGCTACAACCCAACTCAAAAGACAAACCTCACTCTTGGCTTACACAAATCCCATTCAAAGGGGGAAGCAAGAAAGAAACGACATCATCCTTGACTATAAAAACATTAGAAGCAAGCCTCTGGACCATAACCACATCTTGAAGAGTTACAAACAGTTTGAGAACCAAAGATTACGTCATGCATTGGCAATAATCAAATTTTATTAAATAGAGACTAAACTCGGGAAATAACAAACAGTGCCTCGCATGGAACCCATGGAATCAGAAGAGAAAGCATCATCATAGATTACGGTATCGAGTTCATGAGTCACCAGTGTTCGCCAACGACCACTAAACAACAATCTCTTCTTCTTCTTCTTCCTCTCCTCCGCATTCAAAAGTGCTAGTGTGGCAAGACTGAGGATTCTTTCGGGATATCACACCAATAAGGAAGAAAGTCCATATGTATGGAACACAATTTGTCCCATGTCTTGTCGCCTTAATTGAACGACCATATCACTTGGTCAGACGACGACTTCATCACGGATATGCACAAGCGGTTGTCGAGGTTGCACATGACCAAAATAATAGATGAATAAATTATTTTCGTTAATTCACTAAACAACAACAACTTATATAAGTATATATTTGTTTTTTGATAAACTGATTCGATCGGGCCGGTGACCTATAACTTTGGGGGAGGGGGGGGGAGTTTGTTATTATTATTTCTTTATAATTCCTATAACTTAATCATGCTAAGATATTGGTGAACAAAAGAGTTGCTTACGTATAAGGGTTTGGAACATATAACTAAAAGGGGGTTCTATAGCGAAGACACTCTTTTGGATTTTTTTCGACGTCTGATTCTAATTTCATCTATCTAACTCACTTTGGCCCTACCTTCTACTGCCTTTTTCTAGAATTGAAATCTTTGTGATTTGATGTACGAAATTGTTTTATCTTTTAAAGTTGAATAAAGAGAGAGAGAGAGAGATCCAAGACGGAAATATAGAGGACTAAACAAATATTTTTTTTAAATTGCAAAATATAAAAATGGATTCGACTAGAGCGAGGCAAGGCAAAGTATCCACAACCAGAGTATACTAATCGTTTTTCTATTTAATAGTTTATGAAAAAATGATAGTATTAAGTATTGATTAAACGTTTATGGATTATACACACAAAATACGTATTATAAAGTGAACTGAACTAGAATTTGAGCCGAGTATTAGTTTAGTTTAGATATATTTCTTTTTTGATTAAAATTCCAAACCAAAGTGAAAAACTCCGAGCTAGAACAGTAGAGCTTAATATATATGTCGATTAGTCAAAACAACCCACACACTAATAAAAAAGTTTACGTACGAAACCTTTCATTTCTAATGAATTAAAAATTACATTTTTTAAAAGTCTTCGACAGTTATTTGAAAATGAGCTTTTAAAACTCATCACTATAGTTCAGTTAAAACAACACACATTAGACGTGTGTGGGTTTCAGGTTTCCAATTTCCATAGATAATTTTTTTTTTTTTGTAAATTGTCATTAGTCTAATGGTTATTTTGCTGTTTTATCTAAAATTAAAAACATGATACCAATCAGAATCAAACCATCTAACATTTTTGTAATTGTATTGTATAAGAAATCTTCACATTTTAGGTTTAGCAAAGGTGGAAGCTTGTTTGATATGTTCATGAAGTAGTAATTTTCTAATCGAGGCATTGAGACCAATCCGCATATTCTCCGATTATCTTTACTCTTTTTCCGTCTCTTTAATTTTCCTATGGTTTTTTTTTCATGTGGATCAATTGTAATTTTTTCTTGTCAAAATTTGATTTTTTCTTACATAATTGGGTTAGAATATGTAACTTTGGATCACTTTGGATATATGAATCTACAAAACTCATACTCTCCCTTTTTTTTTCTTAACAAATTTAGTTATTCAAAATATGTAAATTTTTTAAGTTATTTACAATTCTCCAAACTTGTAAAAGAATCATCCTAAACTAGTATTAGCCGCATTTTGAGTGCATAATAGGTACAATAATGTATATTGTTTTCTTATTTTCTGTGTTTATTAGCATTATATCAAGTTAATAGAGGTGGAGAAAAAATTCAAACTAAAGCAGCTTTTCATGCTTTCACTTGTGGTTTATCTCCACTTGGTTCCACAGTTTTTTTGGAGATTTCCGAATTTTGGTGACAAATGTCTATGAGACACTTAATGAACGTGTGAATGTGATCATTAATTGATACACCACCTTCTTTGGAAACCTATGTAAGCATGTTATTCATCCAAACTGTTGTACTGCTTTGTTAGCATATACATTTTACAGTTTTATCCAAATACCGTTTACGTTTACAGTTTTCAAAATGATTAAAGGCCTTGGAGTGGGAATTTCATTTGTGTCTTTTGCACAAGATGTTATGATCCTGAATCAAAAGCAGCATCTGTCATAACCGATCTGCCAAATGATATACCAGTTTATCACTACTCGACCATGGTATCCTGTTTTTCTATTGATGTTTTGTTGCAAAGACTTGCTAATTCATAGACTTGTCCACAATATTCTTTCATAAACAAATATTCTCTCCGTTTTAGTTTATAAGATGTTTTAAAAATTACACATTAATTAAAAAAATTTGTAAAATGTTTATTGGAATCCTTTTTATTATTATTTGTTTATTTGGTTATCAATTAATGTAAGAGTAAAACAAATTATTTATAAGTAATTTTTGCATTGATTTTTAAAAACATTATATATTTTCAAACAAAAAAAAGTCCTAAAACATCTAATATAAAAAAACGACTTGTCTAATTGTATGGAAGCACACCAAAGACTTTTATGGTCTATGCAGAAGGAAAGTTAGACTTGGAATCCAGCAACAGCAAAGGAAGCAACAACTCTGCTGAAGGAAAGTTAGATGATTTGAAGACCAAAGAAGAAGCTCGGTGTTGCTTGTTGGTGTGTCACAAATAATTTTTTTTTTTAACTTGTTTGGTATTTTCTTGTGAAGTTATCAGTAATCCGTATTGACACATACCGGTTTTTATTCTCTTTGTGTTTCTTTGAATAATCAGGTTATGGACAAAGATGTTGAGAAATTTTCATATATAGAAGATCGGATCTTTGTTTCACAACTCTTAATAAGCTTCAAATATTTGCCTATGCAACTTTTTTTATAATATATATATACATCTCAGGGTAAAGTTTTCAGACCCTGTGGCATGTCCCATTTGCTCGATCGACAATTTTTTTTTTTGCAGTTAACTAATTATAAGAAAGTAATAATGAAAAAGCTGCAAACAAGAATCTTAAAATTATATAAACCGATACGCACCATATCTTCAAGAGTTACAAATTTGGACACACAAACAGTTTGAGAACCAAAGATTACATCATGCATTGGCAAAAATCAAATTTTATTAAACAGACACTAAACTCGGGAAATAACATACAGTGCCTCCCGTGGAACCCATGGGATCAGCAGAGAAAGCATCATCATAGATTGCAGTTTCGAGTTCATGAGTCACCAGTGTTGGGCTGTGATAAGGATCACAAAACAACAGCCTCTTCTTCTTATTCATCTTCTTCTTCCTCTTCTTCTTCCTCTTCTCCGCATCCAAAAGTGCTAGTGGCAGGACTGCGAATTCTTTTGGGATTTTACACCAAGAAGAAATAAAATCCAGATGTATGGAACACACTTTGCCCCATGTCTTGTCGCCTGAATTGAACGACCATATCACTTGTTTAGACGACGGCTTCACCACGGATACGCACAAGCGGTTCTCGAGGTTGCACATGGCCATCTGAGAAGCCTCTGCATTGGCAAACGGAGCTTTGGAGATGACATGAAAAGCCTGGGTGTGAAGATCGAAAGACACAACTTTGGTTTCTTGGCACTCTGTGAACCAATGAAGCGACCCGTCAACACACATAGGACCGGTCGAACCAGCAATCCGATAAGGAGCAGCGGGAGTAACATAACTCCAAGCGTTGGAGCAGAAATCGAAAACCTCGCACGTAGTAGCGTTTTCTAGGCCAATCTCTGCAGAGTTGTATAGCCAAACGGCCTTGTATGTGCCCGTTAATTTGTCCTTACCGAACCCAAGGTCAGAGATTGTGTGTCCGAGCGTGTAGTAACTATCTCCTAAGCGGACCCTGAGCCGTTGTAAATCGCAGAGAGGAAGAGTCCGATACCATCCGGTGGTGGGATTGACCACAAATCCGGGAAACCAGCGATCGTAGAGACAAACGAGACCGTCACAGCTGCTCCGACAAACTAAGTAAGGTATGTTCTTCATCTCCCGTGGAACAGGTATCTCGACCTGTGATGATGAACCCACCACCAGTGTTCTTAGAGATTTTACACGGTGAGGATGATAACACATCATGAAAACTTCTGGATCTCCAGAACTCTGTCCATGGATCAGCTGTCTTCCTTTGAAGAATGAGGATTCGATCGTTGATTTCCATTGCTTCGATACAGCCTTGAATCTCAGCAGAGATTTCGCCGGAAGCCTCTCCATGATATACTCTACCACTTCGTGGGGCAGCGACTCCGATTCCGTCCTCAAACAACGACGTTTGTTCCACATTCTTGCGTTGATGAAACAGATACGTTGTATTCCACCAAATAAATAGAAGAAACTAAACCTACAAGAAAGAGGAAAGTTTCCTTTTCTAAAATATCAATACGAATCTGAATCGGATTTCATGATTTTCTAATCAGATCGAGGAAAAAAAAATAGATTTTTTTTTTTCTTCTCCATCTTCGCTCTTCCCTCTCTCTCTCGTTCGATCTCTCTCCATTTGTTCTTTGTTTTGTTCTTATTGTCAGAAATCTTTTCATATTTTATTTTTCTCTTTTCTTCTGGGCTTTGATTATTCTTTGAGCTCCAGAACCCAAATATGATATAAACCGACGGTCAAGATCATGTCTACATATCTCCTCGAATTTGTTTTTTTTTTATTTATTTATGATTTATTTTGAATTTTTATTAAAATCCGACAAAAAATGGGACCCACCAGAACACATCATCCGACTTAAACTGTTTAGAATAATGTAGGACCCACCAGAACACATCATCCGACTTATTAAACTGTTTAGAATCATCGGGGACCCACAAAGGTGGAAGAATCGCTTTTTGATCATAAAGAAGTTGCGCTGCTAACGTACACCCGAATAAGAGGAAGTTGCGCCATTCAATTTCGAGGTGATTGACGATAACACCATAAAACATTTCAGCCATGATCATAACCTGAATCAACAAAGATGGCCAGATTCTAACTTAAAGCATTTGTTTGTGAGGCATGTGTCTTCCAGATATGTTCAGAGGGGCAGTGGGATTTTCGTCTCCACCAAAAATGTGCTAACCCTTTTCTCAGAAGAAACAATTATAAAAGTTTCATAAATAAGATGCCTGAGTTTCGAGATTTATCAATTACATCATTCACAAAAAGCGCCATATATATGTATGTATCCTTGATACCAATTCAAATTTAAAAACGAAACAATTATAAAAGTTTCAAAATATATATATGCTTTTTTGGTACCAAGGGAGTTGGAGTTATAGTTACTTGTGATGATTTGTGACTAATGTCGGGACACATGTGTAAGCACCAAAGCACCTTATGCTTTATTGCTATTTTTGTTTCCTTGTCTACGTCTTTTATATATCTCTTTTTTCTTTTCTTTCTTACCGTCTAATTTTTAACGTGATTATATAATTTTTTTTTGTGTTAAAAGCATAATTATATGAGTTGATTGTGTATAAATTTTAAATAATAAATTAATAACATCTTGAGATGGTTTCGGACCAATGCCTACCAATTTTGTTTTATTATTAACATGCACGATTGATTCAGTGTAGTAAATAAAAAGTAATTATGAAAAAGAAAGTTGATATCTAAAATTTGAAGTTGTAAAAAAATATAAACCATTCATAGCCAGACGTACTCTGCAGTTGATATTCAATTTTTTTGGGTAAAATGTAAATGCAGTTGATATTCATATTCTGATATTCATGACATTTCTCTCACAAGCCTCTCTCTCTCTCTCTCTCTCTCTTTCTCAAATCCATAGCTCGTCCTCAACACGCTAGCTAGCCTCCCTCATATTATACAAAGAGACAATTACACAAGATTCATTAATCTTCACAAAAATGCGTTTTCTCACTCGATTTTTAGTTTTCATGTCACTCTTCACCGGTTTGATCTCTGGATTTTCTCTACCAAAGCTTCCTATCATACAGTTCGACGAAGGTTACTCACAGCTATTTGGTGACCAGAACCTGATTGTTCACGGAGACGAAAAATCCGTTCGGTTAACGCTTGATGAGAGAACCGGTTTGTCTTCTTATCCCTCTGAGTCTTTCTATTTCTGTTTCTTTTTTTTTATAATAATAATTTTCCTAAACTGATACTCTTTTCAAATCGTATTTACAGGTTCTGGCTTCGTCTCAAATGATATTTTCTTAAATGGGTTCTTCAGTTCCTCCATCAAATTACCAGCAGATTATTCTGCAGGAGTTGTTATCGCCTTTTATGTAAGTCACAATCTCTCTAATATCCCACCATGGATTCTTAATTTTGAGCTAATTGGGTCCACCCAAAACTAACCAATCAAAGATATTTCTCTTGAATATTTTGCTTCACTGTTTCCATGAGATTAGATAAAGGAAAAATGCCTTAATCTTGTTTTTGTGTGGGTTTATGCATTTTTTCTTATCCTCAGCTGTCAAATGGAGACATGTTTGAGAAGAATCATGACGAGATTGATTTTGAGTTCTTGGGGAATATTAGAGGCAGAGAATGGAGGATTCAGACCAACATTTACGGCAATGGAAGCACGCATTTAGGCAGAGAAGAAAGATACAATCTCTGGTTCGATCCAACAGAGGATTTTCATCAATACAGCATCCTCTGGTCTCTAACTCACATCATGTAAGTGTAAATCAAAACCAACTTAATTTCGTTCTTAATCATCCTCTTAAGTCTCAGTTCAACTAGTCGGCTTAGACATTTAATTATATAGATTAGCAGATAGTTGAGGTTATGAACAGAGGATTTAGATGGGTGAAAAAAGTCGTGAGATTGGGCGTTTATGAGTCTTTTTTTGATCTTGGATACTCTTTAACCGTCAAGTGAAGTTTATGTGTGATGGTTCAATTTACTTTTCGTTCAATTTTATATGTAAAGCTAGTGGAGTTAGTTTCTTGTTGTGGAAAGTTATGTGATTTACAGCTTTCGACTCTTAGCAACAACACAGACCCAAACAGAGTATTTTTTGGATGAGAGAATCTAGATTCAGTCCACTGAAAGCTATATTTTTTAACCAAAAATGTCATCTTTTTATATAATTTTCATGTGAATTGTTTTTTGGGGGTATATGAATCAATAGCATTACTTCCTCTGAAAGCTGTAACTTTTTTACCAAAAATGTCACCTTTTTATATAATTTTCATGTGAATTGTTTTTTTTTGGGGTGTGAATCAAAAGCATTACTTTATGTTTTAATTGCAGATTCTATGTAGACAATGTTCCGATCAGAGAAGTCAAACGCACGGCGTCAATGGGCGGTGACTTCCCGGCGAAGCCAATGTCTTTATACGCAACCATATGGGATGGCTCCAAATGGGCGACCAACGGTGGCAAGTACGGTGTAAATTACAAATATGCCCCCTACGTAGCTCAATTCACCGATCTGATCCTCCACGGCTGCGCCGTCGACCCCACCGAGAAGTTTCCGAGCTGCGAAAACGGAGCGGCAGAGGATCTACGGCTAGCGTCCGAGATAACAGAGTCTCAGAGGAAGAAAATGGAGAGTTTGCGGCGGAAACACATGACTTATTCGTATTGTTACGACCGTATGAGGTACAAGATGGCTTTACCGGAATGTATGGTGAATCCGGAGGAGGCTAAGCGTCTCAGGGTCTATGATCCAGTCACGTTCGGTGGGTTCCCTCGCCGCCACCGTCATGGGAAGCACCGGAGCAAAAGCCGCTTTGGCGGAACTGAGTCGGTATGATTTGGTGGTATTGTCTGCTACGGGGCATTTTTGGCATTTCCTGTCTTGTTTAGGAATATATGAATTATGGACTGACACATATTTTGATTTCCTCTACTTTACAAAAAAATGTCGTTTAACGTAATAAGATTTTTTTGGCTTTTCTATTTGTAAAGGAATAATAATATCAAATATAGTTTCGACTTTCGACTATTTGACACTGGTAAATTATTAGAATATTACAGTAATGTTAAATTTGCATGAAATGTCAATAAAAAAAAACAATTAGGCATAAATGTTTGTTTATAAAGAAGCAGAGAGAAAATACAAACGTTTTCGTTATCTTGGTCTCCTACGAGCTTTTCAACAAAAAATATTTACGTTTTGTTTATGGGTCCACTAAATTTGATTGACTTTTTTTGCCAGCAAATATTATTGACTTAACAGTCCGTTTTACCATATTGACATATTCATTCACTTCGTTCACATATAAATTGTCATAATGACATTGATAATATCAATTCGAGGTACATCAGTGCTTGAAATTGTGGGTCCGTTTGGGATGACTTTCGTCCGATATTTTTTCATTTAAATTGTATAATACAGAAAAATGGATTTTTGTTACACTGCAGAAAAATTGAGGTCAATGAATCGGCCAAAAACAGACACACCCTGAAATTTTCTAGTGTTTTGGTTAAAGATCACATAAAACACGAGTAAGATAAATCATCTGTATACGTGTCATCTTAGTAGATGTAAACTCGGTTATGTACAGACATATCTCGATAGTTTATGAATGATACCGATGACTGGTAAGGAAAGAAGAAAATTCGTTATTAGTGGGGAATATCAAGCTTTGATTATTAGTCATGGTCAGCTCTTACATATATGAATACATGTAAGAGTTTAGTACTACTAATCTGAAATTTCTAAAGATCCATTTTACAAAATGAAAGTTTCAAACAACCATAAGATAATAATATCTCATATATTTTCAAAACGTGACAACATTTCTCTATCTCTTTGTGTCGTCAAAGTCAAATGGACCCAAACTTTGACAAAATGCCTTAACTTACAAAAACATTGAATGTACCTTGTGGACCCATATTGGATCCATATGTTAATCTTTACAATTATATAATGGGCCTTGTGGCCCATTTGATCGAAAGCAAAATGTGACGTCACTTAATAATCTTGTTTGAACGAAGTTAACACACAGCATCTTTAAGGAAAAGATGCGGAATATCGAATTCGTTCCAACGTATATGATATGCGTAAAATACTTTTCTACTTCACAAACGTGAAACTAATCTTACTTTTCCAATGAAGTAACTGAATTTTTTTGCGTTTCATTACTGAATTAATATTTTGGCGTAAATAAACTAATAATTCGAAATCTGCATAACAAATTTATGAAGAAAAGAGGAGAAAAATGAGACTGAGAGATGTGATGAAGTGATATGAGCCACCGTTTAAGACTCTAAACGCATGCGTCTTAATTAAGCCAAAAATCACTCTTACCATTTACACCTCTTTCCTCAAAAACCCTAGATCTCTCTCTCTCTTTCTCTTTCTCTTTCTTTCGTCTTGCCTTTTAGGAAGCTTCCCTTAATTTATACATCACTTTAACTAGATTACTCAGCTTCACCGTGACGACGAGATTCTCGTTTTGCCAGATCTGCACTGTTTCACTCTTTGCTTGCCTCATAAAACCATCACATTTATCATTTATGGTGATTCTTTGCTACTTCTAAATTTGTTTGTGGGGTTTTAATTTTTACATCCAAAATTCATCTACTTTTCCCCTGGGTTTTATCGGAATTACGTTCAATTCGAGTTTTTTTTCCCCAGGATTTAGTGTGCGATCTCGTTGAATTCAAAGTGATCTTTTCACCAATTACACTCTGTTTTTGTTTGATCCTGCAGATCTGTTTCAAGGAAGCTTTGAGTTGTGTTTGATAGCTAGCGACTAGACAAGGGGAATAAAAAAAGAAACTTGCTTTTTTCTCCAGATACCTTCGTCTTCGTCCTTTATTGTTGCCGCAAAATGGCAATGCCACCGGGAAACGTTCCTCCTTCCGACAAATTGCAGTTTCCGTCCGCCGCCGCCGTCGCCGGAAACTGGATCCCCGACGGGAGAGACGGGTTTATCTCGTGGATTCGTGGGGAGTTCGCTGCAGCTAACGCGATCATCAACTCGCTGTGTCAGCATCTAGTAGCAATCGGGGATCAAAACGAATACGAATCAGTGATCTCAAGCATCCAGCACCGTCAATTAGGCTGGTCTCAGGCTCTGTATATGCAGCAGTTTTTCTCGATCGCAGATGTTTCCTACGCTCTACAGCAAGTCGCTTGGAAGCGGCAACAGAAATTGCCTCATCAGCATCCTCAAAGGCATTACAATCCCGATCAGGTTGGGAAATTCGGGGGAAGGAGATCAGGTCCTGGGTTTAGCAAGCATCATCACGGTGGTGGTTACAGAGGAGCTGAGCCAGTGGCGAGAAACGGGCATCACTCGGTTTCGAATTCGGATTGCCATAGCGTTAGCATTGATCGGGAGGAACCTAAGCTAGCAAGTGATGATAAGGCGACGGAGGAGAAGATAGGTAATGAAAATAGTCTTTGGTTGCCTTCGTGGCTTTTCTTGCTTGTAAGAAAAGTTAACTTATGGGATGCTAAATCTTATCTGCAATTTGGTTTGAGATATGTGTATTGCGGAACATTTTGATTGTTGGAAGATCCAAGCTTATGCTGTGTGGGTTACTTGTTTGTAGTCTCTTGGAACTCCTGTTGGTTAATAATATGTATGCGTTGTGGTAATATGAAACTATGTTTGTTTGTGGGACAGATGGTAACGAGAAACCGAAGATTGATAGTAGAGATTTGGAAGAATCTGAGCCTGCTGGTGCTGAATCTCAAGCGGAAATAGTGAAACACGATTGTAACTCGGCTTCTAAAGGTACTTGGGAATTGGGATAACGGGATTTCTCGATTTTTCACCTGATGTTAGACCTTTTATGAAAATGTTTCGTTTCTGTGTTGTCTCTGTCTTTCAGATGACAGTCTTCTCAGTTCTGAGCAAAAGCAGGACGAGAAAGATAAAGAGTGTCCTGCAAGCATGGCAAAGACATTTGTTGTTCAAGAGATGTATGAAGCGAAAATGGTGAGTGATCTACTTCAATGGTTTGTTTTATAGTTTAAAAGCCTATAATACTAAATTTAGAGTTTTGTTGAGTAGGTTAATGTTGTAGAAGGATTGAAGCTATATGACAAAATGCTTGACGCAAAGGAAGTTTCTCAGCTAGGCTCTCTTCTAAAAAGTCTGAGAATTGCTGGACAAAGAGGTCAACTTCAAAGTAAGAGAATCTTTCTATGCACTACTGTAATGATTTTACTTGTTTATTAAGTCAGGTCTTAAAACCGCGGATTCATGAGAAACAGGTGAGGCATATGTGGGGTACAAACGGCCAAATAGAGGACATGGGCGCGTGATGATCCAACTCGGTCTCCCCATAGCTGATGCACCGCCTGATGATGAGAGTATCAAAGGCAAGTCCTTTCAAATATGTTGTGTACTTTATAAATCTCTGTGTATTGGTTAACATGAGATATGAGATTTATGCAGATCGAGGAATAGAGCCAATCCCATCATCTCTCTCAGACATAATTGAACGTTTGGTGTCAAAGCAAATCATACCTGTGAAACCAGACGCCTGCATCATTGATTTCTTCGACGAGGTTTCAGACTGATTGCTAAATTCTTAGTTGAAACCTGTTGAACTATATGTTTCTGTTTTGTTAACGAGGTAAGAGTTTTCTTGTGTATGTCTCTATATATTGTGAACCATAGGGAGATCACTCGCAGCCTCATATGTTTCTTCCCTGGTTTGGACGACCCGTCGGGATCTTGTCCTTGTCGGAATGCGATTTCACATTCGGAAGAGTCATTGTCTCTGATCATCCCGGCGACTACAAGGGCTCTCTCAAGCTGTCTATCACTCCAGGGTAAACCAACTAAACCTGTCGCTTAGTTTTGCAAAGTTCAATCCTTTTTCTCATCATCAATGCTCTTTATATTTTGGTATTTTGAACAGATCGGTTCTCGTGGTGGAAGGCAAATCAGCAGATCTTGCTAAGTTTGCAATTCATGCAGTCCGAAAGCAGCGAATTCTCATCACCTTCACCAAATCTCAGCCGAGAAACTCCGTAACCGGATCTAACCGGGGACCACCGCCTAGCAGATCCGTCATCCGTCCCTCAACCGGCCCACCTAAACATTACCCTGTTACCCCTATCACAGGCGTCTTGCCCACACCGTCTCACCGCCCACCAAACGGAGCTGTTCAACCGATTTTCATCGCCCCTTCTCCTCAGATGCCGTTCCCAGGTGGTGTCCCACCGGTGCCTACAGGCTGGCCACTGCCACTTCATCCACGACACCAGCCGCTTACACAACCCCGAATGCCCATCCCTGGAACCGGTGTGTTCCTCCCACCCGGTTCAACCAAAGAATTGGGTTTACAAGGCTCCCCAGAGAAGTCCAACAACGGCAACGGAGAAGGAAAGTTAGACTTGAAGACGAAAGAAGCAGCTCGTAACGGAATTGCTACGGAGGAATGCGATGGCAATAACGGTGACGCTAAACAGAGGAATTAGCTGATAATGAGAAGATTTAGAGCAAAGAGAGGAAAGAGCGGCGAATATGGAGCCTGCAGTTTTTAAACTGTAAAAAGAGCGGCGAATTCTATGAAACCTTTGTGTTTTTGCGACTTCAGAAATTGTTTTTAGGCGAGACCAAACAAAAAGAAAAGAGACGAGCAAAATTCACCCGTTTTGGCGTTTTCTACTCTCTAAAATCTTGCTTCTTTTGCCCTTTCCCTTAAAAATTATGTTTCTCCCTCGCTTACACTATCTACATATACACACTACAGCAGTACAATTTAACCATTTCTATATTTACAATTTATAAAGATATACTTAGTCTTTCTTATCAGCAAACGTTTCTCCAAGATATTCTCAAGAAAGTTGTTTTTGCAAAAGAAATAATTTGATTTTCGGCTTCGAAAGCTTAAGACATGAAACCTTATCTCTTGTGATACAACTTTTACTTGTGTGTGTTGTGGGTCTCATAGTTTTGTTCCTTTCTCCACTCTAGTAAATCGTATAACTTTAAAAATAAATTAAGAAATGGGTAAGTCTGTTGACAGTTTTTTCTCATTATATATTTTGTAAGATAATTTTGTCCGAGTAAAAGTGATCAATTCTTACAATTTTTACAACTACAGTAGTACTCATCCACAAAATGGAGTTGTCTTCAAGCCATTCCTATAACCACATGTTATCAATCATTTTGCCATATAATCTATTATTCTACACATTATCTATTACTACATGATTAAAGAGAATCTGAGCGTAGGACAAGAGATATTGACAAAATCATATCCAATCTTTATGCTTGAGGATCGGTCCCAGTTTTGTCCCTAAAACAGTAAAACTACAGTGAAAATTTGTAAATCATCAAGTTGTATAAGAATATATGCCTAAATTAAGAAAAGAATTATTTTAATATGGAAGCCAAATGTAAGTAAAAAGGAATAATCAAAGGATTAGGGAAGCATCAGTGACTTTTGTATAAGCCATTGTCCCATGTTGAGTATCACGGTGGCTTCCTAGTTCATTTCCTTTCCCATCTTACATATTTTCAATACTATAGTATCTTATTTGGAAAATCAATTTTTTGGCAAATTTAAGAACACTAATATTTATTTGTTAAATAATTAAATTAGACTTTTTTCACCAGCCCGCTGTGCTCAGCTTTGCAAGAGATGCAAATAAAATTTTATTCAGCAAAAGATTACTGAATTTGCAGATACTTTACTGTCGCGTCCTGATATGATTTGAAAATTCAAGGAAACAATAATTAATATTAACATCATAAATTCATAATTCATAAACAATACATCTCGGTTTAATTAGGATTAGGAAGCGAAATAAAGTGCCTCCTTGTTAGTTTTCCAGTGATGCAAAACGTGTCCAGAAACATCATAAAAAGCGACACGCAGTTCGGGTTCCGAGATGTGAACCGACATGAATCCTTGTCCGTCGTAGTAAAACCTCATCTCTTCTGGGACCAGGTAGTTCATGTCACCTTTCCAAGCCTTTGATCCACCTCCACTCGTCATAAATTGCATTTTACTATAAAAAGAGTTGTGAATAATTTTCCTTAAAACGACAAACGAATTTAGTCCGATCTTATCTAACATAATCGAATAAGTTGAATTATATATCCACCAAAAAAGAATCATCAAATCGGGCTCTGAAAATTGGAATGTTGGTTGGGCTCCACTCTATACGTTCAGTCATTTCATTGTTTTAGTTAATTTACCTGTCCACGCTGCTTATGTGCTCTAAGCAATGATCGTGCCCGTTTACGTAAAGATCCACATCATTCGCCTGATAAATCAAGAAAAGAAAAAAAAAAACGAGTTGGATCAGTATGATACATTTGGTGCATTACATATTCACGTGCATGTAATGAAAACTTTATAGTATTAATGAATTTGGTACGTGGAGAATAGGTAAAAGCCGCTTCTCCAATTCAATGGTGTTCCCGTGGTGGCCTGCGCTTTTGATCGTATGGTGACCAATCACTATCTTCCACTTTGCAGTTGAATCTCTCAATGCCACGTCGACTTCCTGTAGTTATCATTTTATATTTATATAGCTTTGGTTAGTTTAGTCACTTGCAGTAACTAGAATCTCTTTTTCGCATTAATATAATTTGGCTGATGAATAACTTATCTACGCATGCATTACAATGAATAACTAACTTGTTTGATGGGTTAGAAAATTATTACCTTTAAGAGATTAGTAAGATATGTATGTCTGGGTAACACGCCTCTCCAGTCATATACATGCTTATTTGGTTGGACAAAGTACTTATCGACGAATGGAGTTGTGTCCACGAACAAAAAGTCGACGATCTCTAGATAAAATATAGTTGTCCCATAATGAATTACTAACAATTGATTAATAAAATGTTTTTGAAAATCAACATTTAAGAAAATTGTGCTTACCAGCATTAACAACGAAAGATCTCATGCAAATCCATCTGTTGTCCAAAGCCCTAAGCATAGGGCTAAGTTGTGCCCCGACGTCACCTCTGTAGTCATGATTTCCTAAAACTATAGGTTGAAGAATATATATAATCTACACAATGGATCACATATCTTGCATATGATTTGATCCAATGCTTTTTTTTTACATATCACGAATACTTAAACATTATGATTCGTGATTAAATGAAATAGCTTAAATTGAAATTTACTACTTAATTACCAGAATACCAAGGTTTCTGCAAGCTTGCCGCAGTATAAATGTTAGTAAAAGAATCTTGAAATAGAGGATCGTGCAAACCAAGCAACCCATTGTCGTAAAAATTATCTCCCGTAGAGATTACAAAATCAATATCTAGCTTTTCTCCAATTTCCCCCATCTGTTAAAAATTATATGAACTAATTTAGTCAGTTACGTTACTAGTACAAAATAGACTTGCAAAAATGGTAAACAACATTTAATCACATTATTGATTTTTCCCCCTTTTTCTCACAGATTTGAATTTGCATGATACATAATTACATATATGTATATTTGAACAAGTGAGAAAAATATAGAAGTCACCTGAAGAGCTACGTGGGACTGATTATAGGAGCCTCTCCTTCCCCAGTCTCCGATGACGAGAAAGCTTATTGTACCATCTGGTTTCGCTGGCTGCAAAAGTCTCCGGAGCTCCGCTGTGGAACTAGTAGCGGAGAATGTAAAAACCAAATTAAGAACATAAACTACTAAATTTACAGGTTTGCATTTTAAGGCAGCCATTGCGAAATTGGAAGAAAAAAAAACGACAGAAGAGGAGAGATAGTGTATGGTGGACTCTGTTGTGCTTTGCTTTTCTTTATACTTATATTATTTGGAGTTGAGAAATGTAAATATAATATTTAAGAAAAAAAAAATCTGATGATGGGCTGGCTTGTCCATCTTTAGCATTATGATGATATCAACTATTTTTTCATGTGTTTAATTTAAATGTATTTTGACAATATTATTTACAGAAAATATACACATTAATCATTCTTTGTTATCCACAGTACAATTGTAGCCACCAAATAAAAGACATGTTGCCAGCAAAATTTAAAACAAGAGCTAATGATTGATAAAAAATCCAATCAAATTGTTTTTCTTTTTTGTTATTCTGTCTTTTCATTGTTGTAGCCGACAAAATAGTGAAATACACAACTCGTTTGGTTTCCTATCTAGCTTGTGGGGGATCCAAAATACACAAAATTTTATTGAGTTTTTGAGCACATTGGTTCGTTTCTCCACTTCGTATGTCTGATTATGTTGTAATTTTATGATCTGATTTTGGGTTCACAGTAACTCGAGCGAAGTTTTTTGCTTCTTTTTTTTCTCTCCCGATTCTTTATACTTGATTGAATTCGATCAGGTATTTGATTTAATAAACAATGTAGGTGTAGTTTTTGTTTCTTTAATCATGTGTCTCAGCTATTTTTTTTTTCTTTTTAGAGGATTGATTGTAGACCTCAAGGCACAATCATCTAGAAGCCCACTTTCATACCATTTTTTCTTGTCTGCTTCTTCCATAAATCTTTATCAAAATTCATATAATCAACCTTTGTTTGGGCTTATATCCTCTAGTAGTTTAGAAAGTGGGCTTCAGACCACTAAAAAAAAAAAGCTTACGGAGTTTGAAGCAACAGACATAATTGTATTGTATGACGACGGTCGTTACAATTTTAGTTCCATTAAGTAATATAGTATGATGTAGTTATGACCATAAAATCTCCATTGAATCTATGGTGGTCCTAGACAGTGTCCTACTGTGACTTCATCCCAGTTAGGTAAGTCTTTAACCGGAACGTATAGATGGAGACAGGTGTTTCTGCTTTTTGTTTGGTTCTCAAGTTAGGTCAAATTGTCAGCATTTTCTTTGAGTCCAAAGTTTTGACCAATTAGCTTCGCGGAATTCTCTAGCTGTATTCACACATATACAACACAGCTAATAACAAAATTATTGAAACAGTGAGTTTGATGATGTAATGCCTAAATCATTATTCAACAACCTTCTCCTCCTCCTCCTCCTCTATGCAATATATGATTATATATTAGATCCATGTGGTGTTTGAGTCTTTACGTTGAAAATTGAACAAAGCGTAATCCTTTTTCTTCAGGTTACACGTGTGTGTAGATTAATCCGACTGTCTGGTTCATGATGGATGTAACTTGTAAGCAAGTGTTTTTATCAAAGATAAAGTATATGTTTTGCACATAATAATTAGAAATTTTTGATCTAGGAACGTAATCCATTACTGCCCAAGTGCATTGATTTATGGCCTTCTTAAATACCTACAATTTGTTTTTATTATTATCATCGTTACTTTGTTACTAATCTTTATACAACTGTATGAATCAAGTTAAAATAGAGACAAGTAGCAGAAAAGGAAGTGGAGGAGGAGCCTGTGAGAAATAATAGCATATCTTTCTCCTCTCTTCATCAAATTCATTATGCCTTTGTGATGATCACATGTTTTCTTTTCTATTTCCACTAATCACTCTTTTCGGATTCGTCATCTACATCTTTAATTTAAGTCCTTGTACGTATTATTTGGGTCTAAATAGAGATATCATATAAGCAAGACGGACATGTGGGGTCGACCACACGCCCATTTTGGTTCATCTTATCTTAAATAAATTAGAGAACAAATCTTTATCTTTTTGTTCTTTCTTTAATACTGTGAAATTCTATACGTGTTTTCAAATGATATATGTCACTTTAATGTGTTTACCATTGATTTGTGGAACAATCATAGAAGAAATGCAAACCGTCAACCCATTTGCAAGTTCAAATTATATCATCCATGCAGGAGTCAAATATTACAATATTACTACTGGTCACTGTTGCTAATATTTTGAATCATAAATCGGACAAAATCAAAGTTCCAATGAGCCACAGAAAAACAAAAACACAAATGTGTTCTTAGAAAAATATTTGATTTTAGCAACCTCCCAAGAACAAACAGGAGGCAAACACAATTTTATATACAACTACTCCATTATCGATCTTTATATAGTTTGTTTATGACAAATGCTATCATTGATGCTCAAGATTGTTGTATAATTTGCATCGAACTTATTAATTCATATATGAAGTGGTTAAAGCTTAACTTGTCGGCTAATAATTCAAGGTTTACCCCTTAATCGCCTTTTGTGCTGGTAACCAAATCGATTCTGACTCTCTCTTTCTACATCCCACATTTATTTTTTGGATTATCCTCTCTTTTTTTTTCGCTGCTTATGCATCTTTAATAGTATGGTTAAGATACAAACACAATCATTCAGAATGTAAATAGGATAAATAATGTCACAATAATTGCATATTTGATTAGTAGTTGTGGAGAGCAATAATGAGAGTTTTGGATAGGATTCTAACTTTGTGCTGATTAAATAAAGAAAATAAGATTTTCAACTTCTTAATGAAATTAGTGGAGTGGAGTGACATTGGCCACCACCACCACAGCCTCTCTTTTGATTAGACCACTTTGGCTTATTATTTTTGTTCAATATTACACATCTTTGCATTAATGCAGCTCCATACACCATTTTTTTATGTTTGCAAGTGCTTTAACTTTTTTATTCTCATGATAAAAGGTTCATTGCAATGCCTATTCATTACAATTGTTTGCTTAAAAAGCCAACTAGTTTAGAATTTAGATCACTTTAATCATATGATGCATAATACTAAAGTTATACTTACTTATAGTAATATATTATGGTTGGTCCACGGAGTCGCGTAATCATACAACGTATGCATTATATACAAGTCGAAAAATACATGTCATTAAAGAAGACAAATCTAACTCGCTCTCTTCTAATTGGCACGTGAAACATACGCTCCTCCATAATAGGCCACGCGCTCACCGTAACGCGCCTCCATTGGGTTTCTCGTTATTTTATCGTATTTTCATGTAGGCGAATAAAATAGTAGTATTAGAGAGAATAACGAGAATAGTATAGTAATAAATAACATTTATGACTTTATGTAACGGCCAAAAAATTTGTCATAGAAATTTAATAATGTGATACAGTATGACAATTGACAAAAAAGAAGCTCAGTTTTATTTAACTATTTTTCTTCTTCACTCTTCTACGTATAATCCTCTCTTTTCTTGCAACTTTTGCTCGGAATTCTATGATTTGCTGATCAATATTTTTTTTTTCTCTGCAAAAGTAATGAGAAGCTTTTTCTATGTTGAGCTTCAGATCTAAAAAACCTGTTTCTGCGAGAGTAATGGTCTCATATCAATTGTGGTTTCTTTGAATTTTAAGCAGCCATTGTCTCACAAGCTTTCCTCTTTCTCCCTCTAGCTCAAGATTCTCTTACCTTTGGAGTAAGTAAAGTGAGAGAAGCAAAATTCGGTGAAATGCTTGAGACTGGAAGCCCTACGAGTCTCTGTTTCCGTACAAACACTACTTGTAATGCTCTACTTCGAGAGCTTCAGGTTTTTCTTCGACCACTCTCTTCTTCTTCTCTGTTTCTTGGGAATTTAGGGTTTATTGATAGCGATTGATTCCTTCTACTCAGGGGGAAAAATGGTCACTATAGATAGATAAAGCCTTCTCCTTTTTCGGCCTCTATAAGTTTAAGAGTTACTGTGAATTATGTCCCTCTTTCTGGAATTTCTTAAGAGTTTCTGTGAGATTTCTTTTATTTGTTCTTTTTCTTCTACAAGTATCTGTAAGAAATCTGATTTTGATGGTCTAATGGGAAATTTGTTTTGGTATGGAGCAGAAAATATGGGTTGATATTGGTGAGAGTGATGCTGAGAAAGACCGGATGCTAATGGAATTGGAGAAGGAATGTCTCCAAATCTACAGAAGAAAAGTCGATGAGGCTGCAAAATCCAAAGCACAGCTTCATCAAGCAATTGTGTCAACTGAAGCTGAAATTGCTTCTTTGATGGCTGCTCTTGGAGTCTTGAGCATCCATTCACCGGTATGAGCAAGTTTGCTTTTTTCCTTCTGTCTATGGCCTTTTACATCAGAATTGGAAGGAAAGCTTCAATTTTTTTTATTTTATTTATTGCAGATGAAGTCAGACAAAGGTTCGAAATCATTGAAAGAAAAGCTTGCCGCTGTGACGCCTCTGCTTGAGGACTTGAGATTGCAGAAGGATGAAAGAGTGAAGCAGTTTGTGGATACAAAGGCGCAAATTGAGAAGATGAGTGGTGAAATCTCTGGATACAGTGACCAACTCAACAAACCGATGCTTGGTTCTTTGACTCTCGATGAACAAGACTTGACCCTTCGGAAACTAAATGAGTACCAGACACATCTCCGCTCGCTACAGAAGGAGAAGGTGAGGAAATTTTTGCCATGAAGCAATAAGAAGATGAACCAAGATTTTACCTTTTAGAGCTGCTTACTTACTCATTTGTTCATGTTTTTTTATGCAGTCGGATCGTCTGAACAAGGTGTTGGATTATGTGAATGAGGTGCACGCTTTATGCAGTGTTCTTGGAGTTGACTTTGGTCAAACTGTTTGCGAAGTTCATCCTAGCTTACATAGGACTGACCACGAACAGTCTACAAACATTAGCGATAGCACACTGGATGGTCTACAACACATGATTCAAAAGCTCAAAACCGAAAGGAAACTCCGCTTTCAAAAGGTAGATAAGCATGTCTCAAATTGCTATTCTTTCTCTAATGTAATTGATAATCATTTTGATGGTCAGCAATTCTACGTTTTGATTTTGCAGTTAAAAGATGTTGTGGGGTCACTTTTCGAGCTATGGAATCTAATGGACACACCTCAAGAAGAAAGAGTTAAATTTGCAAGAGTCAGTTATGTTGTAAGATTATCTGAATCTGATATCACTGAGCCAAGCATCCTTTCTACTGAAACAATTGAACAGGTTACCACAAAAGCCTTTTCTTTTTACCAACTTTAAATGCCATCAATCTCATCCAGGATCTCTGAGTTCTTGTTTTTTTGCCTTCTACATTAGGTGTCTGCAGAAGTAGACCATTTCAATAAGCTGAAATCTAGCAGAATGAAGGAGCTTGTGATGAAAAGAAGGTCTGAGTTAGAGAATATTTGCAGATTGGCTCACATTGAGCCGGACACAAGCACATCGCTAGAGAAATCAACTGCTTTGATTGATTCTGGTAAAAAGTGACAAGATTTTATGTTCTTGTCAGATTTATGTGAGTAGCTGATGTTCTTGCTGAAACGTATTGTATTAATAAAGATATCCTCATCTTTCTTCAGGAATAGTGGACCCTTCAGAGCTTCTTGCTAACATCGAAACGCAGATAAACAAAATCAAAGACGAGGCACAGAGCCGGAAAGAAATCATCGATAGAATTGACCGCTGGCTATCTGCTTGTGAAGAAGAAAACTGGCTAGAAGAATACAATCAGGTAAAGTCCGAAATTTTAGTTCACTGAAAAATATGGCAAATGCCAAATGGGTTTGTTGAAGGATGAAAGTGAGAGATTCCTTTTTTGGATTCAGGATGAGAACCGATATAGTACTGGAAGAGGTGGACATGTAAACCTAAAGCACGCAGAGAGAGCTCGGGTTACAGTAAACAAGATCCCATGTATGTAACTTGTCTCTTTCCACTGAAGATTCAGATTGAGATTCCTTAGCTTATTAACATTCCTCCGTTGTATTGTGTTTCTGCAGCAATGGTTGACAATCTAATAAAGAAAACGCTTTTATGGGAGGATGAAACACAGAAATCATTTCTATATGATGGTGTAAGTTAAAGTAACTTCAAAGTAAAGACACGTTTTAAAACCAAAGTTCTCTTCTTTGATCATGGCTACTGGTTTCCTCCAGGTTCGATTGGTATCCATACTCGAAGATTATAAACTGACAAGGAAACAACAGGAAGAGGAAAAGAAACGATACCGGGTATGTCAAAAACAGTCTTTTGTATAAAGCATGAAGATTTGTAATATGGCTGGCCCTGTAAAAACGAGCTTTGTTGTTGCCTCTGCAGGATCATAAGAAGATGCAAGCTCTGTTATTAAACCGGAGGGAATCAATTTATGGGTCAAAACCGAGTCCGAGAAGAAGCAGCAGCGTGAAAAAGTCCAACCGGTACAATGGGAATGTATCGGTGCCTCCTACGCCTCGCAGAAACTCAGCCGGAGCAACAAACGACGAGGTTATGACCCCAAGATCCTACTCAAGCCATCATCCCCAAAACGGATATTTCAAGGAAGGGAGGAGACTCTCAACAGCTCCTCTAAACTTTGTGGCTATACCGAAGGAAGATTCTGCCTCTACATACACTTCGGTTTACGGCTCTGAACCGGATTCACCTTTGCAAAACTGAGTCTTATGTGCACCGGTTAAACTGTATAGGGTCGAAGCATATGAACTCGAGAATGTTAATCAAAAGGAGGAGTTAGTGATCCAGATCAAGTTTAGTGTTGTTATGTATGTGTGTGACTTTGAGTTTTGACTTTTGTGACTGACTTTTAGGATAATAGAAGAGTAGACAAATGAATGTTATGTTCTTCTTATAGTAGCTTCAACAAGCTCGTCTTTCTCATGTGTTCCTTTTTTCTGCTGGTGTGCTGTAAGATTGTAGAAGATACAATTTGGTTTGGTTTGGTTTGGTTTGGTTTATCCAAAAAACCTAAAAGTCTAAAATAACCCTGACAAAATTGAGCAATTTACACCAAACTACCCCTCAATATTCTCAGACACATAAAACCCCCTAAAATCCTACAACTTCCGGTGGATCCCCTCCGAGCTCGACAAAAAGGTTGCTTCTTCTTCTTCTTCTTCTTCAGATTATATCGTTTGATGATATCTTTGTTTGATTTGTTTCCTTCCAGATGTTCGCGTAGAATTAAAGGGTTTAGTTTTGGGATAATTTGAATCTTTTTTACAAACACTTTACTTTATATCAATCAATCAATGAATATGTGTTTCTTCTGCGATAATGCAGGAAAGCTGACTCCTTGAACAGCATTACCCGTGTGACCGATTTCAAAGGGTTAGGTATGTTTTCTGGTTATAATCGGTTTTTTGGATTACAAACGATCCAGTGGTTCATAATGGTTGGGTTTGTTTTCCCTCAGATGATTTGCTCAAAGAAAAAACCACGAGTCTCCTTGTTGCGGCATCCGGAAGAGTTGGTTCTGAATCGCCCTTTGGCTTGAAAGATAATGGTACTTCGGGTGTTGTTTATGATTGTAAGGTAAGATTTGATCTTTTTGATGTGTGCTTATTTTCTCTCGTCTGTTTTGGTGTCGTAACAAACATACACATATCCTGTTCTTTCAGTGGGAAAGGGTTGTTGAGACCAAGTTGGGAGATGGTGGTTTTAATAGTCATTCCATTAACTTTTCGATGCAACAAGACGAGTCTCCTTGGTATCTGGTAAGTTAACGTTTCATATCTTCCCTTTGCTGTTTATATCTTTGCCCTAAGTCTGCATCCTTAACTGGCTATTTCTCTCTCAACATTAGGAAAACTCTACGGGTCGGTTGAATGTTGTGGGAGCTCGAGATGCTGTAGGGTTTGATGATGCTCTGAAATGCCGCGCTGGTGATATGTCTTCAATATGGGAAATCTTTGATAAAACCGACGAAGAAGGCACTAAGGTTCATTGTTTTTTTTTTTTTTTTTTTTTGGTTTTTCTCTGTTTGTGCCCGCACCTTTTTCCTTGATGTTTCTCTTTAGCTGCTCGTTGGGATGGATCTTGCTATTGGTACCCCCTTGACTTTTGTTGGTGAGGTAAAGGAAGCCCCATGTGTTTCCTTTGTTGTTTTCTTCTTTTATGCTCTGCAAAGTTACATCTTTCTTTCGTTGTCCCTTCTCTTTGCTCTAGGCTGGTAGAGACAAAGCTGGTCATCTCATGATTCAGAAACCAAAGGAACACTCTTTTATGGTCTTCCGTGGAGAAGGCTCCTTTGAGTCTATGGTTGAGAAGCTCATGTCCAACTCTGAGTAAGGACAGACTAGACTCATCGTGTTTTCTCTTTGTTATACATTTTGCTTTGGGAGTTGATGGATGATCATTTTTTTGTTGAAATACAATGTTGTTGTGTTATCTTTACAGGTTTTACATGTTCTACTCGAAAATCTTCGGAGCGGTTGTTGTTGCTGGAGCTGTCCTTTACGGTATTGGTTTCATAAGAAGGTGGAAGAAAAGGAACTCAGATGACAGATGAGAGAATGCTAACAATCAGGCGGCGGAAGAAACAGAGATGGGTCAATAATATAAGGCTTAGATTACCCTCTGGTAGAAGAATCAGATAACGAATTGGTTTTGTTTTAATTCTACTCCGTGAGTCTTAAACTTTTTGCTTTGACTGACAAAAAAATGATCCGATTTTTAGTATATGATATGACTTTGGTTTGAAGTTGTTCCGGTTGTATGGAAAAATCTGGGTAAATAAGTGTCGCATATAATGGGCCTAATGAGCTTTCTCCAACAAAACTGATAACCCTTAGTGGCCCATTTAGCAGTTGAGATAATCTTTGTCGATTTGGTTTCGTTTTAGTTAACAAATCATCTGCCTATTTATTATTGCGTTGAATTTTCGTGGTATGGGCGGGTATTTATCATGTTCTTAGCAAGTTACAAATATGGAGAATTCACAAATTTATTGATATATATAATTTTACGTATATTCTTTTACGATTATAAATAAACATATATTATGAAGATAATTTTGCTTTAAAATTATTATTTTCTAAAAAACTATAACAACCTTTATTGACTTTGTTGCTGTCATTATAACCTTTACTAACAAATCTCAGATTTATTGATTATAATAATACAATACTGTGTTATTTCCGTAACTAATTGTCTTTTCATTACGTCAAAAAAGTTGTCTTTACATTATTGTCTGATTACAATTTTTTTTTAATTTGAGACGTAGTGATCCTAATAATTTATTGGCCTTCTGAAAGCCTTTCTCCATAATAATCTTTAATATCACTGTCCGTCGTTGTTAACGTTATTACTCCTTCATTCAACTACTTATTTTCGTAAAGATTTTGATTGGTTGACAGTAATGATCATAAATAAAACGTCAGCTACTTGTCTTGTCAAACTCAAAACCCACCGACGTAAAAGGAAGAATAAAAAAGACAATTAAGGAGTTAAGTACATCTCTAAATCAAACACGAAAAACACTAATAATAAAAGACTATTCCATTAAAATAACAGATTAAGGATGACAATAACAACAACAGAATGATTAAGGTGTGATTGGTGAAAATGAAATGGAACTAAGTTATACTACCTCAATTAAGGATTCGATTAATTAGTGATAAAACTTTTTGTTATTGTTAATCCAAGTCTTAAAAAGATAACGAGTAACACCAATCCCTTCGCAGAAAACTCTTATCTCTTCTCTAATCGCTCTCTTATCCTTCAACGTCCATCCCAGCTTCACCGCGTACTCTCTCATCGCTTCCCTTTGCTCCGCCGTGAACTTCGACTTCCTCCGTCGCTTCACCGTCATCTTTTCTTCAGTGGAAGTCTCCTCCGTGTCCTCCTCCTCCTCCTCCTCCCCCTCTTCTCTTTCCTCCGCCGCTGCTTTCCATTTCAGCCTCGCGAGCTGCTTCACGCGCCTCAAGCTCGTGAAGGGGAACCGCGCGCTAGTAATTTGACCAGAAGATAGTTCGATGCGACGGTGGTAGCTCCGGTGACAACCACAGGCGGCGCAGAGATCACCGGTGGCTTGTTGGGAGTACTCGCGGCAGCCATCGATGGCGTATGAGCCGAGCTTCGCCGCGTGGTTGCGCATGCATTCTCTGTAGAGACAAGAACTCTGCATCTCTCGTTCTCTCTAATTATACTGAAAGAGGGGTTTTGATTTTTGAGTAATAAATTTGGTTTTAGGCTTTGGTTTTGGGTTAAGATATGATGTTGTTTTGTGTCAGAGAGAGTTGGGAGTTACAAAAAGGCAAAACTATTGTTCCAATTACTGCCTTAAGATTTTGTACTTATGTGTGTTATTAGGTGTCATATTAATTGTGAAAAACCCACTTTTTGAACTGTTTCACTAACTTTGCTTTTACACCCAAATAATTTTCAGAATTGATTTCATATCTTCAGCTCATAAAGTTGTCATCTACCCGTAATTATTGTTTAGAATCCATTGGTAACAGCAATGTTTCAAGTAGTGTGAAATGGTTTTGATAGCTTAGAAAATAAAATAGTGTAGTTCATAAACAGCAAGAGATTATAAGTGCTTTAAGAAGTAGTAATTGAAAAATACAGTAGGATTGTAAAATTCTAGTGACTTAAAATAGTAATATTAATAAAAATATATAAACAAATCTAATAAGTGAAAGTGAAACTACGAGTGTTTAATAGTTATGAGTTATGACTAATGAATATATAAGAAGAGTTTAGAGAGTACAATAAGGGATAATATTTCAAAAACTAAACCAAGCAAGAAATAATTTGTTTTTTCCATCTTATTAGTAATGAATAACATTTGTATGTATTGTATGAGGTCATAAAAGTAACAAAATAAAACAAAATATTACAGAATTAAAATTTGAGTAGCAAAACCAATAATTTTAACTTAATCAGTGACACTACTGTGAGCTAAAAAACAAAGATCAAATGATATCTTAAGCAATTAGATGTTTAGCAAAACCGCTAACGTTCGTCATGGCATTGTGTGGCCCACTGACCCACAGAAGTTGAATATCTTCGCCGCATGTTTACGGTTAAATGATATACCAATCACACAATTAGTGCTTAGAATTTTAAATTTTCACAATGTACAGTAAAAATTCATATTCTGAATCCCTCTCTGTGATATTTTTGTATTTCAATTAACACTACATTAACTATAAACTTAAGCCAATTTAATCAAACCACATTTCGAGTTAGTCCAAACAAAATATACCAACATAAACATCAAACCAACCAAATCAAGTCAATAACCGTTATATAATTAAGTAATGACTCAAAACAAAATTAGAAGACAAGAAGAAGATCATTACCGAATAAAGAGCAACAAGAAAGAGAGGAACCCCGAAAAAAGAAACACAAATCTTTGATTTCTTAAATTTAGCTTATTCTTATCTAATTCGTTTTAATCCAGCAAAGAATTTGACTTCGAGGAAAAACAGAATACGGGTTTGGAGAAATTATAAAGAGTGAAAGAGAAAAATTAAAATTTGTAAAAAGCCTTTAAAACTAAGCCGGAGATGAAGCTGTGGAAACCAGCCGCCGTAGCTCTCAAGGATGGGCCTAGTCTAATCACGGCGGATGACATTCTCACGGCGGCCGTCGTGAAAGCCACGAGCCACGACGAGCTCTCGATCGACACAGAGAACGCTCTGTTCATCTACCGCCACGTTCGCGCGAGCCCGTCCAGCCTCAGGCCTCTCGTGAGCGCCATCTCGTCCCGCGTGAAACGCACGCGCAGCTGGGCGGTAGCTCTGAAAGGCTTGATGCTAATGCACGGCTTCTTCCTCCGCAAAACCACGGCGGCGGAGTCGATCGGCCGTTTACCGTTCGACCTTTCCGCTTTCGGCGAAGGGAGCTCGCGGATGAGCAGGTCCGGCGGGTTTAATCTGTTCGTACGCGCTTACTTCGCGTTCCTCGACAGACGATCGATCCTATTCCACGGCGGGAATCGTCATCGGTACGACGAAGAATCGTCCGTCATGATTCGTCTCGTGCTCATCCGTAAGATGCAGATCATAGTGGATTCGTTGATTCGAATCAAACCGATTGGGGAAAACATGAAGATACCTCTGATTCACGAAGCCATGGAGAACGTTGTCAGCGAGACTCTGGAGATCTACGGCTGGATCTGTCGCCGGATCGCCGAAGTGTTACCGAACATACACTCGAAATCCGGGAAACCGCAGGCAGACATGGCGTTGAAGATCGTCGCTAAATCCATGTCGCAAGGAGAGAAGCTCAACAAGTATTTCGAGTTTTGCAGAGATCTCGGAGTCTCAAATGCTCAGAAGATCCCCAATTTCGTCCGGATTCCAGAGGCGGACGTGAGACATCTCGATGAACTCGTGTGGACGGAGGAAGAAGAAGAGGCGACGGAGACGGATTCGTGTGAGGATACAGAGGAGAGAACGGAGGATGTAGACGAAGATGAGATGGAGATGCAGTGTGAATCGGTTCTTGAGTCTGATGATGATCTGATAACACTTGATCAGAACCAACACTACTCACCGGCTCCTCCGAGAGTTGATATTCCAGACTTAATTAGCCTCTAATTATGTTGTTTAATTCTCTCGATTAATATTAGCCTCTAATCATGTTGTTTATTCTCTCTATTAATTAATTTGGATTTATTTGTAGACATTTTCACATGGTCCAAATTCAAATTTAACTCGTGATTCTATCATATAAGTTTGAGCACACGTTGATTTATCCTATTCATATCTTTAGAAAACATGTCAAAAGGATTAAGTACGTTTTAATTAAGTACGTTTTTTCAATGTAAGAAGACCAAAATATTTACCGAATTAGTGTAAACAGACATTAATCAATGAAAAAATCACCAAATCAGGAAACATAATAGTACAGATTAATTTACTAATGTAATACCCTGAGAAATAAAAGCATTTAATTAAAAGAATAATATCTGTTACAACTTACAAGCCAGTAAAATGTTTATAACAAAAGGAAAAAAAAAAGTACAAAAAATCAAACATCCCTGCAGATTTTCTCAGCTACCTTCTTCCTCAGACAAACAAACAGACAGACTCCAACAAAACAAAGCAAAAGTATGATAATAAAAAGACAAAGGAAGTGAAACGAGGGGAATCTGTTTCCAAACTCTAAAAACGAAGATGGTTACCTGAAAACAGAATTGCAGACAGAATTGAAAAAGGTCACAGATTTTTCAGAGTTGTTGATTATATACACGATCACTGAGAGATCCCTTCCCGGAAGAGATCGAAAAAACCGCCGGAAAACACACTCTCTTTTTTTTCTTCTTCTTCTTTTACTAAGTAAGAAACTAAATCATCTGATCGTGACGAACTTGTTCGTTCCATGTCTTGCCCAATGGCTCTTAAGATCAATCGGATTCCCAAAGTTAAACCCATCAGAGGCAAGTTTCTCAAGAACCTTCTTAAACGCGCCTTGGCTCATCTTCCTCCCCGAGATCCTCGCTCCACGGCGCTTAGTACTCATCGGCAATGGATGCATCGATATGTTCGTGGTGCAACACGCAGATTGCCAACCGCCACATCCCCAACGGTAACATTGCTGAGGAGCTCCGGTGCAAGTGCAGATCGGGACAGGTAAGCCCGAGATGTCCATACTCACTCCGTTGATAACCAAGTCGACACTTTTCTTAGCCGGTTTCACTCGTGAAACATTCGTGTTGCTGTTCTCCTCTTTCGGTTTCCGAGGCTTCTTCGCCTTTGCTGTCGGGCCAGCTCTCGAACCAGGCTTCCTCTTCTTGGTCTGCACAGCCTCTTCTTCAACCTTAACCGGGTTTTCCTCGGTTTGATGATGGTGATGATGGTGGAGATTCATCTGCATCGACGGCGCTGACGAAGTTTCCGGAAGCAAGTTTCCGTAGCTAGGAGCGGTTGTTACAGGCAACATGTTGAAGAACTTATCCTTCTGCTGGTTAATCCAATTGTAGCTCATTTGGATTGGAGGATCCGGATGGTATGACCCGTTTGGCCCGATCATTAGATTCGGGTCTCGCCCGGGTAAGAACGGTTTAGTGTTCCGATCAATGGTTGACATCAGCTGCAAACCGAGATTGCCTTTGAATGTAGCAGCCGCTGGTTCGTAGTAACCCCAATTGCGAAACCCATCGTCATCCATTTCAAAGATCTACAAAATTTCATTTTAAAAACCACAGAACATTTAAAAGGAATTTCAACTCACAAGAAACAAAACAAACAATCAGATTCAGATCCAAATTCAGACAATAAAACCAAACCGAAGAGTTTCTTAATTTTCCTGTCCGAAAGCGCAGATACTAGCCAAAGATCTATTAATGAATTAAGCAAAAACTCCTAACATTTCTTATATCTCCAGCAACAATGTAAATCGTTAGATATCATAAGAAATCAGGTCAGATCTTGGAGATACCCAGAAACAAAATTAAAGTCGATAAACATGAAATCCGACGAACTCCGACGGGAAATTACAACATCTTTAGAACATTTCTCCCCGAAAACAACATGCAGACCCATGAGAGTTTCTAGATCTGGGGAATCCAGAGCTAGATCTAAGGAAACTGGGAATGAATCAAAGGATTTCCAACAGCCGAATCCTAAGAAATCCCCAAGATGTTATATATTCCCATGGAGAAGAAGGATTTTCAAAAAAAGCGGGGAACAGTACACAAAGGTCCCATTGTAATTTCGAAATTGAGGGAAAGAGAAGAGAGAGACATGTTAGATGGAAATGGATTAGGAGAGAGAAAACTTACATGAGACGGGTTAAACAAACGGCTCTTTAAGGGAATTTGTTTGCCCTTCTGGAGAGAGAGGAGAGAGAAACCTGAGAGAGATTGGGAAAGAGAAGGAAGAGAGAGGAGAGAGAATATAAGAAGATAAGAAAAGAGAGATCTGAAGAAAGGGAAAGGGTTTTATTTTAGTGGAAGAGAGAACCCTAAAATTAAAACATTTCTAATTAAAAAAAAAATATCTCCTAAATTAAAAAATTCCAAAGGCCTTTTTTCTTTTTCTTCTCTTTTGTTGTTCTCCGCCTATGAAAAGACTATTTATGTGTTTGGTCAGTGTAGGAACACAAAAACGATTAAGAAAGCCATTTGAGAAGAAGACAAAACAAAAATCCAAAGCCCACACTCTTTTCTTTTATCTTTTTGACAAAGAGATGGTTGGAAAAATAAAATAAGACAAGAAGAAAGAGATTCAGAAAGTTATTTGATAGCATAATTTATTGGTAATTTTATTTGTTCATTAAACTGAATGTACATAATGTACATATGGATCGTGGATATAATATGTTTACTTGAGCAAATATATTTATAAAATAAACATTTCCAAATCTATACAAGTTATGTAGAGCACGAACGTTGTGGAAAATGTATATTCTGTGTTACCAATGTGAGACTCCTTTTAAAATCTCTTCCATATTTTTATACAAATTGCCATTATTCATAGTCAGAGCTTGTCCCTCATCATAACATTCACATTCCTGTTCTCTCTAAACAATTTCTTGAACTTTACACTGATTCTCAAACTTATCAAACCGATTCAAATAGATATAGTACAAAATCGATCATCACTACCTTATATCATAGGATATTACGCATCAAAGAATCCTGGACTGCTCAAATCAAGCCTTTTCTCAATCGGGCTGCTCATCATCATCTTAGGGCTCTTTCTCTTGTTGGAGTTGCTTCTCTCTGCAGAACAAAGTGGGCTAAATTGCTTCAACAACTTGCGGTTTTCTCTATCCAGCTCTCTGTTCTGCTCGCACACAAACTCTACTTCTTGCTCGGCCTTAGCCAGATTCAAGACGAGGCATTCTTTTTCCTTTTCAATCTTCTTCACCATCGAAACTAGAGAAACAGCTTTCTGCGTTGATGGCTTCAACTGATCCCATTTGCTCAACAAACCTTGACATGACTGGTTTTCAATGTTTGCCTCCAAGAAGATACGCCCAATAAAACTTTCATCTTCGCTAAAGAACGATGCCAAAACTGAATCAAGCAAACAATCTTCTTCAAACGACGAGGATTTGTTGTCAGATTCCATTCGACGCTTCGTCACATCAGTCATCTTTCTCACTTCTTCCTCTAATTCACGAACCCTAGATTCTGCTTCTCTAGCCCTCTCGTCCGTCTCGTTCCCGAAATCCATCAGTGCTTCACGGTCTTTATGGTAGAGTAAGCATTCTCTTTCCCACTTCTTACACTGATTCGCCAAATCGTCGCACTCGCCTGACAGTTTCTGATTCTCTTCAACGAATTTCTTCAACGCCTGCGCATTCATACTCGCTTCGGATCTAACGAGGTCGATCACTTGGTCTTTCTCTTTCGATTTGGCGACCAGTGACAGATATTGTTCACGGAGACGTCGCTGAGATTCTTCCGCCGTACAGAGTTTCTTCTGGAGAGCTTCTGTGGAGATCGGAATCCCCAAAGAGTGATCGATAGTATCTTTGATGTAGTCATCAACATCTCGCGGGAGATCCATTGTCGATTGATCCAAAGGAAAACTCAGAATCAGTCAGAAAGCGCACAGAGAGTTCGTTCGCTAAACAGTTTTAGGGTTCATAGGCTCAAATAGAAGATCTTGTGATTCAAAATTGAGGAGGTTCTATATTTGCTTGATGAACCTTTTTTATTGGGCCGATACTTTAGCCCAACTTAATTAATTCCGTGAACCAAATAGGATAATCTTTAATTTGACAAAGAAAACTATCATTAGAGGTGTTGTTAAGGGAAAACAGAAGAGTTTGGCATTTATTAGATACAAAGAAACTCGAATAAAAAACAGTGCAAATGTATTTTCGTCTTTTACAATACGTAAAAATATATAGAAAATGATACAAGTAATTTAATTTCTGTAGCCAAAAATAAAGAGAGAAGAAGAGAGACTCACCTAAAGTAAAACCTCTAATGAGAAGAGATGCTTTTTTAAGAAAATAATCAGACATACAGTCTTGTGTCTCTCTTCTTTCTAACAACCTATCTCTTTATGTTCTAGCAAAATTCGTAAGGAGGCAGAAGAGGAGGAAGAAAAGCAACGTAAGATGATCTGTGTAAAAGACTTTCTTACTCGCATTTGATCGACCGGTAAATGTGACGAACGAAGAGTAGGGCTGCGCGAAACCCGACTGTCCCGAGCATTAAGAAGAATCCGTAGCAAATGCAAGCCATGTATCCAAAGAAAAACGATGTTTGCATGAATCCTGACATGTCTGATCGTGCGTAGTAATAGTATAAGCAGTAGGCGTAGATGAACAAACCAGTCGATCCACCGCATAGGAACGATCTGCAAATAAAAACGATAGAATCAGGCTCAAGTTCATATGATCAGAGAGAAAGAAGAGTAGAGATACAATGAAGCGAGTTTAACGAACCTCCACCACCATTGGTGATCTTCAGCAGCGAGTTGGAAGTAAGTCAAAGCAACGGTTATAAATGCAGTAACGATGATGAGAATGATGAAGACGATGAAGAGGATGCTGTAGATTGTGTAGATCCTGTGACCCCAGACACTAGCGAAGATGTAGTAAAGCTCGATGTAGATGGCACTGAAAGGAAGAAAACCAGCCATGGCCATCTGAGGAACAGCGCTTCTGTACCAAGGAAGCGGCGGAATCTCACGGGGATATTTGGTGGTGCGGCACGGTGCTTGGAACTCCGCTTTGCTGTTTTTACCAGCGATGCCACCTAAAACAAGTAGAGGCGATGTGACTAGAGTCCATATAAGGACGATTACCACAATGGTTCCAAAGGGTAAAGCGGCGGTTGCTGTGTAGGTGATGGCTACGGTGTTGAGGAAGCAAAAGGTTAGGAATAAAGGGCCACAGAAGAGACATCCAGTGAGTAACAAGTTTCTCACCTGCAACAAGGTGAAAGAATAATGAGAAGTTGTTTGGTTTATACATTGAAGATGATTTGAAGAAAGGGCTTCATGTGTAAATATTTACCCAGCTTTTTCCTTCAAGCTGGCAGTAGAAAGAGGCGGATGTGTATCCGGCGATTCCAGAAGTTAGAGCGTAAATGACCACCAAAGCGGTAAAGAGTGCTCCTCGGTTGTATGGATAGAACACTCCAACAAGAGCAAGCATGAATATGAATATGGTGCTGATAGGCGTGGAGGAAAAAGGAAAAAGCTTCGGTTAGTTATAGTAAGAAGAATTGCAGATATGCACAAAAGTGTATCCTGAAGTCTGGTTATGAGTGACTTACAGTGTAAACAATTGCGTACCACTACCAAGAGACGCAGCAAACAAAGAGTTGCGCGTTGGGAACCGAAACACGTCGCCATGGATGTATTTCCATCCAGTTTCCTCTTGATCATCAGCAGCCTCCTCGTCTTGAGCATACCTTTTTTCAAGTATGGAAAAAAAGTTAATATTAGACAAAGAAATGTAAGACAGTCAAACCATGAGGTGTAGCGAGTGATCTGAGACTTACTTCATGAAATCGTTCTTGAGGACACGCATCAAGATAGTTGCAAGGAATCCAGTCAAAAGAAGGACAGTGACGCAGGAGTTTATGATGGAGAACCAGTGGATCTCCAAGTGATGTGGAAGCGAGGAAGACATGGAGTACTTCTCCATTCTTTTCTCAAAAGGAGTCTCGGTTTCCTTCCACTTCACAGTGTACATAAACTCTGCATCGACTTCCTTGTCCTCTGTGAGATCGACAAGCGAGTGAGGATCCATTCTGGCACTGATTTCGATCACACGGTCCTTGTTGTACAGGATCTCAAACTGGATGTGCTTGTAGAGGAAATATTTGTATTCGCTAGGGTCAGATTTGATCTCTTTGTCAACCTTTCCGATGAATCCCCAGATAGGCAGATCATCGTAGTACATCTGGAAGTAGTAGTCCTTCTCAACAGCCTTTCGGAACTGCGTGACCTCTTCTTTACTTAGCTTCTTTCTGCAGTATACTTCAGACTCTTTTTCATCTCTGAAGTTGAGCTTGTATGGAGCACTAACAAGCCGATCACCATTCAGAACCTCCCCAAGAGCTTCCTTCTTCTCTTTGACACCCTCTACAAACCAAAATTCAATGGGATCAGACAAAAATAAACGAAGATCACACAACATTCAGACATTTTACTACAGAAATTATACACAAAATCTGGAAATGTTAAATGCGAAAGGTAAAAACTTTGAGCTATTTCAGCTGCAGCCAAGTCCAATTCATCATTAAAAAAAAATGAAATGTGGAGTTCATATAAATTCCGACTTAATCCACAAAATCAGCGTAAATAACTGCGAACAAGAATGCATAACACAGATCGTTGTGATTGATCTAGTAGGATAAATGCATACCTGGGATACAGAAGGGAAGATCAAAATACCGATACGTCTCGCTGCAATCATCATCGAACAAATAACATAATCAGTCATATTTGGTATTGTAAATCTAAAGACAGATCCATCACACACGAAAACACTCCAAATGTACTTCTTTCGCACCCCGGATTTACTCTACACACTTTGCAGTGTACTCGTATTTCAATGTATCGATGGTTAATTCAACAGCAACAGCTTGCAATCGCATGTGTAATCAACGACAGTAACAGATCTGAAGTTTAGATCTAGAAAAAAAAAAGTTCCGAAATCTGAGACGTTACTATAAGAAATTCTTTACCTTGGGTTGTGAAATGGGCCGACCTTGTTGGCGTAGAGAGGAACGACATCTCCTTCCTTGTAACGGTGGTCGGAGGCGTCGGATCTGACATAGCCGGCGCCGGAGAAGATGAGAGCTCCAACAAAGAGGAGCAGCATCGTCGGTGTCCTCATTGCGCTTTCTCCCCCAAATCGTAAGATCTGTTTGTTTTTTTTTTATTTCGGAGAATGAGAAAATGGAGAAAATAACGACAATATTTATATACAGACTTCAATCAAACTCCTCGAGTTGGAAAAAAATACGCTGGTTAAAAGAGTAATTAATATACACATTAAACTATATTTGCTTAACTTAAAAATCATATTGACTTGGCGAACAGGTGTAATCGACGATACTGCAACTTACTAAGCATTATGGAAATTGCATTGAATATGATTTTTATTTAGGGTGAATTTGTTGAATAACCAAAAAAAATATAATTTAGAAACTAACCAAATAATGTTCAAAAAAAAAAAAAAAACCAAATCATAAGTCATTCATCTTTAAACGAAATTTAAAATTCGGATATTAGAACGATGATACAACGCAGTTTGAACATGTTCAACTTTAAACCAATGTTCATCAATTACATTACACTCGAAGCATTTGCCAATAGATATAGGCAGTGGGCAAATTTATTATTCCGCCAGACCTATTGTTAATCAATAATTAATTAGTAAATATATTTGTTCTGTGAAGTCAGCATGCATCTATTTAAAACGTTTGAAATCATAACCCATATTTGATCTGAGCCCTTTCTTAGGTGTCGACGTAAGTCAGGTAACTATTAATTATTTCTTATATATTGTAGAGATCTTGAAGAATTAACGTCAATGTTACATAATATAATTTGTTGTTGCGATTATGTCCAATTATCAATTCATTTTTAATTATACGTGCGCTATACTTATATCAATTGCTTTGCATGATCCTTATTCCCACGTCCCTTGTTGAATCATAGAGACCCATTAAACAATTTTAAACATTCCTTCACAAATACACAACGTGCATCGTTTTACGCTACATGAATAATTTAAGGTTTTCGATTTTTATAAGAACCAGTGGCAGTGAGAACTTACAATGTACAGTATCTTCTTTTTAAGGGATCAGTTAATAAAACGGTGCAGGTGATTTCGAGTGTTGGAATATATAAAAACGGTTTAGTGTGCCAATAAGCCAACCAACGATATATATACACCAAAAAAGGAATATAATAAATTTGTGAACAAGCTCTATGAACGTGGAACAAACAAACAAAAATTGACACAGGTTACTAGAATGATTCGGGATATTGATTTGACGATTAAGTTTTGTAAAAATATGTACTTTTCATTTGAACCGGGAAACTTGGTTAATTCAATAAGAAATAGTTATAAACTGTCAGATAAGTATAAGATAGCAGAAACCATTCGACCAAAAAATCAAAGGAAAGCAGAAACCTCATTAAGCATACAAATAATCGGTATCGAAATACTTTTAAAACAAACCAAACTCGGTTCGGTCTCGATTAGATTTGGTACTTTTGGTTCAGTAAATTATTTTCGGTTTGTTTTATTTTGTTTCCACAGACGCAAAGTGTCAAAGATGCATCACTAACTAATTAAAATTTAAATGTTCATAGCGCAGTAAAAACGTCAATCTTCTGTTCTCTTGTAACGGAGATGACGAGTATAATCGACGCGGCGGTGCCGTACAGGTCACCGGAGAAAGCAGCCTCGTCTTCGTATTCAGTCGAGAGCGATTCGGGTCCTGTGGACGCAGTTATATTCGCCGGAATTTCGCTGGTTCTGGGCACAGCCTGCCGACAATTGTTTAATGGCACCAGAGTTCCTTACACCGTCGTCCTCCTCGTGGTGGGCATTGTTCTCGGGTCTCTAGGTTTGATTTCTATGCAATTCTATCCTTCTATTTATCTATTGATTGTCCTTCGAATTTCCGGGACCCCTGAAGCCCGACGTCTGAGAAATTGAATTTTTGAATTTCCTCAAGCGTGTGTTTTTTAACTCAACTATTTGTATTGTCAAGTGTTTTCAATTCGTTGCTGCTTGATGGTTTCCAATTCCAATAGCTCAGTTTCAATTTCGTGGGAAGAATAAGAAAGATGACTGTAGTTGAATTTGGATTTGTTTGTTCTGCTTAAAAAAAGCTAGTGATTTGCCTTCTGCAGAGTATGGAACTAATCATAACCTCGGGAAGATCGGCCATGGAATTCGTATCTGTAAGCTTTTGGGATTACGAGCTGTAAACAAATGTCAATTCAGAATATTTGCAGAAGCAATGAAATGATCCTGGCGTTTTTATGACAGGGAATGGTATTAACCCTGACCTACTTCTGGCCGTTTTTCTCCCTGCTCTTCTTTTCGAGAGCTCATTCTCCATGGATGTGCACCAGATTAAGGTTTTTTGCCATCTTCTACGTGGCCTTTCTTAAAGTCTGTGCTTTCAGCTACTTGTTTGTGCTTTTTTGTTCTTGCTATTGATTGTTTGAATCATTCGTAGAGGTGTCTGGGACAAATGGTTCTGCTTGCTGGCCCTGGAGTTTTGATTTCCACATTTTGTATTGGATCTCTTTTGAAGGTATGAGTTAGCTTTGAATATGCAGACGGAGAACAATGACTATGTATTTAAGTTGTAATCGTGTTGTTGTGCTCTTGTAGCTCACTTTTCCATATAGCTGGGATTGGAAAACATCATTGTTGCTTGGAGGACTCTTAGGTGCCACCGACCCTGTGGCTGTTGTTGCTCTGCTAAAAGAGCTTGGTGCTAGTAAGAAACTGACCACTATCATCGACGGGGAATCCCTGATGAACGACGGGTAATCATATCAAACTTTTGCTAATCATATAAACTCTTATGTTTAGCATTAAAGGTGATTATATTATATGTGATTGTTGTTTACTGAATTCAGGGTATCAGTTGTAGTCTTTCAGCTATTCTTCAGGATGGTGATGGGGCATGACTCTAATTGGGGTTCCATAATCAGATTTCTTGTTCAAAACTCGCTTGGAGCGTATGAATTCTTCTTCCCTTTGCTAGTGGCATTGTGTGTCAATGTCTTTTTAGTATTTCTCACATTATGCTGTGTGGTTCTGGTTTCTTTTAGTGTAGGCATTGGTCTAGCTTTTGGCATTGCATCAGTTCTTTGGCTTAGAATCGTATTCAATGACACAGTGGTTCAGATCACTGTAACGCTTTCAGTTAGCTATTTCGCATATTACACTGTATGTTCTCCACGCCTTAATCTACAATGCGAGAATCCTATATCTCTAGAAGACCTGAAAGTTTTCTACCAATGTACAGGCTCAAGAGTGGGCTGGGGTTTCTGGAATTTTGACCGTGATGACTCTGGGGATGTAAGTCGTGGTGAATTGTCCCTTCTTTCTTTTGTTAGTCTATTAAAAATTCAATTTTGGTATAATAATTGAAATAGGTTTTTCGCTGCATTTGCAAGGACAGCATTTAACGGTGACAGTCAACAGAGTTTGTATCACTTCTGGTAATTAACATCTCAGAGTTCTATTCTTCGTCATGAATATTTACACGTTAAATACATGTATATGACTGTCGTTTTTAAATTTTGTAGGGAAATGGTCGCTTATATTGCAAATACATTAGTTTTTATACTCAGGTACGAAGTGTACACCAAGATTCAAGAACAGAAAGTTACTGGACTAAAAACAGCTATTTTTCTTTTGTCTGTTCTCCAGGAACTATACTGCAGTCAATGTTATAGCCTATTGATACAATTATATTGCATATGTTTCTCTTTTGAATTGCAGTGGTGTTATTATTGCTGAAGGCGTTCTTAGCGGTCAGAAAATATCTTACAAAGGTGCCCCTTAACATTTTAATTTTTTTTTTTATTCTTGTCGAGGAAGATATAAACAAAAGTTTTCCCCTAGAGTTTCCATACACTTGGTTGCTAAAATTCATGATTATTTTGAATTTTGGAGATGAAGTGAATAACATCTATTTGCCCTGGATACATCACTAGCACCTGATATTCACTCTCGCAGTAGCTTTCTCTTTGGTCTATATTGGGGTTAAGGAACATCTATGACTCATAAGGTTCTTCTCAGGAAACTCGTGGGGCTTTCTTTTCCTCTTATACTTGTATGTCCAACTTTCCCGTTGTGTTGTGGTTGGGGTTCTGTACCCATTGCTACGTCGTTTTGGCTATGGTTTGGATTGGAAGGAATCCATCATACTCACGTGGTCTGGATTAAGGGGTGCTGTGTCACTATCTCTCGCTCTATCTGTAAAAGTGAGTTCTGGAAAAAAATTTCCCTAGTTCCATGTTCATGTCCCAAAATCCTTAGCTCTGACATACTTTAGCTCTCTGTCATAAAATTCAGCAATCAAGTGGCAATTCGTATCTCAGTTCGGAGACGGGAACCACGGTGAGTTGTTAAACACATTATGAACTACTTTTGCGTTTTTTTAAATGGAGATTCTTTTTGGTGATTTTAATGTGTTCAGCTGTTTTGCAGTTTCTATTCTTCACGGGTGGGATTGTTTTCCTAACTTTGGTTGTTAATGGATCCACTACCCAATTACTCTTGCGCCTTCTTGGCATGGACACGTTAACGGTCACCAAGGTCAGGATTTTAATCATGTATCCTCTTGTACTGCTACTTTTAAAATTTAAGATACAAATACATGATATATAACTTTGGTAGATAATGAAACCTATGATCATCTGTGTTTGTGCTCATACGTACACACGTGGCTGCATCATTCCACCAGTGTAGGTAATTTTAGCTTAGGTTTGTGTGTTTTACCAACCCGTGATTGATAGTAGAGACTGGCTCCAACCTGATTCGGAACCGGTCACTGATTCTTGAAATGTGCATGTTCGCACAATGTTTGTAACATTTGCTACCGAAATATAATGATTGTGTGTATCTGCTCCTCTGATTTGTGTTTTCTTTTCTATCGGCAGAAACGAATATTGGAGTATACGAAATGTGAAATGTTGAACACCGCCTTAAAAGCTTTTGAAAATCTAGGAGACGACGAGGAGCTTGGTACTGCTGACTGGCAAACAGTTATTAGACATATTTCAAGTTTGAAAGATTTAGAAAGGGGACAAGGTAATCCTCACCTCGGGTATGAAGCTGAAAACCTTGACCCTACGAGTATATCGGACATTCGTATGCGCTTCTTAAATGGTATTTCACAACGCGTATCAAAAATCTTCTGGTTGACAAATTATTGTCGCTCAAAAAGTAGCTATTGATTCGAGACTCTTGCTTGCATCAGGTGCCCGGGCAGCTTACTGGGAGATGCTTGATGAGGGGAGAATAACACAAAGTACTGCCAGTGTTTTGATGCGATCAGTAGATGAGGCACTCGACCTTGTTTCTACAGAGTCTTTATGCGACTGGAGAAACTTAAAACCGTGTGTTCATTTCCCAAACTACTACAAATTTCTTCAATCAAGATTTATTCCCCGCAAGTTGGTCACAAGTTTAATCGTTGAAAGGCTGGAAACTGCTTGTTACATTTCCTCTGCATTTCTTCATGCCCATAGGATTGCGCGACAGCAATTGCATGACTTTCTAGGTATGCATCACCCCGTTTCGTTATATCTCTGTGTTAATATCTGTCAAGATTCTTGATTACATTTCTGAAACAAAGGCCAAAAATTTACCATTATCAAATGAAAACCTTTGCTTCATATTTAATCTGAGAATGTGCTTTCTTCTTTATCGATATTCCATGTAGCTCAACTGCGCATTAACTGAGTATTTCTTTACATAGGTAACAGTAATATTGCTTCCATTGTAATCAATGAAAGTGAGGTGGAAGGTGAAGATGCAAAACAGTTCTTGGAAGAAGTCCGTGATTCATTTCCTCAGGTCTTGAAACCCATGAAGTATCTCAGGATTAGTTTATATATTTGCTCATACTAACATCTAACTTGTGGGACTCCAGGTTTTGAGTGTTTTGAAAACAAGACAAGTAACATATTATGTGCTGAATCATCTAAATGGTTATATCAAAAACCTTGAGAAGGTTGGGCTGTTAGAAGGAAAAGAGGTTTCTCATCTTCACGATGTTGTCCAGGTACCCAGCAATTCTAGATTCCTTGTACTCAATGTTTTTGCCAGATACTTGCTTATCTCTCTCTCTCTCTCTCTACAGTCTGACTTGAAGAAGCTCCTGAGAAATCCTCCTTTATTAAAACTTCCAAATGAAAACGATCTGATCAGTACTCTATACGAGTCAAGAACTGGTTCCTATATGTAATTTTCAGGATCGAGTTCATGAACTTGTTTGGTACAGTTTTACTTGTAAGTGTCTACCGTAGCAAATGAATCATTTGTATAATATAATTAATTTCAGAGTCAATGTTCTTATCCTCTCGTTTTTTAAGTTACTGTATACGACACCAATCTTCATAAGATGAAGTTTTTCACTTGTTCTCCATCCTGATGGTACTTCAAATTAAGCTTAATCAAGGGCAAGGAATAGCGAATCAATGCAATAACCTTAATTGTAACATATTTAAGAGCTTTTGTTTTTTTTCTTTTCTAATTTTAGAATCTTTCTGCTGAGATCGACCAACCACGTAATTCCAAATCACACTATCAAATTAGTTTATCAAAGTAGAGGTCCTTTTTAATATAAACCGGCCTTAATTCCAATTAAGTACTTCCTAAAGACTGGTTGACAGGAAAAAAAAAATCAATCAATGTGACGACGACAGTTCATTTCTCTGTCCACAAATCAATCTCTGGTAAAAGTTCATAATCCATCCATACATTTATCTTCGCTTAAAACTCAAATTTGTTTTGTTTAAATACTAATGGCTATAAAAGCAAATAGTATATCATTTAAATATATTGATTGATTTATTAACTCACATTCACGGTTCTTTTTATTTATTAATCACAGAGGAATATATGAAATAACATCCACCAGGCAAAGAAAAAAGAGAGCAAGAAGAGATTTTCCAAGCTATGGTTTATAATTCGGAAAAGGAAAAATAAATATTAATAATAACAAAACTAAAACCAGTTGCTCCCCTAAGCCAAAAACGCGTTAACTTGGAACCAAAGAAAGAAAGTCTAGGACCACTTCAAACTCTGAACAGTAACACTTTAAAATTAAACCTATATTAATCACTCATATATGTGCAGCAAAATATAGATCCCAAAAGTACAAAAACTTTTAAATTATAAATGAATTTTGTGAGAAGCAGAAAATAAGAACGAGCCAACGCGTCTTGAAGGATTTTCACGCGGTTCTTGTATCCCTCCCAACGCTTCACTATATTTAGATTCACGTCGGTAGTTCCAGCTTGCAGACACATCATCATCTCTACTACAAACCAAACCAGACCGAAATAAACCGGGCAGAAAGAGAAAGAGAGAAGAACGAAATGGGTGAAAGAGAAGCTTGTCTAGTCCCAAAGAGAGGAGAAGTCCTTAAAAGAGCTCTTCGAGTTGTTTTCTTTTCTTGTCTTTGTTTCTCTTCCCGGAAAAATAGACAGTCTTCTTGCCACCGATCATCTTCTTATGAGTTCATCAAGCATTATTAGTGAATCGTTTATATAGTAGATAGTAGGATCAAACCAGACCAAACCCAAATAAAGATGAAATGAATTTCAATTCTCTTTTTTTTTTTCAACTTGTTTCTTAGCAAAGAGTCAGAGACGATAGATTACAAGATGGTATCAGAGGGGATTTCAAAATGTTGTATTAGTTCATGAATAAGTCAATTTGCTTTTGTGTTTCAGGGAAATCCATTTTCTGTATTATTTTTCTATTTCTCATGTAGTTTCAAAGATTCCCCCATCTATTGTGATATACTGTGACTGACTAAAATGAAACAAGCAAAATTGGTAACTTTGCTAAAAGCAAGAGCTTGATTATGAGAGCTTATGCGCAGTTAATTAGCACGAAAAGTATTAAACTGTTTCGCTATCTGATGTGCGTGTGATTCCAATAGTATTTGTCATTCATTGTTTCAAGTTCAGTTTCTGGTATGCATTAGCGTTTACGTGGAAATAATATTCACAAAAATTCAGTCGTACATTAAAATATTTTAGCAAGATGCTAAGGAAACTGAACCGAGAAGATCAATTTTCAGCATTGGCATTTCATACTATATTTGTAGACCAAAGCAACACGTAATTTAAGTATGTGCTTGATTTTATAGTCAATTCAACCACTATACATTCGAAGCAACAATCGCAGACTGTTATACATTCTAACTTTTGACAAATCAGTTTTATCGACAAATCCCTAATTGCATACCTCTGCGATGATGAGACAATGGACATCATCAATGAATAAGGCAAAGAAGCATCCTCGTACACACAAAACTGCACTAAAAAGCTTAACCATAGTAAGAACACACAAATCCACAAAGACAAAAACATCACAAAAAAGAGAGTTTTTTTTCTTTCAAGATTACAAAGCCAAACCGTTGCTTCAGAACTAGCTGCAAATTCAAACCAAACTTAAGTCAGTAGTAATCATTCTTCTTCATTAAAACTCCATAAACAGATGTGATGAGCAAAGAGTAAAGATGTGTGGACTAAAGAGAGAGAGCAGTACAAGATCGTTTTGGCCACCAATTAAAACATCTATTAAAGAAGAATATAGAGATTAAAAAGCATTTTCCCTGCTTCCACTACGCTGTCTCTCTTCATCTCTTTCTCCCACCACGCTCTCTCAAAGACAGTGTTAAGACTTCTCCTGCTCCAACATTGTAATGTGCAAGTGACATGTTGTCCTTCAAGAACCCGGCTTTTCCACTTAACTTCTGTTTGTTTGCTGGAATCTGTATCTCCCCAGCTATTTTCTCCTTCAAACTTCCCACGTTTTCTGATAACGACTGCACTGTGATCTCAATGACTTGCCCGTCATCCGCGTTTGGAACAGAGACCCTGATTGTAGCAGAACCCTGCATGCATACAAAACAAAATATGTAAGATACAACTCAGACAAACGGAAAACGATATAAGAAAATGACTGAAGAGTTTATAGAGAAAGATTACCGGATGCTGAGCAAGAAACTGTTCTTCTGGAATAAGAGCTGACTCGTCGAACTTTTGTCTCTTCGCCTCTGGCTCCTCAGGAAGAGGCGGTGGTGCCTCCTCGGGTGGTGGAGGAGGAGGCATCCCAGGCATAGGTGGGGGTTGCATCATCCCCATCTGAGGGGGTTGAAGCTGACCATAAGGTCTGGGAACTTGAAGATGAGCAAACTGTGATCCTGGTGGAGGCGGCATAGGCATACCAGGCTGCATCTGTGGTGGTCGGTTCATCATCATCGACGGGTGTCCCGGTGGCCCTGGCATCGAGAGCTGGTGTTGCGGGTGCATTTGTTGCATCATTGGAACACCTAATGGCCTCGGTGCACCAGGGTACTGAACAGAAGGAGGAGGGCGAGGGATGTTCAGCGCGAGATTAGGAGGTGGTGGCAATGGCCGGACTATCGGGACACCTGGTCGAGGAGGAGGAAGAGCTGCTGGGCCAGGGAAGCTATTGGGATCTCCATAAACGCCATCACCTTGCTCCTCTCCGTTAGCGTTCTGAGTCAAGGCTTGATTAGCTGTGCGACCGATACTTCCTGTGTGACCATCCCATATAACTTGCTTAGGCTGCTCATCTTTCTTCTTCTCAATCTCTGCTTTAACAGCATTTGAGACTTCTTCTTCAGTTGTTCCAAAGATATCAGGACGCAGACGAGCAAGTCCGACTATGTTTTTAGCAATCTCGTCATCTTGTGCAAGAGTGGTCTCACGAATCTTAGCAAACATCCGATCCTTCTGCTCCTTGAACTTAGGGTCGATAAGCGAAATCCGCATATGCTCGGACATCTCGTTAATGGGAATCAGCTCGCCGGTAATTGGAGATATAACAACTTTCGTAGGATCTCTCTCTGTAGGGATCCTATCTTCCGGCCTCTTCCAGTTCTTAACGATTCTCATAGGTGCTTCTTCGTCGTGGACATTTTCAATCTTTACAGAGCCACCATTCTCTTCCAAGTTCGCTGCTCTCATTCCTTCTGCAACAAGCTTAACTTCTTCTTCATCCATTTCCATTTCGACTTCCTTCCCAGGCTCAACAATTTCATCTTCTTCCATCGCTGATACTTTGCTCCTCCTTTTAACTTCTTCCTGTGTCATCGGCGGTGGCAACTCTTCATCCTCATCATCAGCAAAATCTATGGATTCAACAACCACAAAATCATGCCAGTCAATCATAGCCATCTGCACTCTCTCCTGCTCTTTCTCGTCCTCTTCCTTCTTCCTCTGCTGCTCCTGAGAACGATCCCACTCAAGACGGTGCAAACAGCGCTCCAGAACGGTCGTAAAATCAGCAGCGCTCTTTCTCAGCTTGTCTTTCAAATCTTCGGGAGGCTTTAATACCTCAAAATATACATCAACCAGAGCAGTGAAAAACGGGAACATGCTATGAGTCGGCTTCATAAAGTGAAACTGAGGATTGTTATTCTCTCTACTCTGCAAACCATTCAAGAAAGATTTCCCATTCCGCGCCACAAACTGCGCAGTGAGCCTGATAATATCAAGCTCCTCGCTCGTGATCCCTTCAGGAAGTCTAACTGTATACTTCTCAGGCTCCGGAGCTACTAGAGTCTTAGGAGGAACCCTAAATTGAGCCTGAAGGTCGGGTTGTGCCTCACCTGCTTCACCCTCATCAGCAGCAGCATTAGCATCAAGCTGAAGATCTGTACCATCTGAATCAGTAGCCATGGCTCCATCTTGATTCTGCGCGCGGTATTCGGTGAGCTTGTGCTGGTAAAAGGCGTGGTAAGGATCTGAGCTGGTCAAGAAGTTGAACTTAGCATTGTTGGCATTGCTAGCCATAATCCTCTTCTCGAACTCCAGGCCGTTTTTGGAAACAAACTGAGCCGTTTTCTCGACGATGGTTCTGATATCTGGAGGTGGGTGAATGATTCCGATAGTCCTCGTGTGAGTCGCTACGGATTCCGGAGCTCGATTTGAGATGTTCTGCTCTGATTGCAACTCCCTCTCTTCGACTTCCTGATCCGTTAGTTGCGACGGAGGAAGTGGGCCGAGATTCCCGTCGACGGGAGGAGCCTCGAGAGGCAGTATCTGCGTCGAACTGAACATTTTTCTGCAGCTAGAGAAAACAAAAAAAACATTGACATCAAATTCTAATTGAAAACGGAAACATACAAAGTTCAGAATTCTTCTAGACCTAATTGATTGGTTTAACTCGGCCCTAGAAACTTATCGTTTCTAGTGAAATAGGTTTACGAACGCAGACTTAAATTCGGAAAGCCATGACCATTTTCATTGGAGAAGGTAGCAGAAATCCTGAAAACCCAAGATGTCGAGAGAAAGAGATCGATGTGAAGTAAAGAGGAATCGGCGACGCGAAAAAGGGTTTCGGAGAGAGATAAGTAACACCGTACCTCAGCTGGTAAGGAACAGCTCCGCCGCGAGAACTGTCGTGGCGTCGAGGAGGAGCACAGGTCGAACCAGTTTCGAGATTTAAAGCTTGAAACACGATTTGATGGGAATCGATAGAGCCAACAGGTACAAGGAATGAAGAGGATCCTCCTGAAAAATAATTAAACCGAGCCCTAGGATTTATCATTCATGAACGGAAGTGTGTCTCCAGGTCTACTATACAAATGGGCCTTTTATTGGGCTTTTAATAGTCCATCGTAATTGTTCAACCGGCTTAGTGTTAGAAGGCTTTTATAGTTTATCTTCGATGATTACCGCACCCAAATATAGATTTGAAAAATAATAGTTCTGTAAATTCGGTTCGACTTCTCCAGATTAGGCGTACCAAGATTTGTTTATAAAAGTTGTTTGTGTATTTAAACTGATTTGAAAATTCAAGCCCATCAAATGTTATGTCATAGACATTGAATTCTAAATGTCTAATTATTGAAATATAATTTTGGTATTCTAAATGTCTAATTATTGAAATATAATTTTGTTGTTGATTCAACAACATTTATTTCAAAATGATTGTTAACAGACACTATTTGATTTTAAATTTATATAATTCTTACAAATTTCAAAAATTTACAAATTAAATATGAAAATGCTCAAATGTAACATCTTTGATTTTAAATTCGTTTATTTGTTTTTTCATCGCTGTTAATTTTAACCAGGGTCTACGAAAATGGACCCAACCCATTAAGTCAAAAGCTACTAATGGTCCTTTGAAGAGGAGAAATGATGACCAGTAAATTAGTAATTACTGTTCCATTTAATGTGAACAAACTCTAAAAAAGATAGCATTAATGTTAATTAATCTGTTAAAAGAAAAGCAATGGTTTAGTTAAGCAGTCCACCACGTCAGTTACCACCCGAATAAAATATGTGTTTATTTTCTAGAGGGAATAGTAACTTTTATTTTGCCGTACAGCTCATGCCGACGAACGTCACATTACATCAGAATGACGTCATGTATCTGACTGTTGGCAAATCAATCTGGGCCTATGACGACAAATTATATGTTTGAGGCTTAATAATTTAACATAAATTTTGAAATAAGAGTTATTCAAATTCAAATTTTCTATTAAAAAATTCATCACCAGAACAAAAAGCGATTATCTTACAAAAAATTCTTGATACGGTGTTATATACTCTCTTTCTCTCTTTTTTATTCTACACTTACCTTTTTAACATGTTCTTTTCTTTTGCTTTGTTTTCTTTATTATCTATTCTTCCTCACGCTTTCGTATTTTTAGTTGTTAGTGAGTGTCTACTGTCTACTGAATATTTTCTTTTTAAAGGACGAAAGAGTTTGCTAAGGTGAAAAGAGTAAAGAACAGAAAGTACAAACATGCAAACTCATAAATCAAAAGGGGAGAAAATGTGTATTTGTCAATTTAAATTTTTATATGATAAGTTTCGAAAACAATTCTTCATTCTTTGTGAAAAAAATTAAAAAATCAAGAAAAAGACGAAAAACGAAAAGCGTAATTAACTCTCTTTTTCATTATATACAACATAGCTAGGTTGAAACAAGTCTGCCAATGATTAAACTTGTCTTAACATCGAGTACACACTATTAGGAAACCGTATATATACATATCTCAACCCTTAGTTCTTATTATAGTGATTGTCCCCCTCCCTAGTGTTTGTATCTTCGTGAAAGCAACCACGGCTTTGCCTGATAGACCCGGTCCATGAGCAGAGACAGATGGACGACATGCAAAGGCTCCAACCGGATGCCGAACCGGCCGAGCCGATGGCATGAGAATCCTCTTATTTATATCATTCAGGGTTACATCTTCTTCTCGACCACCTGGTTTCACCACTCCAAATGGATACACCACTCTCTTCTTCTCATAATCGTTCTTCTCTGTAATGCATACATGTCTTATATTAGTATATACTAAGATTAACGCAATAATTTAGTACTAGACAGCTGGACATAAAAGTAAACAACAAATATAATCTGTCCATATGATTTTTTTTTTTTGTAAGGATATAAAGAATATGTACATACTTGAAGTGGACGAAGATGGTTCGACTGAGTTTTTCGAATGATTTGAAGCGTCAGAACAAATATTGATGGATGAATTTGGAGATTCATCTGCTTAATATATAAGAAAATTTATTCATGAAGATTATGAAATAATACTACCCAATATTTAATTTAGAAAAACATCATTCTTCAAATGTTTATGTCCTGGTGGCAATAATAGAGAAGTAGGCCTCACCTGCAAACTGACTACTCGTGCAACTATAATTCTCAGACAGGCCCCAATTATTCTGCATTATTATATCCCACGAGCAACCAAATTAGTTTCAAAAAAATTGGAAACAGAACATATCGAACAATTATGTAAATGACAAACGAAAAAACAGAGTAATTTTGTATGTATATAAAACCTGAGAGTTGTCAAAGTGGTTATTTGGCTTGTCCTCGGCGTTGAACGAAAGACGTCTCCGTTTGCTTTTCACACTGAATTCAATGAGTGCATCTTCGAGGTAGCCGGTGGAAAAATCGCCGATCATTCCCATCTCCGGCGAACGGGATATATGCTCCGGCGATTCATCAGTGTGTCCACATGCATCTACAAGTGCATTGCATGGCCAAAATCCTCGCATTACTATATGTAGTAATATATATATCCAAGAAAACTAGTTGAATTACTAGTACAGATACAATCATCTTTCAACAAAAACAAAAAAACCATTCGCACGAAGCCACTCTCGTATATATATATATATATCACCACGCCCAACATATATCACATCACATCACATCTATAAACATACATATTTAATATAAACATGCGTGTGTGTTTGTGTGTTTTGTATATACCTAAATTGAAGTTCTGGGTGAAGAGTGATCCAAGGTTATGGAGATCCCAAGTGGGGAGAGAGTAGAAAAGCTCACTCATTTGATTTTTTTTTTTAATGAGATTTTGTCGATTGGTTGTGAATGTGTTGCATTAAGGGTATACCATGTGGCTGCCTATTTATCTTGGTGGGTTGTGAGTAAAAAGGTAAGAATAAATTAAAATAAATAAAAAGTAAAAGCAGTGAAGAAAATTAGAAGGAGCAAATTCAGTACTCAACACAGTCAACTGTAAAGAAAAGATAAATAACAATAATGGTTAGATATTGGTGCCATCAGGATTAATTTCAAATAAAAGAATATAAGATTTATTGATTTATTCGTAGATAGTGAAACTTTCATTTCGATTACACTGTTTCTTATTTATGAATATGATATTTCGGTATTCCGCCATTACAAAAATTACAATAATCAAATTTAAGAAAAAAAACGAGTTAAAAATGAAGTCTACGTACATTACTTAACGAGACTACCCTTTCATTTTGTAGATTAATTTAAATCATACAACTAGAGTTATGGAATACTACATGTATGCATATTTGAGAGGAAGGTAATTTGGTCCGAAATCGTAGCTTAATACATAGAATGAATACCTTTTCTTAAATTGTTGTATTTGATATAGGGACAACACGTACAGAAAACTACCATGCATGTCGTCAAAGCATTGGTCAATATATAAATTTACATATAATAAGTGATATCATTTATATATGATGACATGGTGTAGAAAGACAAACTATGTCAATGGAACTATACTGATTTTGACCAATGTATAAACAAAAATGGAAAAAAATACACATTAACGTTTTGAAATTTGAGTGGGGTTAGGCAAACGGGGGACTAAATAAGTAAATAATGGCTAAAGGCGCTATCATCATGATGTCTATGTTATATTGCTGCTCATGCATGTTACTCATGGAAGAGAGAGAAAAATGGTAGATACTTGATATATAATTTGATTTTAGTCCTGCTACGTATTAGACTATTAGTTCGATGAGTAAAGCAATGATAAGTTAATTTATATTTGGTTGTACATCTACAGGAATGATACTTCATCAATAACATTTATGATGGATTCAGGATGCGAAAGCTACTTATCGCCAATTGTAAAGATTCTCCTTGAACTCGGCTTTGGAGATTGAATTAGACTGATAGTGGATATATAAGTATGAAATATGAATTTGGAACATGGCTAAAATTCAACTATATAAATACGTAAGAAAAAAGGTCGATCAAAATTTAAACATTGCTATGCCTATATGTAAATATCTTAGTTAAAAGAAAAACATAACTGAAAAGTGAACCTTCGTTGAATAATGATGTATACAACGACGAGCCATAAGTATAAAAAATGTACCAAGTTTAGTTTTTAAAAAGATGGTTAATCAAGGTCATGCATGTTGAGTTGTTGACTAGAAAAATCAAAAATCAAAAGTCATACATGAGAGAATTTCAAATTTGCAGCTTTATCTCTCTAGTCTCTATATTTAAATTCTTCAAAATAATATTTGCTTTCCGATTTTTTGGTGAACAACTCATTCTTCTATTATTAGGTACTTTTTTCCTAAGGTTTTTACTTTCGTTTCTTCCCCATCGTGGGGTCGTTTCATACCTATCACGTTTACTCCATCATTACCTACCTTTATTTCAATATTTTCTTATTTATAATTTGCACACCTTTTTCTTTGTTACTTAGAATGATTTATATGTGTGAGAATATAGCACGACGCAAGCAAACCCTTACTACTAACTCGGGTTATGAGTCGATGGCGAGTTTGTTGGGTTACAAAAAATTGTAAAGTGATGGATCAGCTATTGTTTGAATTCAATGGATTATTAGATTAGCGAGTTTGTTGGGTTACAAAAAAAAAAAAAAATTAATGTATGAATTACATGCCTCGTTTCGTTTGTCGGTATTGTTGTTAACGTTTTCGTTTCGATTTAAAACTGTCGTATCAGTTATCACAAAATCATAAAATTTGTTTCAATTCAAAATTCAAGCCACGCATTATAAACGAATAAAGCAGAGAACATTTTAAACTCAGAACTATTACGAATACTTAAATACTTCAAGCTTTAAAAAAAAAAAGAATATAGTTTCTTCCGTTCTAGATCGTAGTGTTCCTACCAGTTTAATCGTATAGGAATCACTTCACACTTGTTGACATATAATAAAACAGAAGAAGAATTTACTCAGCATTTTATCAGCCTATAATCTTATTCGAATTGATTCACATTTGTTGACAAAAGCAAATTTATCTTATACTACATATTTGTGATTCACTCCAATTTTTATATACAATGTGTCGATTAGTGCGACAAAAAAAAAAAAAAAAAAAAACGTCTTTTGTATTTGCAATTATAGCCGGCATACGAATTCTCAGTGGGGCCGAATGAATGCATGCCGGCGGGGCCCATTTGGAAAAATTAGAAAGATTGCACCCGTATCATTTGTGGGGCCCGCTTGTTTGAATGGTCCAAACTCCAAACACACTTTGAGATTTGAGACCTTATTACAATAATAACTCATCATATCTATTGGTCAAATTTGATAATTGCGCTAATTCACTTGGGTTTCTTTGAATCGTCAATCTTTTTGACGGCGAACACTATATAGTATAAAATTTTCAGGTTGGTTATACGATATTATGTAAGGAATAAGTGCATAATATTAGGATGTATAGCCTCATTATCACGACGAGGGGGTGTGCTTTGCCTGAAAATCAAGATTCGTGTCTAAAGACTCACACCGGCTCTTTTCTCTTTAGTGTATTAACCCTAGATTTTATTATTCTCTGTTTTGCCCATTACCACGTCAAAGCTGGTCTCTTTAATCTTATGCAACTATCAACTATGTGCCTCACTAATTAATAATAAGCATTATGTTTGATCGTATCAGGCATTTAATAAACAGTGTTTATATTTTTAGACTGAATTAATGCATTGGACTGCTGACTGAGGCCCATTAGCAACTATTTCGGCCATGTATGTGGTGGGGTAGCAAAAGTTTTAATATAAACCAAAGGAACCACGAATAACGTATAAACTAGTAAACTACTATTATATATAACTCAACTGAATCCCCTTTGTAGAATGTAAATCAACATTAAGAAACATATACAGATTAAGTCAACTTGTTTTAGTCAAGCCTGAGCCAGTGAGCCATATTTGTCTTTGCATGTGTGTTTGTACGTACGGTTTGTACATCGGACTGTTCGAGATCGGTAATTATGGTGAATCAAACATTGCTGATTGAAACTCAGGTTCGGCCTCAGTTTAAGACTTTTGTCTTTTGCTATATTACTTGGACCCACTGCTTTTCATACCTCTATTGGCCCCTTGAACACTCAAAGTATCCGAAACTCGAATCTTTCGAAAGCAGGATCGAACCAAATCGAATTTATTCTCTGGTTCATTCTGGTTATGTAGACCAAATATATTAGATCAAACCGGGTTCTGGTTCAGTCTACTTAGGGATTAACAGATTTGTGAAAAAAAGAAAAACAGGGAAAAACCGCAAACGACGGCGTTCGCGCTCCCAGGTTTGTTGTTTCTTCTTCAACGCCGGCGTTCTCTGTCTATCGAAAGTCGATTCCTTTTTTGTTTGTTTGGTTTCTGCGTTGAGATTGAGAAATGCGATCATCTTTGCGGCTTCTAGTTGGGCCTTTATCGCAGAGCCGGCGAGGGTTTTGTTCGAGCTCCGATAAGATCGTAGCTTCGGTGCTTTTCGAGAGACTGCGCGTTGTGATACCCAAACCGGATCCTGCTGTTTACACTTTTCAGGAGTTCAAGTAAGCCCTTCTCCTTCTCTCTCACTCTCTCTCTGTCTTCTTTGTCTGTCGATTGCTTGCCTTTAGAAATGACGAACAAGGGAGAGAAAGTGAGGGAAAATGTGTAATTTATTGTGATTCAATGAATGCTTTCATGTAGCTCGATGTCTTATTTTATGGGGCGGAAATCAAATACTAAGTTGTTTGAGTCATTGAGCAATTAGCTTTTGATTTTTATATAATGTAACCTATTTCCAGAGAAATGGGGGTGAGAGTGGATTAGCCGAAGTTACAAAAACATCAACTTTTTGCTTTGTATTGATGTTGTTGCTCTATTGCAGATTCAACTGGCAACAGCAGTTTCGTCGTAGATACCCGGATGAGTTCTTGGACATAGCTAAGAACAGGTGATTCCTTACCATTTTTAAATCTGTAATCCAGAGATTGTATCAAATGTCTGCTTTTAATTCATTTTCTCTGATATAATGTTGTATCAACAGTTTCTTGTTCATTCAACTCTGTGTCTTCTTCTTTATGACAACAACAAAAAATTGTAGATCGGCGTTATTTTTCCTTCTTCTTGTAGCTCCGTGAGTTACAGGTTTTCCGTTATTGAGTAACCTGAGCAGCACTAACTTGACTGCAGTGAAAGTTTAGAACTGTTACGTGCTCATTGATAATAGTATATAGTTAAGGTCCGGTGACTATTTCTAGCTCAGTTTAAAATTTGATCCAAGTGTAGTGAAAACTGAAGATTCCATGAATATGATTTTTGTTGTTGTTTGAATACAGAGCCAAGGGTGAATACCAAATGGACTATGTTCCTGCTCCTAGAGTTACAGAGGCTGACAAGAAAAACGATAGGAAGTAAGTTTTATGCACCTTTAGAATGAAATAAATGATGCTTTTGCTCATATTCGATGTTTTTACTCTTTGGAAAGTATTGCTATTACAGGTCATTGTATAGAGCTCTTGACAAAAAAATGTATCTTCTCATCTTCGGCAAGCCATTTGGAGCTTCTAGCGACAAACCCGTGTGGCATTTCCCGGAGAAAGTCTACGATTCTGAGCCAACTCTTCGCAAGGTGAATGGTTTAGTGCCTCTATTTCAATCCATAACAACACCAATTCCGTTCCTCTGCTTATATGTTGTTATGTAAATTCCGGTTTTGTGCAGTGCGCAGAATCTGCTTTGAAGTCAGTCTTAGGAGACCTCACTCACACATACTTTGTTGGAAACGCTCCAATGGCTCACATGCTCATACAACCTACAGAAGAAACGCCTGATCTGCCATCTCACAAGGTTAACAACAGTAAAAGGCTTTTTAATTAGGTTTCGTCGAATTGTTGAACTTGACGAGGTTGTTTTTGTGTAGAGGTTCTTCTTCAAGTGCAGTGTAGTAGCAGCATCGAAATACAACATAAGTAACTGCGAGGATTTTGTTTGGGTGACGAAAGACGAGCTTTTGGAATTCTTCCCTGAGCAAGCTGATTTCTTCAGCAAGATGATCATTAGCTGAGTCACACTCACACTAGAACAACTCCTATTTGATTTCCCTTCTTCATCACCACCTTCTGGTTTTAGACAAGTTAATCTATAGACATAGTGTTGGTGTGTGTAAGTTCTCTGTAATAACCTGACCAGACCATGTCTCTGGTTTTTTATGAATAAATTATTATTTTTTGGTTGACATCAGAAGTAGTTGAATGTAGTTTGGCTTCTTTCTCATCCTTTTTATACATCATCTCGTCTTCGATTATATGAGTCATACGATCCGAACAACCCAAACGCAACATCAGTATGTTCGTTCATAGTTTCAATCTTGTTTTTTGGGTTACAGATCAAATTTTGATTAGACAACAGTTACAGAAACCGCAATTGAGCCCACTGGGCCAAAAACGAAATCACGATTTGTTTTCTGGTTCCATTTCTATCTTTTTGGGTGGCATCGTCAATAAAAAAAATATTTCATTAAGCCCTAGCTAGTTTCGTATCTGTCTATGTCACTGCTCTTACTCAGAAGAGCCAAGCCGTTATTTGTATCTTGTTCAGCTTCTCCTTCTCAGGCCAGCTTCTTATCTCCGTCTCTTACGAATCTACTTTTTCGTTCGTTTCACGGTTCCAGAGCGATGGTACAGTAGTAAAATTCGGATTGATCGTTTACTCATCGGATTTCGAAATTGTTCTGCCGTTTTTTCTGAAGTCTGAGAATCGAACGTTTGTTTTCTGAATTTCGCAGTCCGAATCAGAGAAGAAGATCCTTACAGATGAGGAGCTTGAGCGGAAGAAGAAGAAGGATGAAAAGGTTTGACTTCTGATTTATATACTTTTCTCAATTTCTCATTAACATTTCTGGTGAGAATCAACGTGACTATGTTGTCTCACTACAGCTTATGATTTTAGCAATTTCAACATTTACTGGAATTGAATTCGGACTTTATTGATGAGATCGTAGATAGATAGAATGTGTTGTTTTCTCAAGATAGGAAAGTTAGAGCAGCCGTCTTCACTGGAATTGTATACTTTTGAAAACAACACCTTGCATTTCATAATTTTCTGTGGTTAGAGTTATTTAGGTATATAAACATTTACTTCGGTTTTTGGTTTCGTCAATCTCATCAATGTGTGGGACTTCAGTTAGTATTTATTCCGGTACAATATCAACTTTAAAAGTGATTTGTAATGTTCATTTTATAGGCTAAAGAAAAGGAATTGAAGAAGCAGAAAGCTTTGGAGAAAGCGAAGCTAGCAGAGCTGAAGGTAACCCTTTAAGGAACTCCAGTTTTGCGTTTTGGGTGCAAGTCACATCCTTAATTTTTCTATGGAACTAGAAAAAACGTATCGTGGTGTGCTTCTCGTATAGGCGAAACAGGCCAAAGATGGAACCAATGTCCCTAAAAAGAGCGCAAAGAAGAGTTCCAAACGGGAGGCGTCAGAAGAGAATCCTGAGGATTTTGTGGACCCTGAAACTCCTCTGGGTGAGAGGAAAAGACTCTCTTCACAGATGGCCAAACAATACAGTCCTGCTGCCGTAGAGAAATCGTAAGTGTGTAGAGATTTTTTCTTTGACATAAATTCAAGCGTGGTTTTCATTCATCCCACAAAAATTCCCTTTTGATAAACTCTGTGTTGTTTTTTAATTGGGTCAGATGGTATGCTTGGTGGGAGAAATCTGGCCTTTTTAAGGCGGATGCTAAAAGTTCCAAGCCACCTTTTGTTATTGTAAGGCCTTATTCGATTCTTGAATACATGTTAGTTATGGATTAGATCTTTTTTTTTTTTTTAATTGTCTTCTCCGGATTCTTACATTTTCCAACAAAATTCTGTTGAGAAAATCTCGAGCTTCTGAATTATGAATACTAGTGTGAAGTTTTTTATAAGTTCTTCTTTAATTCGTTAACTGATTCTGCAGGTTCTTCCTCCTCCAAATGTGACTGGAGCCTTGCATATTGGCCATGCCCTAACAGCTGCAATTGAGGTTTCAATAGCACATTGTTTGGTCCTATTGCTCTATCTTGTTCCTTCCTCCTGATGATCGACGGCTTGACATTTGCTGATGCAGGATACAATTATTCGTTGGAAGAGAATGTCTGGGTATAATGCTCTGTGGGTGCCCGGGATGGACCATGCTGGTATAGCTACACAGGTTCGCCATTACCATCATTGATCACTCCATATGCTCATGTCCTGTATTACTATAAATTCAGCCTGTCAAGTAAATCTTCTTTTGGCATGCTTCTAGAATAATTAGTTTTTGCACACTGATACATATTCTTTGATTGCATGTACATTCTAGGTTGTGGTTGAGAAAAAGCTCATGCGTGAAAGAGGAGTGACTAGGCATGACGTTGGCCGTGAAGAATTCATTAATGAAGTGAGTTGAAAATTACAAAGGCGCCCATGAATCATTATCCATTTTGCATTGTTTATAAAATGACTTGTTGTTGCTTGTGATCATGGAAAAGGTGTGGAAATGGAAGAACCAACATGGTAGCACGATTCTAACACAACTACGGCGTTTAGGAGCTTCTCTTGATTGGTCTCGTGAGGTAAAGTTCAGTGATCAGACCTTTCTTGGACAAATGTTATCGGAAAACGGGCAATATAATATTTGTTTCGTCACTAGGTGAACTTATATGTAAATGAATCTTTTATCGGTCACCTGTTTCTGCCTGTATTTTGTAGTGTTTTACAATGGACGAGCAAAGATCAAAAGCTGTCACCGAGGCCTTTGTACGGTTATACAAGGAAGGGCTTATCTACAGGTATGCTTAAGTCTGACTTTGTTCTTTGCTCGCAAGCTATAGATTCCCTTTGTAAAATCCATGGAAACAAGAATATACCAAAAAAAACAGGAATATACTCTTTTACCTTTCCAGTTACCTTGTTGAAAGGAAGCACATTTAACTGAAAGGTATACCATGACTTGTGCAGGGATGTTCGGCTTGTAAATTGGGATTGTGTTTTAAAAACAGCCGTATCTGAGATTGAGGTAATTAAGCATTTGTTAAGACTATGATTATTGAACAGCATCCTTTTAATGCGGAGTGTGTCTATATCTGTAGGTTGACTATATCGATATCAAAGAAAGAACGCTACTAAAAGTTCCTGGCTATGAGAAGCCAGTAGAATTTGGTCTCATTACTTCATTTGCTTACCCTCTGGAGGGAGGCTTAGGCGAGGTTGTTGTTGCCACTACAAGGGTGGAAACAATGCTTGGGGATACTGCCATTGCTATTCATCCTGATGATGCAAGATACAAGCATCTCCATGGAAAATTTGCTGTGCACCCATTTAATGGACGGAAGTTACCAATTATCTGTGATGGAATACTTGTTGATCCAAATTTTGGAACTGGATGTGTTAAGGTACATGCTCGCGCGTATGTATTTGAATGCTATGTTTCTGCCCCTATTAGTTGTTTTTTCTTGTGTAAAAGTTGCTTTATTCTTCGTTGTAGATTACTCCTGCTCATGACCCCAATGATTGTGAGGTCGGAAAGCGTCACAATCTTGAGTTTATAAACATATTCACTGATGATGGAAAAATCAACACAAGTGGCGGGGCTGAATTCACAGGGATGCCACGCTTTGCAGCACGTGAGGCAGTTGTTGAAGCTCTGAAGAAGCAGGTAACTCATTAGTTCTTCATGTAACATATCATAGCAAGTTGATTGATTGTTGGTTTGAGAAGATATTGGTACACCGTGGGTTTTTTCTTGTAAGTATCTTTAAGATCAATATGTATATTGCAGGGGTTGTACAGAGATGCCAAAAACAATGAAATGAGGCTTGGACTTAGCCAAAGAACCAGTGATGTTATTGAGCCTATGATTAAGCCTCAATGGTACGTCAGTTGTAGCTCGATTGGGAAGGAGGCTCTCGATGTTGCTATCTCTGATGAAAACAAGAAGCTCGAGTTTATACCTAAACAGTACACAGCAGAATGGAGAAGGTTACTTTCATTTATCATATACTCTATGGTTCTGTCATTACCACATCTACCGTATTAACAATCACAATGGACTTAACAGATGGCTAGAAAACATACGTGACTGGTGTGTTTCGAGACAGCTTTGGTGGGGACACAGGATACCAGCATGGTATGCCACTCTCGTGGAAGACCAGCTCAAGGAGATTGGTGCGTACAATGACCATTGGATTGTTGCTAGAACCGAGGAAGAAGCTCGAAAAGAGGCTGCTCAAAAGTTTTCTGGGAAGAAGTTTGAACTCACACAAGATCATGATGTACTTGATACGTGGTTTTCTTCTGGGCTCTTTCCGTTATCTGTTCTTGGATGGCCTGATGAAACTGACGACTTCAAAGCCTTCTATCCGACATCTGTCTTGGAAACTGGACATGATATTCTCTTTTTTTGGGTTGCTCGTATGGTTATGATGGGAATGAAACTAGAAGGTGACGTTCCATTCAGCAAGGTACGTGTAAATTCTAAGTTAAACAGGGATCACGCCCTCCTTAGCAATCCTTTTCGATGCCAAGTCTTGTCTTGTGACCTGTACTTACATGCCAAAACATATTTTGTTGTCTTTTCTATAGGTATATTTGCATCCTATGATACGTGATGCACATGGGCGTAAAATGTCAAAATCTCTTGGAAATGTCATCGATCCGCTCGAAGTAATAAACGGGGTAACTCTTGAGGGTCTTTATAAGAGATTAGAAGAGGGCAATCTGGATCCAAAAGAGGTGGTTGTTGCCAAAGAAGGACAAGTGAAGGACTTTCCAAATGGTATCCCTGAATGTGGCACTGACGCTCTTCGGTTTGCGCTTGTCTCCTACACTGCTCAGGTACAATCCATTGCGCACGTCCATACAAACCTCTTATATTTGCTCCTTCAACGTGTATGATCCTGTAAACTAAGATTTACTCTACTCTTTTTTCTTTTATAGTCTGATAAAATAAACTTGGACATTCTCCGAGTGGTTGGTTACCGTCAATGGTGTAACAAACTGTGGAACGCCGTCAGATTTGCGATGATGAGGCTTGGCGATGATTATTCCCCTCCGGTGACTCTAAGCCCTGAAACCATGCCATTCAGCTGCCAATGGATTCTCTCTGTGCTAAACAAGGCAATCTCAAAGACAGTGGAGTCGCTGAATGCATTTGAGTTCTCTGATGCGGCCAACACGGTATATGCATGGTGGCAATATCAGTTCTGTGATGTGTACATCGAAGCAATCAAGCCTTATTTTGCTGGTGACAACCCGGCGTTTGCTTCAGAGAGGGCACATGCACAGCATGCTCTCTGGGTGTCTCTTGAGACAGGTTTGAGACTGCTTCACCCACTTATGCCATTTGTTACCGAAGAGCTATGGCAACGGCTGCCTTCACCCAAAAACTCAGAGAGAAAGGCGTCTATCATGCTATGCGACTACCCATCTGCTACAGAGGTCAGTAAGATTTTCTTTTTTGAAACTTATCATAATTGTTTGCGTTTCTAACTCTTTGGATGTCGTGAACCCAGAATTGGACTAATGAAAACGTGGAGTCCGAAATGGAAACTGTTCTAGCGAGCGTGAAATGCCTGAGAGCACTCCGTGCAGAGTTGCTGGAGAAACAGAAAAATGAAAGGTCTGAGTAATTAATCAAAACCACATTCGAGGAACAATTTTTGAGACTTTTTGTTTTTAACCATCCTGCATTTTCCGAGTATATACCGTTATTAAAAGAAATGCTATTTCTTCGTTGTGTACACATTTCTCAGGTTACCTGGTTTTGCTCTGTGTGAAAACACGTTAACATCTGAGATAATAAAATCTCACGAGTTGGAGATCAGAACACTAGCAAATCTATCATCCTTAGAGGTAAATAAGTCTACAGTACCTACGGTTTCTTTCTTACGGTTTCTCAATTGCTGAATTTATAATGGAGCTTTTCGCAATAGGTTCTGTTGAAGGGAGAACATTCAGCGCCACCTGGATCTGCAGTTGAGACAGTGAACGAGAACCTCAAGGTGTATCTGAAAGTGGACAGAGCCATTAACACAGAAGCTGAACAAGAAAAGATCAGAAACAAGATTGACGAACTACAAAAGTAAGCTCCTCCCTTAAACCCATAAAATTGAGACAAGACAACGTGTTTGAAAAGCAAAACCCCCTCTTCTCTGTTGACATTTTGGTATCTTGTTTTATCAGACAAAAGGAGAAGTTGCAGAAGATGATGAGTGTGTCTGGGTACGAAGAGAAGGTCCCTGCAAACGTAAAAGAAGACAACGCGACAAAGCTTGCTAAGATTCTCCAAGAGTTCGATTTCTTTGAGAAGGAAAGTGCTCGTCTCGTTGCAGAGACAGGAAATCAACAAGTGGAGCAGAAGAAGTGAAGAGACCAACCAAGTCAGAGTTACAAAAGCATAATGAAATATGAAATACGGTTTACATCATTGTTATTGGGATCTGGTTTTGAGTTTTGACTATATTTTGATTACATCTGGACAAAGATTATTCTAGAGATCATTTGTTTCAACATCATCATCACTTGAATTCGTTCTGTGTTATTGCATCGAGCTTAGTGCGTTGGTAGAGTTAACCGGGTCAGCCGGTCTGAATGCGAAATGTATTCGGTAGGGAATAATTGTAAACGTGAAAAATGCTATGGGTCAAATGAATATAAAATGAAAAATAGGGGGCACTAAATGATGAAGAAAATATAATATTGCGGGGGTGAAATCAGCTATTCACAAGAATGTCGATCTCGGTCTTTAGTTTGTTTTTGTTTGCTGAACTCTGTTTTTTATTGATGGTCTAGGGAATGTGTGCTGTGACTCTCTCTGCTTCGGTTCAATATCTGAAACCCGCTGACTGCGTTGGAGGCTTTTGCTCATCGCCAACCGAGTCTCAGTACTTGACGTTCTTTCTCGGGCTTTACCTCGTAGCTCTTGGCACCGGGGGAATCAAATCGTGTGTCTCGTCCTTCGGTGCGGATCAGTTTGACGATAATGACTCGGGTGAACGACTGAGAAAGTCTTCTTTCTTCAACTGGTTCTACTTCTCCATCAACATCGGGGCTTTTGGGTCGTTTGGTCTTGTGTTGGTTCAGGAGAAGATCGGTTGGGGATTAGGTTTCGGGATACCCACTGTGTTCATGGGATTAGCTATCATCAGTTTCTTCTTTGGCACTCCACTTTATAGGTTTCAGAAACCGGGAGGTAGTCCCATTACAAGGATTTTTCAAGTTCTCGTCGCTGCATTTCGTAAGATGAATCTCAGAGCCCCTGAAGATTCAACACTTCTGTATGAAAATGAAACACAAGACCTGAATGAAAGTAGGAAAATCGAGCATACAGATGATTACTTGTAATCTTTCTCTTCTCATCATTAGTCTGGTTTTGATTTTTTTGGCTTGGTTCGGTTTTATGTACCGTTTGTTCATCTTAATGCAAGGTATCTTGACAAAGCCGCTGTCTTATCAGCAGAGGAAGCGAAAACCGGAGAAGTTTCCGATCCGTGGAGTGTATGCACCGTTACGCAGGTGGAAGAAGTGAAGATTCTGATCCGAATGTTCCCAATATGGGCTTCAGGTATCGTCTTCTCATCTCTCTACGCTCAAGTATCCACAATGTTTGTCCAACAAGGAAGAGCCATGAACTGTAACATCGGCGACTCTTTCAAGATTCCCCCAGCGACCCTCGGGGTTTTCGACTGCATCACCGTCCTCATTTGGGTTCCGCTCTACGACCGGTTCAACGTCCCGCTCGCGAAACGCTTCACCGGAACAGACAAAGGATTCACCGTGCTGCAGCGAATGGGAATCGGTCTTTTCGTTTCGGTCCTCGGTATAGCATCAGCGGCCATCGTCGAGATCGCGCGGCTCGGGACAGCGGAAAGTAACACCGCGGTTTCTTTGTGTTGGTTTTATGCTCTTGTATCAATTTAGAAGTCATTGCTTATTGTACAAGACATAAATATTTGATAAAGAAAAGTAAAATAGAATTTGGAAGAGAAAAGAGAACAGAGTATAGAATCTGGAAAACTTCTCTTTATCTGGATTATCTTACATTTACACATCACTAATACTTATATAGTGATCTTACATAAACGAACACAATTATTCATAATGATACATAACTGTTCATCATTTAATATGTATCCTTTCGTTAAGTTACGACTAATATACCTCTCTTTATTTTACATAACGCTAGTTTATATAATTAATATATAAACAAACTCAATTATAAACTAACACTCCCCCTTAATTGAGTTTCGCTCTAACTCCAAACTGTTTAATTTGTTCTTTAGGCTTTGTGAAACTAACACCAAACGCCTCTTTCAAATTCTAATAAAAAGAAGGAGAGAAGATCATACATATAAAGTTACGAACAGTTATGTATCATTATGAACAGTTGTGTTCGTTTATGTAAGATCACTATATAAATATTAGTGATGTGTAAATATAAGATTATCCAGATAAAGAGAAGTTTTCCAGATTCTATACTCTGTTCTCTTTTCTCTTCCAAATTCTATTTTACTTTTCTTTATCAAATATTTATGTCTTGTACAAGAAGCAATGACTTCTAAATTGATACAAGAGCATAAAACCAACATGGTATCAGAGCTCTTATGATTCAAGGGCCAACTGAAGCACAAAGAGAAGCAATAATTCCGCAACTATAGGAAGAAGGTTTCACGCAGGAGACGTGAGGGAAGCCGGAGTTGTGTGTGGTGGTGGAAGAGTTCCGAACCGATCGACACAACCAAAAGAGACACCCGAAGGGGTGCAATTGAAAAGTCAATGGAAGAAGGCTTCAATGAAGGAATTAAGACTACACTATGGGTGGCAGAGTTGATAAGATTCATTCATGCACATAAAGATCATGTTTCTTCACAGAATAAAACACATAAAAGACGTTCATATAGGAGAAAGCCGCTTGTTGAAAAAAAACAACAGAGAAAGGCTACTCAGCAAAAAGAACTGCAAACTTAGAAAAACCGAGAGTACGGATCTAAGTATTGAAGAAACAGAAGATGACTCAGAAGATGAAGGTCACATGCTGTTTAGTGCAGTGGAAAAAGAAACATCATCAAAAGTAGATGATGAAACATGGTTAGTTGACAGCGGATGTACTAACCACATGACCAAGGAAGTATCATACTTCATCACTCTTGATAAGAGTATCAAAATACCAATCAAAGTGGGGAATGGTCAAAGAGTAATCACGGCAGGGAAAGGGAATATCCAAGTGATGACTAGCGAAGGAAAGAAGATCATCAAAGAGGTGTTACTAGTGCTGGACTTAGCAAGGAATCTGTTAAGTGTTTCGCAAATGGAGCAAAGAAAATGGTCACGGAGATAGCCGAGGAAAATGTGAAAGAGATTCACGAACGAGACGTCAAGGAGACGTAATGGTGTTCAAAAGATGGCACCAAGCAATAAAATAGGATGCTTACCTATAAGAAAAATGGAGCGAAGAGAATGGTTACAGAAATAACAGTAAAGTCGTGGAGAAGAAGATTCACGCACTCAAGAAGGGAACCGGTTACACATAACCGAAGAAGACGTGGAGAAAATTCACGCACATCAGAGAACCTGTTATAGAGATAACAGAAGAAGACGTGTAGGTGACCTATGCATGAAATGTCACAGGGACGTGACGTGATGGTGATCAAAAGAAGTCACCAAAGAAAACACATAGTCTAAGAAAGAGATGTCAAGAAGACATGACTAATTGAAGAAAAAGAAAGTTCACTCAGAAGAGGTGAGAACACTCAGTTACAGAAATAACTTCAATGAAGTTAGGAAGTTAGAATTTGAAAGAGGCGTTTGGTGTTAGTTTCACAAAGCCTGAAGAACAAATTAAACAGTTTGGAGTTAGAGCGAAACTCAATTAAGGGGAGTGTTAGTTTATAATTGAATTTGCTTATATATTAATTATATAAACTAGCGTTATGTAAAGTAAAGAGAGGTATATTAGTCGTAACTTAACGAAAGGGTACATATAAAATTACGAACAGTTATGTATCATTATGAACAGTTGTGTTCGTTTATGTAAGATCACTATATAAATATTAGTGATGTGTAAATATAAGATTATCCAGATAAAGAGAAATTTTCCAGATTCTATACTCTATTCTCTTTTCTCTTCCAAATTCTATTTTACTTTTCTTTATCAAATATTTATGTCTTGTACAAAAAGCAATGACTTCTAAATTGATACAAGAGCATAAAACCAACACTTTGACCGTCCTTTGGCTGGTTCCGCAGATATTCATATTCGGTGCAGCCGAGGTTTTCTACTTTATAGGCCAGCTCGAGTTCTTCTATGATCAGTCGCCGGATTCGATGCGGAGTCTGTGCAGCGCGTTGGGGCTATTGAGCAGTGCGTTTGGGCATTATCTGAGCTCGCTGATCCTCACGGTGGTGACGTATCTCACGACGATGGACGGTGGAGATGGGTGGATTACGGATGATCTCAACGACGGACATCTTGATTACTTCTTCTGGTTATTGGCCGGTTTAAGCATTTTGAATGCCGCGGTTTTTGTATTCTCTGCCGTTAATTACAAACAGAAGAAGGCGTTGCAGCTGTAACACTTGTGTAAGTTTTTTCGTCTTAATATCAGAATATAATAAAAAGATATCAAATTCATATGTAGAAAAATTTGTCAAAGTTGAAATTACAGAAAACCAAAACCGAAATAAAACTTTGCCTATCAATTCGATAACCTCTTGGTATAAAATCAGACCGAACCGAATCAAATGACTTTTGGTTGAAATTCGGACTTATAAAATATCTGAACTAAACCGGAATGTCCTATAACTTGTTGCAATACGCGCTCTACGAGACAATCTCAAAGCTAATAATTAACAAATACTAGCAGATCAATGAAACTGCTAATAATTGCCTTATTCCAACTCCATCAGATAATATCTTCTTCTTTTACTCAAAAACATTTTTAGCTGATTTCAATAATTTGAATAAGTATTATCGGACCCACAATTACTTTGCCGCAGCCTTTTGATTTCCTCAAAGTGTTATCTAACATTTGGCCTCGGTTGGAGCAATGATGCTCATTCTGATAACTCTTTACATATTTCTTAAAATCCCCATTATACCTTATTACTGCTTTTCCCTGGAACATTAGGTAAGTGTCTGATTTTCTCTTTGGTGAGATCATTTGTTAGGTAAAAGGTTATTATTAGGCAGGTCACTACTCAAAACTGGCTTGTGTATATAATGAGTTTGATACGTACGTACTCTCATTACCTTTGTCTACATTTTTTTTGAACATTTTCCATTTTTTTTATCCACGTTTAAAGACAAATGAGATGGCACATGTTTTAAGTTTTGTGCAGGGATCCATAAACACTAGACCAGCTCTGAATACTCGGCATTTAGATATTGTATAGAAGATTCTACAAAAAAAATAGCAATTATGAATTGGTGGATAAGCGAACATATACAAAGCCTGTAAAGGGATAATTATTCTCTTTATGTCCCTCTCCTTCTTCTTCTTCTCACCTGCCATGTTACAATCTAACACACTCATACTTGTGTTATTCTTCAATTGTCTCTGCTTCTATGATTACAACCATGTGTGTGCTGCCTTTGATACCTAAAGTTTCTCTTGAATTTTTCAACATGTTATGATTTCCCTTTTTTTTTAGTTAATTATATAACTCCCTACTTTGATATATTTGGACAAGCTCTCAACGTATGATCCAGTATGCTATGTCAACAAATTCAAACGAATGCTCAAAATTTAAACTCTCCTTGAACAATCTTTCAAATCTTGAATCTACTGTCTACATAAATAAAAACTCATCTCATCTAACAGTTTGCTGTTTAGTATGAGCAGGTGGATTTTTTTGGGGAAATATTTATAAGAATGTTTTGTTCTTAGTCCAACTAATTAATTATATACATATAGTACCCTAAATCTCTTTCACTGTTTCACATAGCCACATCTATATCATTGTATATATTTGATTAGTACTGATAATATATTCTTTTTTTTTGGTAAACATGATAACATATTCTTTGGCATTAAGTTATACAAATAATCGTTCTAGGAATAGTAAAAAAAACTAGCATGTATTAAAAATGTTATTTTGGTGGCTATCTATTCTGAAATGGCACTTTTTAAAAAAACCCTCTCTGGGTGTTTTTCTCTCTCGATCGCTTGATTACACTTTATCATAATTTATGATTTTTATCGTTCGTGCATGTGCTATGATTGAAATCAATTAAAGTGTTAGGGAAAGAAAATAAAGCCCATAAAATAATATTAATAATTGTCAAATCTAATAAAATGGTTCGGTGAGAATTTTCTGAATCAAAATAGAATTTAGCCGTTTGATAATCCGTTTTTTCTTCTTTCAACCATCCTATATGGTTAAGCTGTATGTGTATATATACATATCCACAATTACAAACATAAATATGTATCAGTCGAAGAAATCCAATATATAGTTGGATTGTAGTAAAAGCCATGAATCATGGACCTGGAGTCCATTCCACATTAAGTTCCTTTTGGATCTATTTGGGAATTTATTGACCGTTTAAAATTTTCTTTTTTCATAGAATTATTTAAGAAAGCAAAACCAATGTCGCGACAGGTAGCCACCGAATCAATTTCGTCGTACAAACTTTGAATGTGGTGATAATGCTTTAGGTAAGTTCAATCAGTATAATCTTAAACAACCAAGAGAATAATTCAACTTTAACTCAAGCTAAATGGGTTTAAGAGGGGGAAAAAGGATGAAAAACCGTATTCAAGACAAAATCTAAAGTTAATACATACTCTTAGCTTGATTTATTGATAAATTCTTTAAATCAACACTATTGGGCTATAATTTGTCCTATCCCGAGTGAAGTATTCTTCGTGTACGTTGGGGTCCCAACTTGTTATCTATCAGGAGAAGCTTTAAAGCTTCTGCAACATACAGCTCGTCTGATAAAAGATATATACGGAATATACGGTTGAGACACAAGTGTATTGCCTTTATCATGCCCCAGGTGATTTCCACTAGACTTAGGGAATCACTAAGGGCTATGTGTGTAAATAAAATAGTTAGGGTACTACTAGCTACAACAACAAAAAAAAAAAACATTTGATTTCACACCATTAATTTGCTTAGATGTTTCAAAACCATTAAAGTTTTTTTTTGGGTTATATGAAACATATTGAACATGTGTATTATTACATGCATACGACATTTAAGCTAGCTTTAATTAGGTGCAAAAGTGAATGAAACCGTGGCGTATTTTTATGTGTTATACGTCTTTATCTTGATGGTCAATAACATCACCTTGACATATTCTAACTTTAGGTTTCGTGATTCATATGGGGTATAAAAGGTCCACTTTGTACATAACCTCCAGTTGATTTTAGTATTACGGCTTGGTTTGAATTTTGTAGAGTGTTATACATGCATGCAACTTTCTCATTTTGGTCGGTTTTGTTGGAATTCTTTCATATGCAGTTTTGATGAATATCTAGCTTCTGTAACTGACACACAGTTGAAAACAAGTATGAATGCTACATTTTTTTTTATAAACGGTTCCTTTCCAAATATGTGTAGTACATATAAACAGTTTGTGAATCTTTTATTAATGACAACTATTTCAACCAAAACGACAATAATCGTTTTCGAAAGCCGTTTATTCTTTGCTTAGTTATTATTTTTCTACAAAAGCATAGAAGGACCCCAAGAAAAAAAAAACTCATATATTTTAATGTACAAATAAATAAATAGAGATCAAAACCGGGGGTTTATGGTCAAGATGATGACTATAATGTGTACCACTTACATACCCATTTGGCCATTTCGTCATCGACGACATTTACGTCCCACCTTCCTACTTTAAGCAACCTCCTACGTTTTTTTTTCCTCCTCTTCATCTTCATCTTCTTTTTTATTTTATTTCGAATTTATTTTTCAATATAATTTACACTGTGGGCTCCGAATTATAATCGGAGTAAAAAGAACCCATACGTGATCACATACACCCTAGTTAGTGGCTACGACCATATGCTAATGGTCTTCGTACCTAAGGCTAACAACATATGCTTATAAAAAAAAATTAGAGTTAACAATATACTATAGAGTAATAGTTATCCAAATGTTTAGAGAACATTACCTAGATCCAGATAAATGGTTTAAACCATTTTGAGGGTTCGATATTTTTGAAAGGTGTAAATCATCCATTATAGTTTACGGCATTAAGATGGATCATCCATGAGTGGATAAGTCTATTATATTGTGATGATATTAGCCATGTTACTTTAAATATTGATTTGAATTTTGCAGAGAAATAAATAAATTAGGAAAAGTCAAGAATTCAGAACCAGCAATTTTAATGGGCTACCAGATAGGGGAATGATTTTGATTTGTTTTCAATATGCAGCAAGAATTCAGAAAAAGCAAGAGGACAAACTGGAAAGAAGCAGAAGCATAGGGGCATGTGTAAAGAATATCATTACATTTTATTTGTATAGTATTTAAATTACGTGCATTGCTATTTTATTTAGAAAAGAACAAAAAGAAAAAGGAAAGGAATGAATTGGAAATGGACGAACATGTGTAAAGGATTTATCCCCAAAAAATATTGTATAAAGGAAATTTGGGGAATGAAGTCAAAAGGTTGGTTTTCAAATACGTACGAAGGACCATTTATATAACTTTTGTAATTATCAGAAAGTGAATATATTAAATAACACGAACCCCCAGAAAAAAAAAAGAGATAGAAAAATAGGAAACTCAAAAAACGGAATGATGATCCTAAGGTCAAAGCGTAGCAGTTGGGCTATTTTCATTTTTTATTTTAATTTGGTCTAGAAAAACCTATGATGAAATAATGTTTGACACCTAGAAGAAACTTCTTCATTTGGGTGAATCCCAAATCCCAATAAGGTAATTCTTGTAAGCCATTAGGATTGAACAAAAACAAAATGCTAAATACTTCTCATGGTGCTTGCTGGTTCATATTTTAGTGGTTCTTTAGCTTTAAAAGAAAGATAACATTAGTATTAATTACGAACTAAGATACGAGATAGTAATTTACAGAACATAACAGAATACATAACCAAAAAACAAAGCAGAATTCAGTCTCAGTACTATCCGAAAAAAAAGACACAGATAGTAACAATTATTATCATTAGTGGACAAATATTGACAAAGTAAATAATCAAAACTTGTGAAAATAGAATTCAATCTCTAGAACCTTTTGCAAAAAATAAATAAATAAATAAATAAATAAAATCACTGTCCTAACGTATATTAATGGATCTGGTACTTTATAAGTGTAGACTAATTTCAATATACAGCTTTCATAATCTATGAAATTCTTTGTAGCATTTGCCAAACAACATTTCTCCAATGGGAGTGGTCCAGGGATTATACCAACCAAGACTCAAAAGATTCTTGTAAAGCTATTTTCTACTAATGCATGCAAAGTCAAATGGATGATAAATTTTTGTTGAATGTGTTCTATTCTGTTAGGTCAAAAACCCATGTCACCTCAAACTATATAAAAATATACAACATTCCAGCTGGTTACTAATTATAAAATCAAGTAAATATATATCTCATCTTTCTTCTTTCTATTTGGTCGTTCAAGAAGTTACTCATCATCATATCACAATTTCTTATTTGATTTAAAACCCAAAAAAAGAGTTCTTTTTGATTTTCCTTTAGCTATGCTATACATATATATAATATATACAAGACATATTTGCATATAATATAACACAAATACACACATATAAGCACGAGTTCTTCCAAAAAGAGACAAAAGGGAATAGAAGGATAAAGGAACCTTTATTTTTATAAAAACAGAGAAGTTTCGTCCTTTTTAATCTTTAAGCTTCACTCACAAAATCACAAGCCCTCTAATTGTTCTTCCTCTTCACCATCTCTCTTCTTCTGTTTCCTCTTCTTCTTTCAGAAAGAGAAAAGAAAGTTCAAAGAAATCCACATCAAAAGGATTAGGGTTTTCGTGGGCTCGTATATAAATGGTTAGGTGTGGAAGAAGCAGCGACGGAGGAATTGGTGGTGTTAGACCATACGTGCGGTCTCCGGTACCTCGCCTGAGATGGACGCCGGAGCTTCACCGGAGCTTCGTACACGCCGTTGATTTGCTCGGCGGTCAATACAGTTAGTCTATAAGCCAACTTTTAAATATTCTTGTTTTCTTTTCAAAGTATTTTAAAGTTCGGTTCTATTTAGAAATTTTCGATATTTTTGTTCGCAATATATAATTTATATATCCATATTCATTATCGTCACCTTCAAGATTTATCTGTTTTGTATTTTTGTGTTTAAATGAAACAGAAGCAACTCCAAAACTTGTTCTTAAGATAATGGATGTGAAGGGACTAACCATTTCACACGTCAAGAGCCATCTCCAGGTCAAACAAAATGATAAAACATTTCATTTTTTCTAGTTTTTATAATATATATTGTTTCCTACTGCTTATATAACATGCATACTGCTTTCTTCATCTAGACTTATACTCCAGATTATTTTGATTATTTGAAACGTTTTTCTTTGTTTTTGATCATACTGCAGATGTATAGAGGATCCAAACCCACTCTTTTTGGGAGACCTGGTAATGAATTAAGCATATGTTTTGGTCAGAGACATTAAATTACACTTTATACCGTCACAATTTAAAGATTAGGACAGTTATTTTAATATTCCCAACGATACACATCAAAATAATGTATAAATTGAAGTCTTACTATACCGTTGTCATGATTGCATGGTGAAATATTTATTAAAACAAGGAAAAAGAATTTGGCCATACAGTTCTTTTCGATTTCCCACCATTCACATCAAATCTGTAATGCATCTATCTAATAAGTCTCACTAGACCACTGTCATAAATATATAAATGCTAGTGAATATTTTTTATTAAAACAAGGAAAAAAGAAATTGGGTATAGCCTTATAGGTAAATAGGTGCTTCTTTAATTTAATGGAAAAAGAAACAAAAAGGGTGTAGAGAATATTCATCATGGTCATTAATTAATTATATATTTTTGGGGGACAGAAGAGAGTTCTTCATCATCTTCAAGAAGAAGAAGAAGACAAGACAATGAAGAAGTTCATCTTCATGACAACTTGTCTGTACACGCAAGGAATGATTGTCTTTTGGGTTTTCACTCTTTTAACTTTAGGTAATTTTATTTATGTTCTTCATTTTACTTTTTTGGAAGAAATGGAAAGGGAATATTAATTTGTTTCTGACAGGTCTTTAATTTTATTCCAGAAAATAGGTAGTATATGCTATCATACAGTTTTGTTTGAATATGAATTGTCGAATTTATACAATTTTTCGTTTTCTCTTCTTTATTTTTGGTTGGGGGAGAAGAGAGCAGAGTTCAGCGACTGATAATGATGACGATGACTTTCTTAACATCATGAACATGGAGAGAACGAAGACATTTGCAGGCAATCGCGAGTCAATCAAATTTCAGTCTCATCACTTTCTCGAGGTATTAAATCTATTCAATTCTAATACTATATGGTTTCATAAATAGCCGTTACGAAAAGTTACATCAGTAGTAACAAATATTTAAGACTCAAATAAAAACACTCACTAAACCATTGAACATTGTAACGGGTCAACACTAGGGTAGGCATGTGGCTGAGTACTGAAAACTTTCAGATATACTATAGATCTCCATTATCGATGATTTATTTAGCCTAGTACTAGTAAGCATTAATAACCCTTAATTCATTGTAAGTATGATATTTGATATTTAGACAAAAACTAACCATTGTATGGGTAAAATTTACTCAGATATTGAGTCATCGGATCAGATTAGGCTAGACAATATTTATGTTTTTTTTTATATTTCGTTGATTTATGTCGAAGAATCCGTACATTTATTACTAGTAATACCACATTTTTAATTTTATGTTTTTGTTGACATTCTCAAATGTATTGACTAATAATGCAAATCAATCAACTTCCTCAAATAATATGGACTGTTTGTTCGTTACTCTAAGAATAATAATAATAATAAAATAACATTAGGCCCATTTTCTGATGTTTTCATTGACAAATTTATTATGTTCCATCAAATATTCAACACTCGACAATCCTGCGTGAATCAATCTAAATAGATTATATGCTGAACCTAATCGTACGATTTTTGTATTTTATAACCTAGAGTCTCTAATAAATAGGCCATATTACTAGATTGATTAATTTCGAACTTATGAAAATCTATAGCTAAATATATATATATATATATATATATATATTGAAAAAACAATTAAAACTAAGAACTTGTGTCTTTTGAACTTATTAGGCTCAGACCACGGAGAACAAGTGGGAAAGCAAATGGCGGGAAAACGAACACGTAGAAGAAGAAGACGAAGAACTATCGCTGTCTCTGTCGTTGAATCATCCCCACAATTATCAACAACGTTGGAGAAGCAATGCGTCGTCGTCACTCAGTGAAACCAGCGAGGCTATCTCATCTTCTTCTGCTCCATCCATCTTCAGAGATTGCTTTGCTTCTTCCAAGATCGATCTTAACCTTAATCTCTCCTTTTCTCTACTCCGTAGCTGAAGCTTTATTCGCTTGTTTTTAATATATATTAGTGCAGTGAACATTCAAATTTGTTTCAAAAACTCACTATGAAAAATCATAATCTTTTAGCTAGGCTTTTAGATTTCTTCTATGATCATGATGTTTTTTGGAGTCTACTATGTCATGGTCAATTCGTTTTTGTTCTCTCGGAAATTTGGAATGTTGTTACCGATTGATCCAAAACAATTCGAGTAGTTTTGATCATGATTGGTTTTCACATAAACCACTCGGATTTTTCACGATATGTTAAGAGGGAGATTGGACTAAAACTTTTGTTCTTGTTTGAATGGAAAATGAGAAATGAATATGTTTGATCGTCAGATGAGACTGTACCTAATTTTTGTTTTTCCATGATTTAAAGATGTAACTAAACGCAAGATGGTGAAAAAAAACGTTTGAAACATTCGGCTGAAGCAGCTTTCTTTCCATACTAAAACGCAGCGTTTTGAATCTCCTTAAACGCGGCGTTTGGATATGGAAAGTGATGCCGTTAGACGCAGCGTTTTGAATCTCCTTAAACGCAGCGTTTGGTAGTGTGTGTATATTTATGTACGCCTTAAATTTTGTAACCGTTTTCTTCAGCGGAAAAAAATGATTATAGAAATTAAATGTTGATCGTAAGTGATGAGTGACGATGGTCGGTGGGGATGAATCTATCGCACCGTGTCGGTTCGAGATTCCACACGGCGAGGCTCGAGGCGTCGTCCTCCGCTGATGATACTTCATTCGCCGAGTACTCCGACGAAATGTCTCCGGGATCTATCCCGGTGCGCTCAGCTGCTCTCTTTCTAGCGGCCATCTCCATCTCATGCCTCGTTCTTTACAGAGCCGCTGATTCCTTGTATATTCTGCCTCACATTTTGCCGTCTTTCAGTTTCTCTGCTTATCTGGTCAGTTTACTCTTCTCGATCTTCTTCTCCCATCGTAAATTGAGCTCGAATTTGAAGATATTGGGATCGATTCATCTTTCCCTGAACTTCATGTTATCGCTGATTACCAGAAATTTGTTCGTACGGTGAACTTAATTTGCTATGAAACCTGGAAAAATCCGAGAATCATTGAAATTGTAGTGAAATTAGAAACGACCTTAGCTGTTTCTGGTGCTTGGAGCTTGCGTGTGGGTTATTCGTATGAATCTTACTTAGTTTTTGTGTTATCCTCTGCGGTTTTCTCAACTCTGATAATGATGAATCTGGAACCAATTGATCAAATAGAGCCTTTGCTTATACCACTGTGAATGCATCCAAATGCTGTTTTTTTTTTGTTATATGACAGGATAATGAAGAACCTAACCTGGAAACTGTTCTGCGTAGAGCTGCGACGAGAGAAAAGACAGTGATCTTGACAACTTTGAATGCAGCTTGGGCAGCTCCAGGATCTGTTGTGGATCTCTTCTTCGAGAGTTTTAGAATCGGGGAAGAAACAAGCAAACTCTTGGACCACCTGGTGATTGTTGCGCTGGATGCTAAGGCCTACTCACGTTGCTCACAACTCCACAAGCATTGTTTCAGCCTTGTAACCGAAGGAGTTGATTTCTCCCGAGAAGCCTATTTTATGACTCGCTCTTACCTCAATATGATGTGGAGAAGGATTGATCTCCTCCGGTCTGTTCTTGAAATGGGATACAATTTTGTCTTCACGGTATCATCATCATCATCATCATCCTTCTCTTTTCGTTATGTGATGAAAAGACTTTTTTTTTTGTGAAACTCACTCAATGTTCCTTTTTTTTTTCTTCTTCTCCAGGATGCTGATGTGATGTGGTTCAGGAACCCGTTTCCACGTTTCTACAGGTATGCAGATTTCCAGATTGCTTGCGATCATTACCTCGGAAGATCAAACGACCTGCGTAATCGACCAAACGGAGGATTTAACTTTGTTCGGTCCAACAATCGAACGATCCTCTTCTACAAATACTGGTATGCTTCAAGGCTGAGATTCCCGGGGTATCACGATCAAGATGTCCTCAACTTTCTTAAAGCAGAACCTTTTGTTTACCGCGTTGGGTTGAAGATGAGGTTCTTGAACACTGCTTATTTCGGCGGTCTATGTGAGCCTAGCAGGGATATGAACCTGGTTCTTACGATGCACGCTAATTGCTGCTACGGTATGGAGAGTAAGCTTCACGATCTCAGAATCATGCTTCAAGATTGGAGAGATTTCATGTCTTTACCACTTCATCTGAAACAATCCACTGGTTTCTCCTGGAAAGTCCCTCAGAACTGCAGGTACTCTTCACTTTTGTTTTAGATGATGTTTTGCTTTTGAACAACATTTCTAATCTATGTTTTGCTGTGTGATCATGAACTCTTTGCTTTTTCCTTTTCCTAGTCTTGATTCTCTCAGACGTTATGATGAATCCGTGGATGAAGAAGAGGCCGATCCACCAGACGAATCTCAAGACTGAGAAAGTTTTGAGTGTATTTTGTATATATTCTTGAGAACTTTTGCCAGAGAGAAGAAACTCCAATTTTTGAAGAGATGTAAAACAAAACGTGACAGCAACATTTGCTGTTTTTGGTGACAATGGAAATTAATTTATAGAAATCATAACATGCGTGTTCATAATTTGACATGACATCACAGACTCGTATATGCACGAATGTTAAGAGTACATCCCTCTAACTTGAAAACCAACTAATATAAATAGAGACTTCAATTTTACATCTTGCCTAAGAATTTTACATATAATGTTATTGTTGCCTATCATTATGTGCTTCAATACAAAAATTGTAATGGATTTTTCCAAAAAAATGATACATATGACATAACATCTGAGGGTTGAAAGGGAAGGGTGTCGACTATTGTTAAGATGTCGTTGTTATATAAAATAAAATGACATATGACATAATATCATTGCTTTTTCAAAAATTCTGCGCTATAGAAGAATAAATAGGATGTTTATGTGAGCAAAAAAAACCAAACAAAAAGATGCGAAATAATTAAAATAGCGAGTAGCGCGACACTCCATTGGGCTGGGCCTATGAAATAATTAAATCGGTTAATTGCATTCAGATAATGGTTCAAATATGGTGGGCTCTAACTAAAACTCCATTGGGCTGGGCCTATTGCATGTAATCTTTATTTCTTGGTTCAATTCAATAAAAATTCCAGTAACAAGAAAAAATGGCACCCTTTTTGTTTATCCAAAAATAACTTATAATTTTTTTTTTATCAAATAAATAAATCATTTACTTTTGAATAAAATGTGTTAGTGAACTCTAGAAATCTTTAGCTAATCATTTGACGGATCCAGCCAAGTAAATGAATAGTTACAACTTACGGCTCCGAATGGTACAAGTAGAAGTAGAAGTCTAGAACTAATATTTAAAATACAGTATCAAGTAGAACGTATACTTTATAGTAGAATCTATTCGTTTTATTTTACATTAAAATATTGTACGCTATATACTTAAGCTCCGATTTATATATATAGTATGTAAACTATATAAAGTTATTTGTATATGTTATCCTAGAGTTCTATTTTTCTCAATTTCGCTCCTTCTCTCTCTCTCTCTCTCTCTCTCTCTCTCTCTCTTTTTTCTTGCCTCATATATTTACTTAGATTAATTTATTAAACACGCAGATTGTAAATTTCGTTTCTTTCATGCATTATAAAGCAATCGAGTACTAGAATATGTCAAAAAAATCTATGATTAGTTAACAAACTTGATTAATTCTTACTACAGATTCTGATGCGGAAGTGGTAGCTTTATTACCAAAGACGATAGTTAACGGCGACGAATAGATTCAAATGTGAAGTACGCAACGAAGGGGAAAGGGAACGGAATCTACAGCTTCAAAGAAGAGGACATGACCTTCCATGGAAGCTGAGACAAAAAGAAAAGATTATCAAAGAAGTAAAGAAGAGGAAGTGTATATTTGTCCAGAGCCCACGTGCGGCGTCGTCTTCTCATTCGTATGAGATGTTAAAACCAAAGGTAACCAAACGTGTAAACTTTGCCTTGAATACACCGCCCTGTAATTTTTTAATCAGTTTTATATATGTCATAAAAGTTTGTATATAGAGAGAGGTTCTCGCATGTGTATGTTTGCATTCATTTGTGCTGATTTAATCGGAGTATTTTGGATAAAATTTGCATGTGTGTGTGAGAGTGTATAAAAGATAAGAAGGGTCAGAGAAATGGACTGGAGTAGAAATTAATATGGTTATATAAATAATAAACCTTATTTTACGTTCAATACGTTGTGACAAAAAGAAAAAAAAGATACTCCCTAGTATACAGTTCATTCAATACATCCTCGAGTTGCATTTAATGAAAGTCAAGTATCTTTGAAGTAAGTAGATAGACATTCAAAATATTCGTTGGACAATTATTCTCTCTTTTATTGTGAAACTTTTTCCGCCTACCTTGGATTAGTCCACCACTTTTTATTTTATAGGCCCCTCTTTAATTTGATGAAAATATAGTTTCAGCAACAACAAGATCATGATACTGACACGTGTTCTCCATCCTCAACAAGTATTGACATTTCAACACAGCCACATTTCCCGATCTTCGTCCACGGCAGACAGAGTCAACTCGGCGGCGAAGGTGGACTCTTAAGGGTACAACGGGAGCAGTCTTCACGATTTGATCGTCGTTAGAAAATTAGTCGCTGGGTAACTTAGTGTTACTAAAATGTAAAAGAAAAATGATTGATTATTGAAAATGTCAGTTATCTTCCTTGGATATCTAACTATTTCATTTGACAAAAAAAAAAAAAAAAGCGTAGGACTTTTTGGCCCTGTCACATTTATTGTCATATCATTGCATAGAGAGCAGTGAATGAGTTGAGAGAGTAAAAGCAGCTTTTGTAGTGTGCGTGTGTGTGTTTTTTTCTGTTTTTCAAATTTATTATATTAACCTTTTTTTTGTTATTCGCTAATTTCATTTGTCATCATGTTTACAAAGGATAGCTGGCTATGTCACGAGTGTTTGTCCTGTGATGCCTTTTCTAAAATCTATTCACATTCTTATATAATTTGCCATATTGGTATATGTATCGATATGTATCTTTATTTGTAATACTATTCCTTGCATATCTACAAGGGTTGTCTTGTCCCCATCAAAATTAAATTTAACGGCCTAGAATCAACAGTGTGTTTCAACGACATTCATCTCTCTTCGTACATGAACGTTTATAATTGTGGCTTTCCTTTCATGGAATTTTATAGCGTACATTAGGAAATTTGCTTACTAAAACCACTATAACAGCACATCATGATAATAAAAGTAAGTGACTATTGACTATTATTTCCCACCAACCATATTTATCGATTTTTATTATCATTTTCTATCAATATCTATTTCATATGGTTATATATACATTTTGAAGATTCGTCTATGTTTGGTCCAAAATCTTTAATCGTAAGAAAAAGTACGTTACTTGAGCTAAATGTCTAGGTCAACTGATTATAAAAGTTGAAGTCATACCAAATTTGAATATGACGCTATGTTTGATGAATTAGGATTTATGTCTTCCCGAAGAATAAACATAAACATGGCGAGTGGTTAGACTTTGAAAGTGTTGATTTCTCTCGAGACAGGGCTGGGTTGTAGCTAGACCAAAGCAACAATTTGTATCCCCAGTTTTAGAAAGCACACTAAAAATATTGTGTATATTATTATCTAGCTATAACAAAAACTAAATAATAAAGGGTTTAATTTTTGCAAAAAAAAAACGTGTAACCTTTTCATTTTTTTGTAAGATTTATTTTAGCAGTAACTCTCATTATAACAATGCGTATACCAATCACATGGCAATATTAAACAAATGTAAAAAATTAATAAAAATTATAAAAAAACACATCGTTTTAAATTATAAAAACAATATAATGTTAAAAAAATTATAGAAATTTTATTAGTTACAAACATATATTAAAAATATGATTTTTCACTCTTCCTCCTTTGGTAGATTTTATATGATTTTTATTTATTTTTCATCTCTATTCGTAAAATCAATTAAAACTAATTTATGATTCACTATAAAATTTAATCAAATTTTTTTTTTCATTCTTAATCTCTAAAAAGAAATTCTTTTTTCTATTGTAAATAGAAAATTTCATTGAATTAGAAAAAGAAGATACGATGCGATCTTATCTCAAACGTTTGGATGAAAATTTCATTGCATTAGAATAAGAAGATACGATGTGATCTCATTTCGAGCGCTTGGATGTAAAGAATGAAGTTATCGCCGGTAAAACTTGAATTTGATTTTTTTTCCTTGAAATTAATTATTAAATCTTGATTCTTTACAAATAGCAATCGTGTTTATGTTATACTTATGAGAATATGAAATTTTACAGGTTTGAGCAAAAGAATGTGAATCACTTAGAATATAAAAGAGAAACATAATATCAATGTTTTCAAAAAAATTTGATTCAAAAGAATGAGAAGAGAAAGAAACTGGCTTTCTCAATCGCAGAAGAGACAAAAAATGGAGAAAAGATAAGGTATTTTGTGTGTTTTTTTAATTTTATTAATTTGAATAAAAAAGAATTAATATGTTTGAACATAAAATTTGTAAAATCATTAAAAATTAAAATATTGGTGTTTTAATTCCGCTACCAATATGACATCTTAACAGAAAGATTATATTACGGTTAGTTTTGACATTGTAGAGTCGATTAGCATTTTTTTAAAATTAAAAATTATTTTTTTAAAAAAGTTAAAGTTTTTTTTGTCAAAAACTCAATAACCAAATGTAAATAAAAAAAAGTATTGCAAGAAAAAACATAATATGAAACATATCACAAAATTTAATAAAAAAATAAAAATTTATATATATTTATACATATCAAAAAATTAATAATAAAACTGTAAAAAAATAAATCTCAAAAATATGGTAAGAAAGCTGTAATTCAAGAAGAAGAAAGGTTTCTTTTTGGGGGAAGATTTGTTACTTTTTTTTATTTTCCATACCATTGAAATACTTGAAATCTGTATAATATTATACCATCTATAAAACATGGCATGTTTCTTCTAGAATTCCATATATCCACCGGTCCTCGGGTTCTGACGCCCTGTCTTTAGAGTTTGTTTGATTCAATCGCACCCAAACAATAGGCTAGCTGTTACCACTGAAATCGATATGACCAATTTATGACAATAGATTTTTATATACGAAAGACATGTGACTATCGTTATTGGTTGTTTTTTTTTTTTGAACTATGGATTTGATTGGCAAGCTCATCGCTATTTTCCAGCAATAATCTTCTTATATTTGTTTATTATGAACTTATGACCAATAAAATGAAGAATTTTACAAAACTATAGATCGATAGAAATTAGATGCTGCTTTATCAATAAATTTAATCTAATATTAAATATGGCTAACCCCTCAATGCTCCTAGACCGAAGTCGAACGTTAAGTTTTAGTTTTCTTTATTTAATAAACACGTATACATGATATGATATTGTATGCAGATTATGTATAGGGGCCAATTCGAGATTGCCCGTAAATGAAGTGGACCAACGACCAAAGGAGAAAGATAAATCCCAAAGCATTTGTATCGATTTTTTCTCGACAATATTTTATTCACGGGCATATCTGATCCTTCACGTCAACGACAAGTCTACCATCCACAGGTTTGCCCTCTTTTCTTTCTCCCTCTTAACTAAATATATAAAAATATCTTTCGAGAAATTCCATTCACCACTACACTCTCTCTCTATATATATAGCTATATTTGATGATTAAGATCCTTCTAAAACTTTGGTCAGTATACTCTCTATCCCACACTATAGTCAAGCGTACATAACGTCATAAATTCAAATAGGTTCTAAATATTTCGAGATATTCTACCAAAGCCTCCAAATTTCTTAGATTTTTCTAAGGCTTTCAACCCAAAAGCAATTCTAAAGCTGAAAACTTAACTAACTGCAGTATTTAAACCGACACCGACACGACTAAAATCAATGTCAATCGATTCATAAACTTCTTTCAGTGTATATAGATACCATAGAAGAAAAAGTTGGACCAGTTCAAACAGAATCAAAATATTTATCAGTTATTACGCTTTTTGTAGCCTATATGATTTCATAACTTTTAGAATAAGAAGCATGATACACTATTACATTTGTTTATGTCGTGCGCAAAAGTCGGATCGAAACATAGAAAATGGAGTTGGTGGAGTCAACGTCGGAAAAGTAATAATAAAGACCAAAAGACACAGGGCTGAGTTATGTCTTCAGAATGTCAACACCGTTTTGCCTTTTAACTTCAAGAATGTTTGACGGGTACGTATAATAATTAAACTCTTATTTTTTTTTTGTTAAAAGTTAAAAACCCATATTTTCTAAACACAGCAATATATCGAACACAACTTAATTAAAAATTTATATCCAACCAGTTAAACTAATGGCGTTGTGTAAGTTAATTTGATGTTTGGAAAAATCAAATTATTTGATTTTGTATTAGGTGGCCGAACATTTTTCTAGTGTATATTATAATACATATCACAACGAAACTGACAATTATAATTAACAATGCCTAGCTATTATATGTTATAAATATTGGATTACGACACGAACTTGAATAATGTTGGAATGTTGGATGCTTCTGTTTGTATTATGCTTTTGTTGGAATATTATCCGATCCGTTGACGTATTATTGTAGACAAATATATCTCTTGAAATCTGGCTCGTAACTTGCATGTGCAACGTGGGATATATAATTTAAATATGAATCTATCAAGAAATTTATTCGTTTGCTATGCGAGAATTAATAATAAGTATCTCTAGCTACATCTGAGAGTGTATGATACTATTTCTCAAATTATGTGAATGAAACATTCATATAATTTGTAACCCCATCTAAGATTAAATCCATGTTTTGATCTTTTACAGTATTTGAACCGTAAGTTCTTTCGTCAAATACTGTATATATATTAGGTTAAACTAAATTCACATGATACATGCAAATGTACATGGTAACAAATTATATCATGTTTCGTTCATGGTATATATTAAAATTTATCTTAAAAAAAAACTATAGATAGAAGAAAAATGTCTTTATATATATATAATTAAAGGAATTGACTCAACAGATTGAGAAAATCCAAATTTACTAAAGGAACTCCGGCTGGAGATTCCCACCATGACATTATTTAAAAAAAAAACCTAAAGAAAAATATAAATGCAGAATTGAAGTTCCCAACCTAAATCCTTACTAAAGAGAGATACACTTATCCACTTCAATAGTTAAAGGACGACAAACGAAAGATAGATTTTTTTTTTTTTTTTTTTTTAAGAAGAAAACGAAAGAAAGCTTAATTAAGAATAAAAATCTCCAAGGAGGTGGCCCAGCAACATGTCTATCATCTCAAGCTTTTCCAAATGGATTATTTGGATTTGGAAACTTCATCTCAACGTCCATAGTAGCTCCATTACGACCACCACGACCATTTACGTTGCTCACAATTCCTCCATTAACGCCCAGAAAGTCCAAAGTCAACCTATCAGAGCCTCCCATGCTAAGATTGTTTCCGAAATGAAGGTCGAAAAGGCTACTGGACCGGCCTTGTTGATCAGTTGTTGCAGCAAGAGAGTTCATCAGACCTTGAAGGTTTCCATTATCATTATCTCCAAAGTCATTAACGACCACACTTGAAGAAGATGAAGAAGTTAATCCTCTTAGCAAAGCGGAAGGATCGTTGTTATCAGCGCCATTGGTGAAAAGAGAAGGAGCACTTGTCTGATCAGAGTTCTTAGCGTTGTCTTGAAAGTATCCGAGGTTGAACATGTTGTTGTGGTTGATGGCGCTGTTATTGATGTTGTTGTGGTTGATGGTGCTGTTATTGATGTTGTTGTTGATGTTATCACCGAGGCTGATGAGACCGTGCTGGTTCATGAGATTCTGGTCGTTCTGCGCCAACAATCCTTGGTTCGAAGGGCATTGCATGAGGAAATGGGTAGGACCGGGATTAGGGTTTGTGGACTGAGGAACAAAGTCTTCAAACTTTTCGGAGGATGAACGGTTCAGATTGTAACCTGCAGTTAGAGGGGTAAAACCGGAGTTTGAACTGTTACCGAAATGGTTGTGAGAGAGAGCAGAAGCAGCGCCGCCGTAAAAGCCATGTCTGCTGCTGCCGCCACCAGCGGCTGCTGCCATTGCCGTGAAGCTCACGGTAGGGTTTCTTGCTGACTCCTGTATTAAGGCATCACAGAATGCCCTGTGGGTTATGTAACTGTCTCTTCTGGAATCACGAACCCAAACAATAAAAGAAAATTAGGTCAGTATATGTATATTAAAAAAAGAGAAATGAAGCATATTTTACGAAAACAAAAACACGATAAAAAGATATATAAAACCCTAGAAATGTAAAGTGTTCATCAACTACTCCTACAAACCACGCTGACCATTAATATTTGATTAATTAAACCACGAAACCAACCACACTCTTTAGACATAAAGCACATATATATATATATATAATTATATTATGGAGAGAGAAATGGGGGCGGGGCCCACAGGAAGAGGAGTTACATGGAAAGAGGAACCTGCAAAGGTGTAGAAGAAAGAAAACAAAAGTGGGAATGCATGGAAACAAATCCAACTCACATGTGACCAAATTTAGCATCTTTTATTTTTCTCCTTTCTCCTTCACTGTCTTTCTCTCTTACTCTACTCATCAGCAACCAAACAAATAGATTGATAGATCCTATGTGTATATATGCATATATGTTCATGTCCCTATGTAGGAAATATGATGTTCCGTGACCAATATAGATGATGATGATATCTATATGCATAGATTTCAGTCACAAGTCAATATATATATATATATAAATGATCCGGTACCACACTCATGCACTATAGCTTACATAATCATTGGTTAGTTTTTTACTATTCACTGACCGACATGTTTTTTACCGGAATTTCAAGCAGCAGCCTAGAGTACTAACCTTAAAAATCTAGAGCCGACATGTTAAACTCGCAGTAAAAAAAAACTTTCAGTTTCGACCAACAATATGATAACCACTAGACTATATATATCGTATATATGGATTCACCAACACATTTTTTATTGTTTATTAACATATTGAATGGAACCAAGATCGATAGATATATAGTTTACCTTGAGAAGATGGTACCACAGTCACATCGATACTCTTTGGTACCACAAGTCTTAGAGTGAGCCTTCCAATCAGATTGAACAGCGTAACGCTTAGAGCATTTCTCGCATTTCCATTTCTTCTCACCGTGCTTCCGGTAGTAATGCTTCTTGATTCCGGTGAGGTCTCCGAGGGCACGCGACGGGTCATGGTGGACGCATGAAGGCTCCGGACAAAGATACACCTTCCTCCTCACTTCTTTGTTAGATTTTTGTTTCAGCTTCCATGGAAGGTTGTGTCCTCTCCGGTGAAGCTGTAGATTCTGTTCTCTTTGGAAGCCTTTGTTGCATACTTCACATATGAACCTGTTCGTCGCCATTATCGTCTTTGGTGATAACGCTATCACTTCAGCATCTGGATCTGTTCAATTGAAAGGAAAACATATTAATCACCAGAACAAAACCATCACGCAAACGACAATTATAGATAAGCAAATTAAGTAGACTAATATCTTCTTGTAAAATTGTTGAATAGAGTATAATCTAATCAGATTGAATGATGATAATCTTAATTCTTGATCCTCAGAGAAAAAATGAATTAAATTTAGGGTTCTGATAGTGTGTTTATTATTTCCTCCTAAAAGGAAAATTCTTCACTGAGGCTTATTGATTCTTTTTTTGGAATTTGGAACATATATAAATAATAGGTACTTACTTGGGTTTCCGGGTTGGTTTCTGCGTTTCTTGGGTGGTGGTGTTGGAGCAACGGAGTTGGGTTGTTGAGTCATCGTCATCACCGTCTCTTCACGGTTGAAGTTGTTTGCTCCGGTGGCAGCGCCGGCGAGGAGGAAAGACTGAGTGGAGGATGATGAAATTGTGTTGTTGTACGATGAAGACATCTTCTCAGGGATTGCTTTTGCTTGATCTACAAAGATCCATTAATAAAATGATTTTAAAAATGAGAGAGAAGATAGAAATGAAATATGATTCAGAAGAAAACGAAAGCAAAGAATTAGAAGAACAGGAAGAAGCCATAGAGATTGACGACATGAAAAGAAAAAAAAAATTCACTAGAAGACATTTACGAGAACAAAGAGAACAAATATAAATCCAAAGAGTTAGATTTAATTTGTAATTTTTTGAAAGAAGACATAGTATAAGTTGTTTTTTATTGTACTAAATCTTGAGATGCAGAGAAAGAAACCAAGAAGAAAAAGGTCAACAAAAAGCTAAAACTCAGAGACAAAGAAAGAAACCAAGTAGATGATGATGATACTGTTAAGAGGATGAAGAAGAAGAAGCCATAAACAAATATTTAAATACACACACCTCAAAAAAAACCCTATCTCTCTCTGTCTCTCTCTCTCTCTTGCTTTGTTGCTCTTCTCTTTTAATAATTGGGATAGAGTCTTGTATGAACTCCAATATATATATATAGCTACAGTCCCTTTCTCTTTTCTTCTAATAAAGAAAAAAATCTAATTTCCCAAAGATGCAATTAATTTTTTATACGTTTCTATTCAGTAACCGACTCATAATGGTTTATTAGTTGGAAAACTTACCTCTCTTTTTATTTTATCAACAGCCTCAGCTCCAGTTAAACAACTTACCTTTTTTGCAGTCAAAAAAAAAAAAACAACTTATCTTTTTTTATTTTGTCAACAGTCTCAGGTCCACTTAAAAAAACTTACCTTAAAATAGTGAAACTATGGTTTAAAGAATCTTGTTACTGTTAATCATAGTTAACTACTGTAACTATTTTAAATGGTAAAAATATGCTCCTCTTAAATGCATTTTAGAAATTAGTTTGAATTTTGCTTTATTATATTTTTTTTGTTAAAATGTTGTTAATATAAAATTATTGATTTACAATTACTATAGAATCGTAAAACCAATGTGTTTATACAATCAAATCAACTGCAGATTTTAATATATAGTATACTTTTACATTTTGATTAGAAAATTCGGTTAATCTATTTTTTTTAACCTTTAAATAAAAAAAAAGAGGTTACGGTTTGGGTGTCATTGTAAAACGGTGAAATGTGGGCACATGCGGGTGTGGTCAGGGGGCCACCTCAGACTCTTTCTCGTGTCTCACTGATGGCTTTAAGACAAAACCTTTCTCTTTCTCGTCATTTAACTCATGATTTTTGTCTTTAAACAACCAAAGCCTTCAGCACCTTTCTTCTATATACAATCTTTTCTTTTACCTCCAATATCAGTTTACGTACTAGCCATGAGAGGATACAAGAAAATATTACTAAATTTGTTCAATCATAAAGTCTTATGTCATAAACGTTATAATGTATATATAATTCCATATATTTGTTAAAAATGTGATAGGATTCATTAAAAATACAATAAAACACTATTACATTTGAGTAATTACAATTTATATTTGCTAGAACGATTTTTACTTATAGATTTGATTCAGGTGTTGAGACTTTAAAATAATTTCAGAATTTACTGTTGTTATTACTAGTAAAACCTAGTGTTGAATAACGGTAATTTTTCTTATGGTTAAACATTTTTTTTACATGTTAAAAAATTGTGAATATAGAAAAAAAACAAAATATTTGGTAAACACAAAATATTTTCTGGCGTTACCATTTAGAAATGATGTTTAATAGGGAAAAAAACAAAACACTATATTTTCTAGAATAAAATATAATATTAGCATATTTTTTTGGTCAACATATAATTATTGAAATTTATTAAAAGGAACCAAAGCCAATTGCATTTAAAGCAAATATACTCAGTTGAACACATGTCCTCCAGTTCGCGATGGTATTAAAGAGTACTCATTAAGTAATTAACTAAAGTAACATTTATTACTCTTTTCATTAATAAGTGAAAATCTATTAATATCCTATTAAGCGAAATTGGTTATTTTTATATAAACATGAAAGTATATATTGTTAAATTTTAAAGTAACTATAGTTAACATGTAAATATAGATATTATTAAACTCTTAATCATACACGTGTGCTCAACTGTATGACACATATTATAGTATGTATTAACTATAAGCCAGAGTTTGTTACTCTCTAAAAACGGTAAAAACCAATTAATATAAAAACAAATACAATACATATTTTAGAATGAATTCACTGTATTTTCTTTGCTTTTGTTTTTGCCAGCTAATTCATGGTGTAATTCATTTTAGATATGCATAGTAATTTTTCCAAATTTGTTTTTTCTTTTTCATTTTCCTCATAATTTTTAAAGGCAGTGTTTGTTACTCTCTACTAAAAAGGTAAAAAAAAAAACAGTTAATATAAAAACAAAAACAATAAATATTTTAGAATGAATATCTCGTGTTTGTCTATCCTTTTGTTTTTGCCAGCGAATTCATGGTGTAATTCATTTTAGATATGCATAGTAATTTTTCCAAATTTGTTTTTTTTTTTTTTCATTTTCCTCATAATTTTTAAAGGCAGTGTTTGTTACTCTCTACTAAAAAGGTTAAAAAAACAGTTAATATAACAACAAAGAGAATAAATATTTTAGAATGAATATATTGTGTTTCTCTTTCCTTTTGTTTTTGCCAGCTAATTCATGGTGTAATTCATTTTAGATATGCATAGTAATTTTTCCAAATTTGTTTTTTTTTTCATTTTTCTCATAATTTTAAAGTCAGTGTTTGTTACTCTTTACTAGGTAAAAATAAAAATTAATATAAAAACAAATACAATTAATATTTAGAAAGAATTCATTGTATTTTTTGTTTCTTTTTTTTCTTTTGCCAGCTAACTCATTGTCTAATTCATTTTGGATATGCATTGTATTTCTGAATTTTCCAAAAATGTTTTTTTTTTCCATTTTCCTCAGAATTTTTAAAGATGCCACTTGTAGTGGCAAAGACATTTGGATTTGGGTCTCCGTAGAGCAGCAAAACGTTTTATCCAAACACGCGCCTCACTTCCACTGCGTGAAGCGTGTAATTTACGCGCTACAATTAGTTTGACAACTCAGCTTCTTGTAGTTTGTGGTCTAAAATACGCAGTCACAGTTTGTTTACTCTTAAAATTATTACTAACCCAATTCAATTAAAATATATTAAGATTATTGAATCTAATCATAAGCATCATAGTGTGATCGTTTAGTCTAACTATCATTCATTCAACTAAACTGTAGAGATTTAAATGCTTATTGAATCTGACAGGCATCAGAGTGACCACTGTTAGTCTAAAAATCATTAACCCAATAGAGATTTAAAGTTTTAATTTTTTTGGTCAACAGAATAAGATTATTACATCTGATTAAAGCATCACGGTGACCATTTTAGTCTAAAAATCATTAATCCAATTGAATTAATAGAGATTTAAAGGCTTTTTGAGTTGAATATTGTCGAATTTTCCCACTTTTATATGGAACAAACAAAAATTAAAACCTGTGAAAATCCAATAATAGATGATTTTCCATTCATTGCAAATTAAAACATCATAGATTTTTTTCTTTCTTCAAAAAGTCGAATTTTAAAAGAACTAATCTGATAAACCTTAAGACACAGCATCATAGATATAGTTTTATAAGATACGACTTTTCATTCCCATGTAGCAGAGATCATGGAATTGGCAACACCAGATTGCTCCAAGGTTAAGTTAGATTCATACTCCAACGTCTTTGATTCACCTGGAATCGCCTGTGTTAGCTTCAATGGCTTATTCCTCTCTGATTCCTCAAGCTGAGAATAGCAGAAAGACCAGAGAAGCTACAACGGAGACAGCAACAAAATCTTAGAAAATCTCAAACAAAATTAAAAGAAGACAAGAATCAATGCTGTTTCTGAGGGGTTTGCAGACCTGAACTGAGTCGGTTTTGAGGAAATTCCTCTGGACTCTTTGTCCGTTGGGTAGACGGATCCCGACTCTGCATTGAACGCTGCGATCGCCTCCCTTTGGTTCTTCCGGCAGAGGAGGGAATGTTGGCAGAACAGCGGTTGTAACTGCTTCAGCCGCTACTTCTTCAGGCGTTATTGGAGATTTATCATCTGACGCATCTTTCATGTCGTTGTCTTCCAAGGAAGCAGCCAATGCTCGTTGCAATTCTTCTTCTTCTTCATCTTTAGAAACTTCCTCTAAAGTAACAAGTCAAGATCAAAAAGATCGATCGGATGATATACATACACTGAAGTGGCAGAGAAGCTTTGAAACTAACCTTTGGATTTGGAATGAGGAGTTAATGAGAAGCTGCCTCTTGGTCGTTTCTTTGAGAGAGAAGCAAAGTGTTCGCGAGGACCACCGTCCATGAACGGCACTAAATCCTCTAGCAGATTCTCGGGTTGGACCATTCCACACCACATTCTCATCCTTTGACCAGTGGTTGGATCAATTACGAGCACCACGGGAATCGATTCGAGCTTGTAGTATGTGCAGACCTTTCTTCCTTCTGTGGTATCATCATAGACCTAGTACCGGAAAAGGAGGAATTTTTAACTAATTTTGTGAAAGGGAGTTTCGACTTAAGCACGTGGAAGCTTAAAAAGAGGGAAGAGTTCTATACTAAACCTGCCAGAAGATGAAGTTGGCTTTAATTGTCTGAGAAACAGCTTCATTTGCCCATGTATCTCGATTTAGCTTTTGAGAAAGAAACACACAAAAAGTTGGATGCGAGTGAGTGAGTGCAGTTAACTGATACTAACTGAACCAAAAATGTACCGTAAAACCAAAGCAAAGAGAAATTAGAACGATTCAGTTTCATACATTAGAGTTGAAAAAGAAATCCACAAAAATGAAATTTTAGAGAGTAACCATATGAGAGCTGAACTCGGTGGTAGATTGGAGGTTGACAAGAAGCCATTTATCTTGAGAAGAAGAAATGGTTTTCGCCTGAACAGCAAAACCATACAGAGAGGAGGTTTAGAGTAGTAAGAAAGCAAACAATGAATTAGCAGAAAGGAAGAAACTTGGTAGAGAACCTGTTCGAATGAGCCATGCAACATGAGATGGAAAGGAGGACGGTACAACGATGCCAAGCTATCCCGAGGAGCTGATGCTGTCTCTGATGCAGAAGCTGAGGCAGCTGCAGAGGAAGCACCTTCTTCTGGTTCCCAAACTCCAGGGCTTTTTGGCTCTTCACTGAAGTTACGGAAAGCAATCAAAGAAGTTGCTTCAGGCTGAGAGTGTCCCGGTCTCATAGCCCTAATCACAAATCCAAGTTAACAATGAGAGCTACACCCCCGCATCATCATGATAAAACAATAAAACCGATGTCGACATTAAAATGAGGTATAGTTAAAACATGACAGATGAAGACACAATTAGTTTTCTCTGCAAGTGCGATTCTATAAGCAATAGAAGTAGCAGGAAGACAACTCCTTTGACCAGTAAAGGCAGCTCTGAGGATAAATCTCCAACCTATGGGATATAAGGAAAAAACAAAGAAGAGAGTGATAAAAAAAGAGACTAACCCATAATACATTGAGTCACCATAAAGAGTCTCCCTCACAACAGGTAAAGGAGGACGGACTTCATCTACATCACTCTGCAGTATCCTTTCGTTTCCTGTGTTAGCCGCACTGCGGAATATAACATCAAACCAAAGCAGGTTGAACAAAACCAAAACGAGTAATACTTAAACAAGAACGGAATTATAAACATTAAACATACCCCCAAGATTGTGCAGCCATGTGATCGCCGGACGCTGGCTGAGTGTGTGTACCAGACGGAAGCATTCCACCTTCGCCTCCAACGTAAAAAAGCTGAATCGCTTCGTCAAGTTTCCAGCTTGTCGCCTGTTGATAGAAAAAAAATTCTACAATGTTAGTAGCTCTACACAAGTGAAGAGCGCATAGCAAACAATGATCATACAAAGAATTTTTAAAAAATGCCAAAGTCAATCTCATCACATAAACCCTCAATCACAATGCAGCAATCAACTCAAGCTACTCTCCATCACAGAGATCTTGTAGCACGCAAAGCCAGATCAACCGAAAATCACCAACAAAAACAAATCTCTGAGACCAATCTAGGGCTTCCAACTCGAATACCCAAGTTTTCAGAGTGTACATCAAATTGCTCCATGAGCTGAAAAGAAGGAGGACCCAATCTAGGGTTTCAAACTCAAACATCACAAATTGTCTTCATATATTAACTAAGCCCTAAGCTGAAATAGCTGGGAATCAAACATTTTAGACCCGAAACCAGTGAAATAGAAACTCAATCAAGGTTAAGCTCACTCACAACAATCACGACAGATGACTATAGCACCCAGGACCAAACAAATCTACCAGTTTCGAGCAAACGAATTAGCCGCGAACCTCTAAGAATTGCCGTGCAGTTTCAGCTGTCTGGCCGACAGCGATCTCAAGGAAAGAAGTGACCAGTTTCTGTTGGTCACTGGAAGAGAGCATTCCCTCCATTGCTGAAGTCGACAAACCCTGGGAAAAAAAAAACCCAAATTTCTGAGAAACACCCAAAAAAAGATGACCTTTTTCCGAATAATCTGGGGAAAAGAAGGGAAACCCAGAATTTATACCAAGGAATCGCACTTGCCCAGAAGATGAGAGGAGAAGATCGGATTAAATAAGAAACGGTAGAGTCGAATCCTGCGGGAGGAACCACATACGATGAAATTTGATCTTACTGCCAAATATTTTTTACACGCACATATATATCTCTCTCTCTCGGATTTGTCGCACGAGAAGACGATTGTAACCCTATGATCTTAGTCAAGAAGTGTGGTTGTTTATGACATTTCCAAAGCGCATACGCATGTGAAATTGGCCCATCATTAAATGTAACTATCGAGTTCATTTTAAGATATTGTCCCAGACTATGAATCTTTGTATCATTAGCTTCTAATCATATGAATTTTTGTATCATTACCATGTTATAGTATTTGTATAAACTTTTCTCAAAACCATATGAAGCAAGTGAATACTTTTAACTGGCGGCACAACACATGAATCAACCTTCTTTTTTTAGTGTGTTTGATAACAAAATGTATGAACTTTTTGCTTAATTTCTCCAAAGAATATTATCACTATCAAGGAAAAAAAATAGGAGGCAAATTTGCCAGAGAAAGTAAGAAAACAAAAAAACTATCTAACAGTTTTGTTTCCTTCTGTGTCTGCTCTAAGAGGATCAATGAACGAAACCCTTATGCTGGTTTTGATCTCTCTCGTGGTGGAATTCGCAACCATGACTTCATTGACTCATACACCGTGAATCCAATCGCAACAGATGGAACAATCTAACAAAAGAAAGACAAATCAATGAGTCATGAATTTGGATCCATTGATCTTAAAACACATGAAAGTTGGAAACTTAATATCGGAATTACCTTAATGTAGTTGATGCTTAAACCAGCAAACAACTGTCTCCAACCCTGTGTTCGAACAATCGTGTTAAGCCCATCAAATGTGTTCTTGTAACGTTTGTTGTTGCCATCACTAGTCATAGGCTGCAGATTCTCGACCTGTTGTCACATGAAAACCAAAACTGTTTCTGAGTTTTAAAAATGTTGCAAGCTTGAATCTTGTTTCTGGACTGTTTTTTTTTTTTTGTTACCTGCATTTGTCTTCTTACGACATCCAATGGGTAAGTTAAGGTCTGGCCAAATAAACCAGCTAAAGCTCCACAAGTTAGATGCATCCGAACAGAGTTTTGGTGCTCTTCAGGAACATGTCTTTTCAATTCCTCGTATATGTAGAACTTAAGGCCGGCGTAAGGAAGGATGCCGATCAGAGTTGGCCCTGTGAAACACACAGGAAATCACCAATCTTTATAATCATCTCCAAATCCAAATTAAGAAAAGTATTACACACACATAAAGATAGCTTAAGAGTCATTTTGTTACTAAACTAAATCAACAAAGATAAAGAACTAAGAAATTCCTTTTCGTGTTGGTATTACTTTGATCCGAACAATTAATAACAATGATGAGCTTTAAACATTAATGCAAGCAAATTTGGTGAGATTTACCTATGCCTCGATATAGCCCACGTGGTCCCCCTTCTTTATAAGCCATTGTAAGCACCTCTTTTATGCCTGAATATGTAGGTTGACGGTAAAATCCATTGGCACCACCTCGGAGACTCGGTCCTGTGTCAGAAACCTTAAATGCAATAATAACACATCATATCAGAGGAGAAACGAAAAGATAATTCTTAATTTTTGGATAAGCAACAACAAAAGTCTATGAAAGCAACGATATTCAAAATCACAGACCTGGTAAGCTAACTTAGTACGAGCTAAATCGAGGGGATATGTGCACAGAACTGCTGTTCCGCCTGCAGCTGCACCAGCCACAAGATCAACAATGGGACCAGAACCAAAGGGAAGATTATTTTCCAAAATCCAGTCACGATACACTTCATAGGTCATGTAATGAAGGGCGGCATATGGGATAATCCGAATCACACTCGCCCCGTTTCCTCTGCAAAGAGTTATGCACAGCACAAGGAATTAGTAAAGTGATTAAGCTGAGCTGCAGATAGTAAGAGACAATACCAACCACTAGGTTGCTTACTTATAGAATCCGAGAGGACCGTCGCATTGTAACACCTTCTTCAGTGACTGGGACACACCAAGGGCCCTAAAGTCGTTTGTTCTAGTCTGGTTTTCGAAAGAAGATACAATCATTAAATGATTCGAATGATATGACAAAAGTACTAAGAAAACATCAAAAACACACAAGAAAACCCCAAATCTGAATACAATTTTAAGAATCAATCAGAACCATGGAAACGTAATAAATTCAACAAAAGCGAGAGTTCACCTGCAGAAGAATTTTGATCCTCTCCAAGGGAGCAACAGCAGTCTTGGCAAATGCACCAGCAGCTCCTCCAGCGATAAGCGTTTTGACATGAACAGGCAATGTATCAACAAGGTTCATCATTTCAGCCGAGAGCGTGGAGCCTTGTGAGGAACCCATCTCAATTCTTCGACCCAAGTTTTTGGTGGAAAACAAAAGAAAACGCTAAGAAACTTGACTCAGATTTTGGGGTATTCTCTCCCTTAAGCTGAAAAACGTCTTATCCCATCTAAATCTAGGGTTTACGGTCGATGCGGAATCCTTCTCGACACCAAAGCTTGTGAACCTGAGCAATTCCAGAAAAGAGCACGGAAAGCTCGGAAGCAGATTCTCCTCCGCTCTCACAGATACAGCAATATTCATTAACAGCCTCAACGAGACACTTTGACTGCGATGATCAATCCCACCCGAAGATCAAATCATTCCGCAAAAAAAAAGAGGAAAAAACTAGTCTTTAATTTGACAGATCCAGATACTATTCCACCGCACTCAGAAGACGAACCCACGAACAGAATCAATCGATAGATACAATACCCCTTTTGATATCTATTCAGATCCAAATGAATCAATCATTGGCCGAGGAGAGACAAAAAGAAAACCCTACCGCCAATTCCCGACGAGAAAAAAAAACTAAAATTTTCTGAGCGTCGCGAGATATAACACGAAGTTATCGGAGAAGATTCAGGGAATTTATTGGCCGATGAAGAACGACTGAAGGCTCGCCGTAAATTTCTGAGAGGAGAAATAACGAAGACTAAAGGTATTCGATTCAAAACTTCGTCTCTGCTCTGTTTACTCATTGGTCGCGCAATTTCAGAGGCTCGAAGAAACAGAGATACTTGCTCGAGGTAGACATTCCATGCGATTCGGTGCACCCAAAACGTGGTGGACCTAACGATTGTCCCACCAACGTGTCACTCAGATATAAAACCATACAGATAGATTTCATTTGGTTAGTCCCAAATGCGCCAAACCAGAATTAACCGATAGGATGAAAATCAACCCAAATAAATTCATACAGTAATTCACAAGTTGGTTGTATAAATAAGTTACACACAAATACAACAGAAGAATTTAAGGAATAATCTATAATAATTTTTCTTTAAATAATGCATTGCATGCATGAAACCCAAACTATACCAAGCAATATTGTGTTAATTATATAACAAAACTGCATATCTTTGTGATTTCACCCGTAGAGCCGGTTAGAGGTTCAATATCACCCATCCTGATCATCGCTGTGTCAAAATCTGCTGCGAATTTTGATGGCTTCTTGCTGTATTCCAACACAATGCTGTAAGTTGATGCACCAGATCCGAACAAAACTTGATCGGTCACTATTAATATATTTTTAAGATCTATCATATTTTCGCCAACGAATATTTTGGATTATAAGATAATTGTTAGGTTCTGACTTTGTAATTTGGTCAAATGTCAACTTGTTATTAACTTTTATAAAAGAACATAACTAGGTAAACTGAGAAGAAGAAAAAAAAGAACATCTTAATAGTAAGCGATTAGTTTAATGTCGAAGTTCTGATAACGATTAGTTTGAAAGGAATAGTTGACTACCAAAAAAATTAAAAGTCAAAATTTGAAGCACTACATTAAATAATGATCAGAAGTTAATTAAAGAAACAAATTTAAGTTCATAGCCATACCAACATATTTCTTCTCAAAATCGATGAACGAACTATTTAATAAAACATGTTTCGAATTTGCTTTGTTTGACCAAATTTAGTGACGTAATATATATTTTAGCGAATATAAGTAGAATTGCGCTACTTATTGCGTAAAAGGTATAAACTATTGGGTGATTTAATTAGACTTGCAGTGCCCAAGCTGAAAATTCTTAGTGCTGTTAACGAAAACTATATAGACACGGTCAATGGCGATAGAAACTATCTTGTACCTATATGCACTGTCGCTATTATTTTGATTTTTTTTCAGAATCTCATACGCGAGTCTCTGTCAGGTTTCTGTGGGCTAGAAACTATTACACCCCATAACATGATCAAATCGAAACAACATTTTGATCATTCATCACTACTGTATATATATACTCTTTGATAAAATTTGTTAGGAATTATGGTGTCTCGCTATAATTTTGTGAAATTTTCTGTGTATAGATTTTAGAATATTTATATAATTAATAATTTTTCTATATAGTTAACTCATAGAAATTCATTTCAAATTTTTTGAATAAAAATATATATATAGACCGGATAAAAACAAAATACCGTATCAGAATGGAAACATTAATTAGATAAATAATTTCTCACCAATATTATGCCACAGCAACCACAACTGTAGATGCATGTATAAGTAGTATTTTGTTTCGTTCAACATGTATCCGTAGTATACATATGCATGAAAGTATGTGTTTCGTACGTCTCATGAATTTTTATTTTGATGAAGAGATCAATTCAACTATGTTCGCCTCATGTAATACAAATTCAAAACCAATGACGTCTATTTAGGTATATTGCACGTCAAAATTGGAAGATCGATTTGTATATAATTACAGTTTATATACATATAAAATGAAGAAAGGTCACTACAGCGCATTAAAAAAAAAAAATCAACAGTGTAAGGTTAATTCGCATTTTTTGTTTCCCTCTTGGGAGGTTTAAATAGTTAGCGAGAATTATCTGTATGGCTATATAGTATACTGTATATCCACACTTTCAAACTTAATCAGCAGAGAATAGCTTCATGAGAAATCATACACAACTTTTATTAAACAAAACTTAACTAATTGTGCGCAGGACATATAGAGTGTGTATATCATTTATTATACAAAGTAAGTTTTTCCTGATATAATTTTACAATTTTGTTTATTTTATTGTGTTACTAATACCTAAAGAGGAAAGCAAAGCAGAACAAGTTAAGAAGCAACCTCGGCACCACTTGTGGTTACGGTATATGGACAATTCACATTATCCAAATTAAAGATCCTCTCGCTACTTTTCCAAAGTCAAAAGTCAAATTTCAAAATTTCGCGTAAGCCTAACTGTTTTACAATTTAGTAAGTTGGTTTGGTCAGCGCAGGCCAGCTTTCCAAAAATCTAAACCTAATTCGGTTTTTTTTGCTCGGTTTTTTTTTTTTAATAGAAATGTTAAGTAATGCATGCAAGAGTATAAAAAAACGAGAAAGCGAAATAGCAAAATACCCCGAATAAACAACTTTTCCTTGAAAATGAAAATCTTAAAAAAAAATATATATATATATATATAATTTGAATAATAGGTGGATACCATAAAAGACACAATTTATTTTTTTCTGTTCATCACAATTCTAAATTAGTATTGTTTTTTTTGTAACTCTCTAAATTAATATTGTTGAATCCTCCAATATAATAATTTAAGCATATTTCTTAGTTGTTTCACTATCAAACACAATGATAAAAATAAAGAAGAAAATGAAGTTATTGGAAGAGGTCATATGGGTGGTCTCCACGCGGCTCCCGCAGCTAAAAGGGACCGAAATTGACTATTCCGCTCGAATATATATAAGAGACCTTCGTTTCATTTCTAAAACTCACATCAAAATATTTTCCTTTCATCAATCACTTCACAGTTAGTTTTTGACAAAATTTGATTTATTTACTTAGAAAATTAACAAACAAGTCACAGTACTTGTTACTCTTGTTACAATTAACATTGCTATGGCGATCTTCAAGATTCTCGTGTTGTTGCTAAGCTTGTCTTGTTTTTGTCAAGCACAACTTTCTCCTACTTTCTACGACCAAAGATGTCCAAACGCTCTTTCAACCATCCGATCGTCAATTCGAACAGCGATCAGCCGTGAACGTAGAATGGCTGCTTCTCTCATCCGTCTCCATTTCCACGACTGCTTCGTCAATGTATGTCATTAACACTCGATCTAACATGTGTATGTGTATGTGTATGTGTTCATGGACCGCTCTAATGAAAATTTGTGTTTGGTTTTTAAATATTTATGTAGGGTTGTGATGCATCGGTCATGCTCGTGGCTACTCCTACCATGGAGAGTGAGAGAGATGCAGTGGCAAACTTTCAATCAGCGAGAGGATTTGAAGTTATCGATCAAGCCAAAGCTGCTGTTGAGAGTGTCTGTCCTGGTGTTGTTTCTTGCGCTGATATCATTGCCGTTGCCGCGAGAGACGCTTCTGAATACGTAAGTGTTTATCAATATCTATATATATATATAGAATATAGACATATATTTATATTATTTCAAGCATTTTTACATGGTAAAATGTTATGATGTTATGTTTTCTAACATATAATATTATGTAAATTCTGACTGATTTGTTCATTACGTTTTGTTCGAATTTTTCATAAACAATTTTACAAGATTCCATTTAAACTCTAATGATTTTGGTTGAATTTGAGAAAAATATGTAAATTATGGTGACGGATAGGTCGGAGGTCCAATATATGCAGTGAAGGTTGGTCGGAGAGATTCCACCGCCGGGTTTAGAGCTATCGCAGACAGCGGCGATCTCCCCAACTTCAGGGCAAGCCTCGACGAACTCGCTGATCTCTTCCTTCGAAAAGGCCTCAACACTAGAGACCTCGTCGCTCTCTCAGGTCAGTCCCCAAAGAATATTTTTAGACGCTACTTTGTTTATCATTTTCTATCTCTCTAAGACATTTCTTGTGACACACACAAACTCTATTTACAGGAGCTCACACTTTAGGGCAAGCTCAATGCGTCACGTTCAGGCAAAGGCTTTACGACAACTCAAGTGACATTGACGCCGGATTCTCCAGCACACGTAAGCGCCGCTGTCCGGTCAACGGTGGAGATACGACTCTAGCACCTCTAGATCAAGTGACACCAAATTCGTTCGACAATAACTATTACAGAAACTTGATGCAGAAGAAAGGACTTTTGGAGACCGATCAGGTTTTGTTCGGAAGCGGGGCTTCTACTGACAGTATTGTATCGGAATACAGCAGAAACCCTTCTCGATTCGCGTCTGATTTTGAAGCTGCAATGATCAAGATGGGAGATATTCAGACACTCACTGGCTCAGCTGGACAAATCCGGAGGATCTGCACTGCTGTTAATTAAAAAGATATTACTAGCTGCTCTTGTCCGAGACTTAGAATTGATGTTACTCTATTCTTTTTACATTTATCCATTTGGTTCATTGTTGTAATAATTGTATGTAACTAATTACCTGCAATAATTCGTTTGTATTTTGAATAATATTTTTAATGATAATTATTTTTTCCCCTATATCTGGTAATAACTTGATTAGAGATTACACGCATAATGCGTATAACGCAGGTTTTTTCTTAATAAAACTAAAGCTTTGTCATAACATTCTGATGACTTGTAATCTATTAGAGAATATATTGTGATAAGGATGAGTATGATACGATAAGGTTTTACTAGGTTTAGATAACTTCAATTTCAAGTTAAGATAGGATTGACGTTGGTGTATAAATACTTGTATGATTCATCGTTAACAACACACATCAATATTAAAAGTACTTTCTCAGAGCGACTTTCCTGAAACCTAAAATTCATCTTTCTTCCTTTGTCTCGTTTTTTTTCTCTCTCCAAAGTTCTAGTTGAACAATGTCTATCATTGATGAGTCTACATCACAAAGAGGAACAGGTTCATCCACGGATAAGGAAACTACGATAACTCTTTATTCTTTGTATGCATCTGACAATCCTGGTGCATTAATAACGTCGGTGACGTTAACTGGTGAAAATTACAACGAATGGTCTACGGAGATGTTGAACGCACTTCGAGCCAAACGAAAGATAGGGTTTATCGACGGTACGTTCCCTAAATCTGCGTTTGATGATCCGAATCTTGAGCTCTGGCTATCGGTCAATTCCATGATCGTAGGGTGGATTCGTTCCTCCATAGAGTCTCGAGTTCGATCAACTGTAACATTCATATCTGATTCCCATAAGTTATGGGAAAACCTAAAAAAACGTTTCTCGGTGGGAAACAAAGTTCGCGTTCATCATCTCAAAGCTCAAATCGCATCTTGTCGACAAGAAGGTCAAAGCGTTCTACAATACTTTGGGCGTTTATCAACTATGTGGGATGAGCTCGAGATGTACAAACCAATTCATGATTGTTCTTGTGGGAATTTGCCTAAAATCAAAGCAGAACGAGAGGAGGAAAAGACGCACCAATTCCTTATGGGTTTAGATGATGCTCGCTTTGGAAGTCTCTGCGCAAGCATCATTGGTTCTGACTCTTACGATCTGGGTGAAATATACGCTAAAGTTATTCGCGAAGAACAGAGGATTAATTCAACAAGAGATCGCGAGCAACAACAGTCCGCCGTGGGGTTTGCTACACGATCAACAGAGCAGCCTTCTTCAACTTCAGCCCGATCTAAAAGTGTTCAGTGCTCCCATTGTGGCCGTAATGGCCATGAGAAAGAAAACTGCTGGCAGTTAGTGGGGTTTCCCGATTGGTGGGAAGATCGTATTCAAAACAGTGGAGGTACAAACAGAGGAGGCAAAGGCTCAAACAGAGGAGGTCGTGGGAACACCAGTGGTCGTGGATGTAGTAATGGCGGTGGCTCTGCTACAGATAACAACGATGGCAGTCGGAACAACAAGAGTTCTACAAATCGTGTGCATAATGCACATGCGACGACTTCAAACTCGTCAACTTTTCCCGAGTTCACACAGGAGCAATGGAAAGCTTTGTCTCAGTTGATACAAGAGAAGACAACCGTCACCTCTGATAAGATTTCTGGTAAGAGTAAACATGGTGATCTTATCTTGGATACAGGAGCTTCCCATCATATGACGGGAGATATATCACTTCTGTCTCACACGATAAGCATCCCACCATGTCCAGTCGGTTTTGCAGATGGGAATAAAACATTGGCAACGCATTTAGGAGTTTTAACGTTATCTGATCGTATAACTCTAAATGACGTTCTCTTTGTTCCAAACCTCAACTGCTCCTTAATCTCAGTTTCCAAGTTACTTCGACAAACAAGTTGTTATGCTCTATTAACGGATACTTTGTGTGTTTTACAGGACCGTTTCACGAGGACTTTGATTGGAGCCGGTGAAGAGCGTGATGGGGTTTATTATTTCAAGGACGTCATGGCAACAAGGGTCCATCAAGCGTCTGTCTCAGTTGATTAGAGTTTGTGGCACAAAAGGCTAGGACATCCCTCATTTTCGGTGTTTTCGCATTTACCAGTTTCTTCAACATTATCGAATAAAATTGCTGTCCCCAGTCATTGTGACACATGTTTTAGGGCAAAGCAGACAAGAGAAGTTTTTTATGACAGTTTGAATAAATCAAATGAGTGTTTTTCGATTATTCATTGTGATGTTTGGGGTCCATATCGTATTTCGGCTTCCTGTGGAGCTGTATACTTTCTTACAATAGTCGATGATTTTTCAAGAGCTGTATGGACATACTTGTTACTTGCAAAATCAGAAGTTAGTCGTGTGCTTCAAAACTTCTTCTTTTTGACTGAGAAGCAGTTTGGAAAATCAGTTAAAACAGTAAGAAGTGACAACGGCACAGAGTTTATGTGCATGTCAAAGTTCTTTCGTGACCATGGAATAATACACCAAACATCGTGCGTGGCGACTCCGCAACAAAACGGACGAGTCGAACGTAAGCATAGACACCTCTTGAATGTTTCACGTGCCTTGCTTTTCCAAGCCAGCTTACCAATTAAGTTTTGGGGAGAAGCAGTTCTTACTGCAGCTCATCTTATAAATAGAACACCAACGGCAATTCTTCAATGGAGGTCTCCTTATGAAGTATTGTTCGCAAAGAAACCAGCTTACACTGACTTAAGGGTATTTGGTACTCTCTGTCACGCTCATATGCAATCTCGGGATAAGGATAAATTTGCCTCTAGAAGTCGAAGATGCATCTTTGTTGGTTACCCCTTTAGCAAGAAAGGGTGGAAGTTATTCGATTTAGACAAGGAAGAGTTTATTATTTCCCGTGACGTGGTGTTCCACGAACATGAATTTCCATATGCTTCTTTGTCTATGTCTGCAAATCCACAAACTAAGAAATTTACAACGCACTCAGATCATTATGCAGATGACGATTGGCTTATTGAGCCTGTATCAAATGTAGACGAAAGGGGGAGCACGAGCGACACTTCTCCATCGTTCTCTCCCGCTCTGATTCAAGACATTCCTGATACGTCAGATCCTCAATCACCACAAACAGCGCTTCCGGATACTACTGATACGTCTGATTCTCACCCATCACTAGAAGTAACACCATCGCCACAGTTTGACACTCCGATACAAGCTTCACCACAAACAGATACAGGTGTCACTATCCCGATTGATGAGTTAGGCAAAGGCTTACGAATCAAAATTCTTCCAGAAAAACTCAAGGACTACGTTCTCTACAACGCCATCTACCCAAATAAACCCCATCTTACATCACGCTCTTCATCTTCAGAGTCTTCCGAAACAGTCCAAGGTAACACACCATATCTTTTAGTTGACTACGTCTCTGATATGATTTTTTCGGAATCGCATAGAGTTTTTTTGGCAGCTGTCACAGCTCAAACAGAACCATATTCTTATGCTGAAGCCGTAAAGTATGAAGAATGGAGAGGTGCTGTAAAAGATGAGGTCACGGCATTGGAAGATCAACACACTTGGGATATTGATACATTGCCACCAGGAAAAGTAGCCCTCAGATGCAAATGGGTATTTCGTTTAAAGTTTAACGCCGATGGTACATTAGAAAGACATAAAGCAAGGTTGGTGGTGTTGGGTAATAGACAGATAGAAGGGGAGGATTTTGACGAAACTTTCGCTCCAGTTGCTAAAATGGCAACGGTTCGGAGTTTGTTAAAATTAGTTGCTTCTAAAAATTGGGAAGTACATCAAATGGATGTCCATAATGCCTTCTTGCACAGCGACCTTGAAGAAGAAGTATACATGAAATTGCCGCCAGGATTCACCCACTCAGATCCTACAAAAGTTTGTCGTCTCCGCAAATCTTTATACGGGCTTCGCCAAGCCCCTCGATGCTGGTTCCAAAAGTTAACGGCAGCACTAATAAAATTTGGTTTTGTTGAATCCTACTCCGATTATTCATTGTTCATTTACACATCCGGTGAAGTTGAGTTACGAGTTTTAGTCTACGTGGACGACCTCGTCATATGTGGAAATAATGGGGCTGTGTTGGAAAATTTCAAGAAATACTTGTCTGAATGTTTTAAGATGAAAAATCTTGGGAAGCTAAAATATTTTTTGGGCATCGAAGTAGCACGCTCTCCGGAAGAGATTTTTCTTTCTCAACAGAAATATGCACTCGATGTTGTTGCAGAGGCTGGTCTCCTAGGTTGTAAACCTGTGTTTACTCCCATTGAACAAAATCATAAGCTTGCTTCCGACGATGGTCCCATCTTTCCGGAGCCGAGCAAATACCGGCGTTTAGTGGGTCGTTTGGTATACCTGGTCAATACTCGCCCCGAGTTAAGCTATGCAGTACATCTCCTGTCTCAGTTTATGAAGAACCCTCGGGTGGCTCATTGGAAGGCAGCATTGCGGGTTGTTCGCTTCCTGAAAGGTTCGCTTGGCCAAGGTATTTTGTTAACAGCAGATAGTGACTTACGCTTGACAGTTTATTGTGATGCGGATTGGGCTTCATGTCCTTTAACACGCCGTTCTCTCAGCTCTTACGTCGTACTACCTTGGCGGGTCCCCACTTTCTTGGAAAACAAAGAAACAAGATACGGTTTCACGCTCATCGGCAGAGGCTGAATATAGAGCAATGGCTGCAGCTACAAGAGAAATCAAATGGATGACACAACTACTTGGAGATCTTAGTGTTCAACATTCGGGTCCTGTTCGCCTTTTCTGTGATAGTCAGGCGGCAATCCATATCGTTGCTAATCCAGTTTTTCATGAACGCACGAAGCATATTGAACGTGATTGTCATAGTATACGTGATGAAGTTAAGGCAGGACGCATTACCACAGTTCACGTCCGCACAAATAATCAGCTAGCCGACATTCTCACTAAAGCCCTCGGCAAGCCACAATTTGATCATTTGTTGTCCAAGTTGGGTGTTTTTAATCTCCACACTCCAACTTGAGGGGGAATATTAGAGAATATATTGTGATAAGGATGAGTATGATACGATAAGGTTCTATTAGATTTAGATAACTTCAATTTCAAGTTAAGATAGGATTGACGTTTGTGTATAAATACTTGTATGATTCATCGTTAACAACACACATCAATATTAAAAGTACTTTCTCAGAATTACATAATCCTTGGGAATGTTTAAGTTAAAACATCAATCAATCATTAAAAATATATCAGTAATTAATGAAAAACTTTTAACAAATATTTTTGAAAACAAAATCATAAAAAATGATCGAAAGAACTGTCAATTGATATTCATTTGTTTTGCATAAATAGATAAATGAAAACAAATATCCTAAAGGTAAAAAGAAAACAAATAACACAAAATATTTTTATGAAAATTATATTTAGGGTTTCTGCAATACTCTGCCAGCGATTAGAGCAGCCTTCATGACAATAGAGATGACATCAATGACATCATCGCTGTCACATTTGTTACCATTGAACGTCGGTTGCTTAGTCTTGCTAAAATTGTTCATACAATTCAAGAGTTTCTGACTACACTCTTGGCTTAGATAATCATCTGCACATCAATAATAAAATAGAATAAATCAAAATTGTAAAAAACTCAGTATAAATGGGACAAGAAACAGAGAGAGTGTGTGTGGTTAATTACTATTTTTCGATTGAACACAAGCATCATGCTTCATGCAACACGAATCAAGACCATCACATGGTCTCTCTCCAAAACATCCACTATACAATAGTCCACAGTACTTCCCATACCTCAAAAGTGGTGGCACTGTCAAATTATAACACATTAATTTTTTTTTTTGTTATATTACGACTATACTCAAAAATGATTTCTATATTGAATTTTCTTATTAGATTGTTCACCTGAACAAAACTCCGATTCACATTTCCGGCTACATTCTTTGCTCTGTTAAAACAATTCAAATCGAGCGGTTATCAACCAGATAAACCCGATTTAAACAAAAAAAAGATGTGAAATACCGATTCTTGTGCTCTGAAATAAAAAATATCTATTACTTTAACCAAAACAGATCAATAACAAAAAATTCCCCAATTTCTCACATTGTACTATTATATGGAGCCTCTTATATAAATAAAAAGTTTAAACTTATCTCTAATCATCAAACCAATTATAAAAAAACAGATTACCTAAACCAACTACTCTGATACACTAATAGAGAAATTTAATTAAAATAAGAAAGAAACGAGATCTGACCAGGGAAATGGTGGGATGTGTAAGCTGAACACCAACGTTAAGTGCAGAGATTGAAATAGAGAAGACTAAGAAAAGGAAAAAGAAAAGTGTGATTGGAGCTGCCATTGTTGAAAAAATAAAATTCACTGGAAAAGTTTGTGGAAAGTGAGAAGAATAATACTTTGGTTTTGGTGGAGAATAAAATGAAAAAAGAGGGAAGGTAGAAGACGAAGAGTCTGTGACTCTTGCTTTGGTCTTTGATTGTTTGTCTTCTTATGTCTCGTGACTCGTTATAAAACACACAAGTAGAAAAATTAAATAAAATACTTGATTAATTTATTAAAAGAAGAAAATGACATTATTGGAAGGGACCTAAATTGACTATTCCGCTCCTTATAGTATAAATTAATCATTTCTAAAACTCGCATCAAAATATCTTCCATTCTCTCAATTAGTTTTTGACGAAATTTGTTTTATTTACTTAGCAAATTAACAAAAAAGTCACACTTGTTAGTCTTGTTATAGCTAAACATTACTATATGGCGAACATTACTATATGGCGATCTTTAAGATAATTTTGTGTTGTTGCTAAGCTTGTCTTGTTTTTGTCAGAAATTCTAAAGGGTGGTAAAGAAATAAAAAGTCACAAGTTTTCTATACTAAAGTTCATTTTAATTCCAGCTGGCATTAACTTTTCCACGTATGCGTACACGTGGAGCTGTGATAACAACGTCGCGTGTCAGTCACCACAAGGGCTCCCCGCGGAGAGAATCACCGGCTATTTCCAGTTACTTTTTCAATATGCTCTTCTTTTGCTTCCACGTCATTCTCTGTATATTTCCTTGTCACGGTCCTTTCTCAATCTCTTATTTCTGAATACTATAAATTACCTCAAAACAAAAAAAAGGAAAAACCAAAAAAACGTAAAGAGAAGGAGAAAGAAAGAGAGAGGAGAAGTGATTCTCTTTATTTTTTTTTGTTTTTGTGATTGGAGCTTTAATATATCCGTAATCCGAATACATTGTTGATTTCTATGAGATGAGAACCGGCGGCTTGGAAATGATGCACTCTTCGTCGGCGATTTTGTCGTCGTCCTCTTCGGCGGCAGCGGTCATAGCGCTTAACCTGAAGGAGGCGACGAATTGGTGGTCGGACGTCAACGAATCTCCGGTCTGGCAGGACCGTATCTTCCATATCCTCGCTGTTTTATACGCAATCGTTTCCGTCATTGCTGTGGTACCGCCTTCGTCCGCTACTTCTCCTTCTGGTCTTTGAGTTTCTTTTTCGGTTGATTTGAGATTGAATTTAGGGTATGGGTTGATCTAGAGAGATTAGGGATTCGAGGATATTTGAACGAGGAATAGAGATTATACTGGAGCTTTAACGTCCGTTTATATATATGATATCGTAGAGTTTGGGGATGAACAAAAAAAAACCCACTTAATTGATTATTGTTTCATTTTTTGTTTGTTTATAGATTCAATTGGTAAGAATACAATTGAGAGTTCCAGAATACGGCTGGACGACGCAGAAAGTCTTTCACTTTCTCAATTTCGTGGTGAACGGAGGTGGGTTGCTTCACATCGTGATTTTTGTTGCCGCTTGTTAGTTTCTGATGTCTGTTGTATCTGTTGTTGATTCTTCCCTGTCTTCTTCTTTTTTGGTAGTCCGAGCTCTGGTTTTTATCTTCCGGCGGGATGCACAGGAAATGCAGCCAGAGGTTTGGCTGTCTTCATTGAACATTGTGATTAAACCTCATTGATGATTTTTGAGAATTTGCTAATCTTGCAAGTCTCGCTTTTTTTTTTTCTCTTGTAGATTCTGCAACATATCTTGCTTGACATTCCGAGTCTTGCTTTCTTCACTACGTATGCGCTTCTAGTCCTCTTTTGGGCAGAGATTTACTACCAGGTAAAACTTGATTTGGTATGTATTTAAGTTACTGTTTCAGGTGCATTGTTGTTGATATTTAGTCTATCCCAACAGGCACGTGCTGTGTCCACTGATGGACTGAGGCCAAGTTTCTTCACAATTAATGCAGTTGTATACGTAGTTCAGGTGAATCCAACTTTTTGATATGGCCCTTATCGTATTTGAGAAATTCGCAAAGTTCAAAGTTAACCTCGAACTTAGTGGAACCATGGGCCTAACTCTGCTCTTAGATTGCCTTGCTTTCAAGCTTTAATCTTTCTTGTTACTGTAATAATCCCAGATTGCTCTATGGTTGGTCATGTGGTGGAAGCCTGTTCAACTTATGGTAATCATTTCTAAGATGTTCTTTGCAGGTATAGTTTGAAGTGTGATTCATCCTTGTAGATAGATTGATTATATTCGTTTTTATGTATACTATGTCTGACCTCTTGTGAATGTATATTGCAGCCGTGTCATTGTTCGCGGCCCTTGGCTTTTTATTATATGGAGGAAGGTTAGTCTTTTGTCACTTGCATAACATGATGGTAGCTTAGTTTATATCCTTGTTACCTGCTGCCATCATTTTTCCTGCCAAAGTTGAGTGTGATGTGGATATCATTATGAAAACCCGGCTTGCTAGAACCGCACCCTTAAGGCTTCTATCTCTGAGAACAATATGCAACGTGCACATATGTTATTTATTTATCATGCCCTGTCAATCACTTTTAGGGAGATATTCTTGAAGCCTTTGCTAATGTGAGTTTTTGCCATTGAGTGATGGGGTTGGGATAGATCACATAGCAATTACTTAACCTGCTTGCCGGCACATGTTCTTTCTTCTAGTACCTGGCTAGAGTAGACCCTTTTTGTGCTAAAGCAGACTTAATCTATACCATAAGTGTTGTGAAGGAAATTGCGGCACATGGCCTTGATTTATTGATTATGACGACTATTTCCTCGCAGGCTTTTCCTAATGCTGCAACGGTTTCCAGTAGAGTCCAAGGGGAGGCGCAAGAAGCTGCAAGAGGTGAAACTTGAATTTTAATCCAAAGTGTCAGATCAAGTTTCCTGGTTTTGTTTGTTGGAAGTTTACCCTCTTTTATGTGTTGTGCGTATGACAGGTCGGTTACGTGACAACCATATGCTTTACGTGTTTCCTCATCAGGTGTATCATGGTAAACATCATAATAGCGATTTCAATAGATCGTTTCTTGTTGCTTGAATATTTTGTTGCTAGTGGTCAAATGTTGAAGCAACAGCTAATTAGAGCCTTCACTTCATCATCTAAAAATGGTGTAGATGTGCTTTGATGCGTTCGACGATGCAGCAGATCTTGATGTCTTGGATCACCCCATCCTAAACTTCGTATATTACCTGGTAAGCTCTCTAATCAAACCTCTTGCACTGCCATATATAGATATAGGGAAAATCTCTAAACAAGGAGTGTGACTGGTTTACTTACAGTTGGTGGAGATATTGCCTTCTTCTCTGGTCCTCTTTATCCTAAGAAAGCTTCCACCAAAACGCGGAATCACACAGTACCATCAGATCCAATGAACGGAGATTGTATCCCATGAAAATGGATGCAGACAATCACTTACTGAACAATACAAGGAAGGAGAGAAAAAACATGACAAATTGCTGAAAAAGGGTCCAAATTTGATCTCTTTTTTCTTTTCGTTTAAAAAGCAGGAGTTAATATCGTCTAGGCGTTAACTGTAGGGAGTACTTGTTCCTTTCAGTGATAAAAAAAAAATGTACATGTAAGGGATTTGCAGAGAACAATGTGTTGTGATTCCTATTTAACTAATTGGTTAACTATGTAGACTCTCTTGTTTTTACTAAACTAATTCAAAGTGAAAATAAATGCAATTAATCGCTTTTGACTGGTTGGTCTTTTTGCTACCGGTCTTTTCCTCCATTTTGGTAATTGAAAGTTTGGTGAAATCTTCACCTACAAATTGTTTTCGCTTTTTATTTTTTCCAAGATTTTATTTTACATTCCTAGTTTTGAAGACGTCTTTTCCTCATATAACGCTTTGTTAAAATTTGTCGTCTAAGCACCGTTGAATCAATAAAAACAAAACCTACCGATACCTAAGCTAAACTATCTCTACGACTCTACCGCGTTTCTCAAGAAAAGGAACGGTGCGAGATGGGAGAGGACAAGAGACGCCACGTCATGTGGAGCCCATTTTTTCCTGCGGGTCTGTCTACCTTAAACTCAGTTAAAGTGACGTGATCCTTCTTTCCGTAATCTTTTTACGGCTCACGTTCAACACACGTGTAATATCGAAAGATTCGTCCCTTTTTTTTTTCTTTTTATTTAACAAGCTACTCCACATGACGTGGAGTATATCACAAGCTATTCTTTTGTCGGCTCGTCTTCTATAGTACTATGTTAAAATCAAAATTGCTTCACCTAGTAATAATGATTATGAGAATTCATTCGTATCAATTTAAAATTTTCTCAAAAAGAGCAATTCCATAACTTTAGTCCTTAGATGGAATATAAACAAATCCAAAAGACAATCTACGTACTCAAATTCTATCTCTACACACTCAAGAATCAAGATAATATTGTCAATTTGGTTTTTAAAAGCAATCAAATTAAATAAGGTTGTTGATTATGATTAGCCTGACACATGTACAAAGAAAATCATTAAAAAATTAAAAAAAGATACAACGCGCCAAGTCGTTTTCTAACTCATATCCACACAGTAACAGCTGTTTCTCTCTGTTCTCTCTGCATGAAACTCGATTCCAATAAAAAGGCGAAAGTTTTGAATTTTTGCCATTGAAGGACACTCTAAAATTGAGTCATAGTTCTCAAAAATAATGGCGAAGGACTCACTTCCTCCATTATTCTCACTTGAGGACTCATTTCTCACCTATATAAACCATCATTTTCTTCTCTCTAGTCACCGTCATCACCACCAAAAACCCTAGCTTTGATTTCTAGATCTGAGTCTCCATGACGATTCTCATCGATCACCACCCTGATCAAAACGGTTCGTGATTCCTTATTCTCTTTTTTTCCTATTCTGGTTTTATCTCTTCTTGATATGATCTGGTCAGACCCTGGCTTAAATTTCAGTTTTTATTTTGTTGGTTTGTCGGATTTGGCATGAAGTTTGGGAATTACGACCGGTTTTGATGATTAAATCTGAGTATGTGCAGACGCAGGAGACGAGACTGTAGAGAAGAATCAGAGGAATGTAAAAGAGGAAGAAACAGAGCTTATGTTAGATGGAGGTTTCGTGGCTCCTAACACCAACTCCTTTGGTCACACCTTCAGGTAATCTCATAAATTTCTTAATATCACTTGAATCTATTCACACCAGAGAATCCCCCGGTTTAGCTTCATAGACTACAAGATCGAAACTATAACCGATTGTTGTCATAAAAAAAGGGATTATGATGCTGCGAGTGAAAGGAGAAGAAGCGTGGAGGAATTCTACAGAACCAATCACATTGGACAAACCGTTGATTTCGTGAGGAGGATGAGGGAGGAGTACGGGAAGCTAAACCGAACCGAGATGAGCATTTGGGAATGCTGTGAGCTTCTGAACGAGTTTATCGACGAGAGTGATCCCGATCTGGACGAGCCTCAGATCGAACATCTGCTTCAGACAGCTGAAGCCATCAGAAAAGATTACCCTGATGAAGATTGGCTCCATTTGACCGGTCTTATCCACGGTACATTCCTATTGATGATCGCATCAACAAATGGTTTCCCGGTTTAGTACTGATTTTTTGTGTTGGTTTGTATCTGAATCAGATCTTGGAAAAGTTCTTCTCCACTCTTCATTTGGTGAGCTTCCTCAATGGGCTGTTGTTGGTGAGTACTACTGAGTCACTGACTAGTGTTTTTATTTTTTTACCTCTTTAAGTTTTGTTAACATCCGAAATGATTTATCCTTACTGGCGCAGGCGATACATATCCAGTGGGATGTGCTTTTGATAAATCCATTGTTCACCACAAGGTGTATAAGAAATTCATAACAACACTTTTGATTATGTTATTTTTGGAGCTTTTAAAATATCGACTCCATCTTGTGTTTCTTGATGCAGTACTTCAAGGAAAATCCAGACTATGATAACCCTAGTTACAACACTAAGTATGGAATATACACAGAAGGTTGTGGACTCAACAATGTGTTCATGTCTTGGGGACATGATGATTACATGTACATGGTAAGTAAATTACAATCTCAACATTTTGTTCTCGGTTTACCGCCATGTAAGAATCTCTATTTGATTCCTTAACCGAAATTCACAGGTTGCCAAGGAGAATCAAACTACATTACCATCAGCTGGTCTTTTCATCATTAGATACCATTCGTTCTACGGTATTTGAACCGATTTGCTCTAATTTATCGAATAAAATAAAGGTTACAACAAACCACGGGTTCTTGTAACTTTTTTTGGTTTGTAGCTGTTCACAAATCAGAAGCATACAAGCATTTGATGAACAATGAAGACAGAGAGAACATCAAGTGGCTGAAAGTGTTCAACAAGTACGATCTCTACAGCAAAAGCAAAGTCCGCATAAACGTGGAGCAAGTGAAACCCTATTATCTTTCCCTAATCAACAAGGTATTACATATATATAAAAAATGTATACTCAGCTTTCATATTTACAATTTAGAAGCAGACTTTGGTTTCCTTTCCTAACTGGAGGATTTAATCGCTTGTTCTTGTTTTGCAGTATTTTCCGGCGAAGTTGAAATGGTGAAAACTCACAAGCGTAAAGATGTTCTAATAAAATGACTGTGATGAGTGTGACCAAGATATGTGTAAACCTAGTTAAAGGCATTAACGGATATATGCCTTGATTAATAAAACAGAGTGCTGTTCAGTAAATAAATGTTTTTTTTTTAAAAAAAAATCGCAAGAAATCCTTTGGATTCTTGATAATCATTTACATTCACTCGTGCAGTGTTGTCCTCCTAATGTAGAGAAGCAACCTAATTACTTATAAGGAGCTTGTGGTTTAAAAAAAGCTATGTGGATTTGAGAAAAATGTGATTCCCAAATATAAAGGGACCTCTTCATGGTCCACCACTTTCGATGTATATTCGGGTGCTAGAGCAACATCAGTGGTGATGAGGCTGAGATCTGTTATGGAGAATTGGAAGTGAGGGTTGGAGAGTAGGTTAGAGACAAAGTAATTGATTTCATATGTCCAAGAACTAAAAACTCGCCTAAACATTGTTGAACCTAGACAAATACATATATGCTATAATGCTACTATATCATTTACAGACGCAAACAGTTCATAATCCGACATCGTGGTATGGTTTGGTATGCAACGTCAGCCTTGATGATGCATGAACAGCTGCCGACGAAAAGCAACAAGAACCAATGATAAACCAAAACCAAGCGCGAGCCCGTAAGAAAAATCCAAGGCAGTGTCATTATCTCTGTCACTGTCACTGACTCTTGATCGTTTTTCGTCTGGCGTATCACCTGGACACTGAAGGCAGTGATCACCGGCAAGATGGTTGCCCTCGAAGCTCGAGTTTGGGAATGTCATAAATTGGCCACCAGATGGGATATTCCCTGAGAGGCTATTGTTAGCAACACTGAACTTGGATAGGAACGTTAGTCTCTCCAGAGATGCCGGGATCGAACCGGAGATGCGGTTATTGGACAGATCAAGAGTCTCTAAGCTCTCCATCCTTGACAGCGTGCCAGGGATTGATCCCGATAACATATTGCTATTAAGATCAAACACATGGAGTTTCTTCAGATTTCCAAACGCCTTCCAAATGGGTCCAGAGAGATTGTTTTGGCCGAGCTGAATCGTTGGTGGGAACCCGTGAACATGTTTATACTGCAGAGCCCTTGCATTCACATTGTTGTAAAAGAATGGGGAATTTGGAGGTGGTTCGAGGAAGGTGGGTTCTCGTTCAGAGAGGCTCGGCAGCATTGTCAGGCTTCTTGGGATCTCTCCCGTGAGCGAGTTTCTCGACAAATCCAAGTAGAAAAGACTGCTGAAACCACCAATCCAGTTCGGGATAGCTCCACTCAAATGGTTCCATGAGAGATCCAACAGTTGCAGATTGGTGCTCTTAGTTAACCAGCCCGGGACAGTACCAGTGAGGTTTGAATTTCCAAAAGCTAACACCTCCAGCTTCTTGAAACGAAGATTCAGGTCGTCAGGCAACATTTCACCGTAGAAGTTCATAGCGAGAACCAGGGTTGTCAGGTTCTTGCAGCGCTCGAGGATGCGAAGCGTTGATGAGATGTTAACGAGGCTGCAGTTTGAAAGCGATAGATAGGACAAGCTATGCAAGTCCTCGAAGCTCTGTGGCAACTCCCCGTCAAAGTGGTTTTGCGCTAGATTCATGTACTTGAGGTGTCTGCAAGACGGTAGATATCCAAGCAAAGAGGCATTGAAGTTATTGGATCCCAGATCAAGGGAGGTCAAGTTAGTCATCGCGGCACAATCCAGATGCCAAGGACCACTCAGTGAGTTGTTCCTCAGGTTAAGAAGGATCAAGTTCCGTGAACTCGACAGCGACCTGGGGACTCCTCCTGCGAATCTATTAGCCTGAGCCACCAGATACTTGAGCTCCGGTAATGTGTTGAACACGTCAGGGATTTCACCGGAGAACGTATTCCATGAGATATCAAAACGAACAAGTCCGGAGAGGTTACCAAGCGCAGGACTCAGTGTACCGGAGAGAGCGTTTTCTTGAATCCCCAAAAGATTCAGTCTCTGAAGCCGAAACAGATCCTCAGGTATATTACCGCTGAGGTCGTTTCCGCCGAGGGAGAGCTGTTCGAGCAGAGCGCATTTATCGAACCCAGATGGAATTTCACCGGAAAAACGGTTCGACTCCAGTCTGATCAGCGTAAGCTCCGTAGAGTTTTGGCAAACATGCGCCGGAAGCGAACCGTTCAACATGTTGGAGGAAAAATCGAGATTCATCAGTGAAGGAACACTCAAGCTCTCGGGGATTTCGCCAGACAATCCGTTAGAGCTCAAATCTAGAGTTTCTAGGTTTATCAGATTGAAAATCGACGGAGGGACTGAGCCTAAGATGAGATTGTTGGAGAGATTAAGAACTCTAATCTGATCCAGGAGCCCAAGAGATTCAGACAACTTACCGGACAATCTTCTGTTCACAAGCTCCAGCTCGGTGATTCTCGCAGCCGCAATGTTGTCTGGATCCTTTGAGTTACATGTGACCCCCTCCCATTCACAGCAATCTCCAGTAGAATTGAAGGCCCAGCCGTCTGGCTTCCGGTCGAGCTCGTTGGCGAAGCCACGCAAGGCCTCCTGGTCACGTGGATGGCACCTAAGGTTCTGAGAGTTTGATGAGTAGAAGAATAGCTCTATGACTACGACGGTCATCACCCACCAATAATGGTGAAGACCCATGTCGGAAGAGGAAGAGAGAAAGTGAATCTAATTTCCAAAATTGAAGCTTTAATTGAATATCGGAGGAGATACGGCGTGCAAGAGTGCAAGAGACAGACGCATGAGATGAGATATGGGGAGAGAAAGAGTTGATTAGTGATTTCAAATTTTCAAGTCTTTCCGTTGACTGGAAAAACAAAACTTTTCTTTAATTCTAAGTCCAATTTTAAAGTCAAACATCCAATGTGTTTTACTCAGTCAAATTGTACACGTTTTCGTTTTAACCGAATCAATTATTTTCCGGTTCAATATCTGGATGAGCTTCTCGATACGGTTTCGGTTTGGTTCAACCGGATAATACAACATACTGTAGATGTTAAACTTCACATTTTCAACTGCTAAGAAACAGGGAATTGATTTACCCTACCAACAACAGTCAAAGGCGTACCAATATCAACAACATACTCACAACAGTTATGCTCAAGAATCTAACGAGAAGAAGAATCTTTAGAAGCTTAATTTCTCTGAGCCTTACGCATCTGCTTGGTCTCCGGTTCTGCTCTCTGGCCGGCCTTTTGATTTATCTAGAAACCAAGCCTTTTTGATCGAAGGCATCACGTACCACGCATATGCAACTGTACCAATAGCTGTTAAGCCTATGGAGATAACTACCAGCGCCCTGCAAAAGAATACTAAATATCTTACCAAATCTAATTCATCGTCAAAACTCCCAAGTGACATACATAATAACAAGAGAGAAAGAGCTTCACTTCCCAAGTGACATACATAATAACAAGAGAGAAAGAGCTTCACCTACTGTGAATATAGTTCCAAAAGGGAAATCATTTTGTCAACAGAAGTATAACCGTCGACGAACATGAAAGACCCATCTCTGGGTCTTTTGATCACGAGAGCTCCATCGCTGTATCTGACAGCCTATATAAAACACAGAGAGGAACATTGAGAAGCTATCCTCAGCTAAAATCTTACTAGTGAAACATGACGAAGTAGTAAAGAAGAACACGTGAAGGAATATTCTTACCTCACCAACAATCGTCAAGGGCTTACCAAGCTCAAGAACACGCCCAGAGCAGGTGTGTTCAAGAATCTGCAGAAGAAAACAAAAAAACATCACTACGTTGCTTCAGCCTGGGAGAATCAGAGAAAGCAAAGACGTGGAAGGAATGAAGAACCTTGAAGAACCCTCCCGGTTTAACCGACTTTTTGATGAGTTCACTCGTTGGCTCCACCAACTTTTTGACGAGTTCACTCGCTGGCTCATCAAACAAAAACTCTTTGAGATTATCATAAAACCCATTGGCATATTGGGCTCCCACTACATTTACTTGGCCAGTACTGTCTTCCTGTTATGAGGGAGGGAGAGATAACCACCGGTTAAGGATGCAGGCTTAAAGTTTGTGAGCAAGAAATAGCAGTAGCAGATGAACGTATGGTACCAGAAACCAAGGAACCTCCTTGTGTTGTAATAGAATTTCTGCAGGATTACGCTCAAAATCACCATGCAAAGTCCTCGTTCCGAGAACAAGTTTGGCCTGAAATGTAGTATTATGATTACAACAGAGAGATTAAAGCTCACATGATGTCCAAATTCGCAGAGACCAATCTGACCTTCTTCTCGAAAAAAACACCCAAAACGCCACTACGTTGGCATTTTAAGGGCGCCCTAGAGCCAACTCTTCCGGATATCGCAACAACGACCGGTCTGGTCTTGTTTTCAAGCAATTCACCTGAAACATAACAAAAGTCGATTCGAGAAATCAAAAATAAAAGAAAAACTGGATCCCAGAAAAAGAAAAAGGATCAGACTTGAGATGACTGAACGGAAAACATACTCAGGCCTCTCAAATCGCTCACGCGGGTGACACTCTTGAGATACTCAGCCTTCCTGCACCGACATAGAGAAGAAGAATTGTTTGAAAAGGTTTTTTCTTTTTTTGCAGACAAGGGTCTGATGAGTCGGAAGCGACGAACCGCTGAATTTCGTAGCTGCTCAAGCAGATTACGGCAGCACTTGCCAAACCCAAACAAACAAGTTCAATCATTTTCTGTTTCTCCGCTGATAGATCCCACTTCCTCTCAAAACCTACCCTCGACACCCAGGTTAAGATGAATTCCGTCTTCAGCAATTCAAAATTAGAAATAAAGTGTTTTTTTTTTTTTGGTTCAATCAACCTTAGTTTCAATCAATACTGGGTCGTTTTCATCTGTCCGCCGTTTGGGAGACTTAAGTTAGGGTTTTATCAATTCATCCCTGCCGTCCTCCTTGGTTCCGACTCCCGACTTCGACATAGCGATGCATACTGTATGTCTCGTTTCGTAATCCAGTGTTCCTCGTACTTTTAAAAGGCCTTTGGTGTTTGTAAAATTACTCAGTCTTGCCGAAAATTAAAATCTGGAGGTCCGATTAGGGTGTCTTAAGATCAAATTACGTTGTTTGATTTTTCAGATGATTGGATTTGTTGCTGCTTTGTCATGCGGTGCCACAGCAAGTTATTTCTTGGGCAGTCGAATGAAAAGGTTGCCAATAATCCTTTGGAATTTTTGTAATGTGTTTCAAACACTTTTTGTATCAAATCAGTATATGTTTTTGCGATGGTGTGTGCAGGGGAGCTGACTATTTGAACAGTATTACCCGTGTGATCCACTTACGACAGTTGGGTATGTTTCTGTTAAAGGCCTGGTTATTTCTCATTCATTCTGTATTGGTGGTTTCTTCACATTATGAATGATCCGGTACTTTTTTTTTGTTTTGTTTTCTTCAGAAGATTTGCTTACAGAGAAACCTAGGGGTCTCCTTGTTGTGGTATCCGGAAGCGTTGCATCTGCAGCGCCCTTTGTCTGCAAAGACAATGGTCCCTTGGGTGTTCTTTTGGAGGAAAAGATAATACTGCTTTTGTAAAGTTTGCATCTTATTCTCTGCTCTGGTCTGGTCTGGTCTGGTGGTGGTGGTAACATAATAAGACATTCTTCAGGCTGAACTGCATTTAAAGATCAAGGTGGAAGATGGTGGTTTCATAGACAAGACTATAAGTTATCTGTTACAACGAAAGGAGACTCCTTGGCATCTGGTTAGATACATGCCTTCATTTGCCAACATGTATTGTCCACAAGTTCCTGAATTGGTTGTTTCTCGGTTTAACGATTAGGAAGACAGTACTGGTCGGGTGAATATAGTGGGAGCTCAAGATGCTCTAGGATTTGATGCTACTCTACAAAAGTATCGGCTCGATAGGCCAGCAGCTGAAATTTTGGACAGCCTTGCTAAACCCGAAGGCGCTATGGTTCTTTGTTCTTTCTTTTTGTCCCCTAGAGGACCACTTTCCTTCTTGTGTTGAAACAGCAATGTGATATTTTGCTTTAGGTCTCTGCACATAGTCTCTATGGGCGTGCACTTAATGTTGGTACCTTCTTGACTTTTGTTGGCGAGGTAAATGAAATCCTTGTGTTCCTTTAAGTTTCATCTTTATTCAGGAATTTTTTTGATCCTGTAAGAGTGGCTTACATCTGTACTGTTAGGCTGTTAGAGACAAAGCTGGAAATCTCATGATTCGAAAACCAAAAGAAGAGTCTTTTATGGTCTTCAGTGGAGAAGGCTCATTCGATAAAATGGTTAACTATATCAAGTCAGAATCAGAGTAAGGACAGACTCACTCATCATGTTTCTGTTTATACATTTTTCTTGGGGAAGGTGATGAATCAAATTTTGTTTAAAGATAATGTTTTGTTATATATTCTCCAGACATCATCTTTTGTTCTACAAGATCTCCGCAACTATAGCTGTGGCTCTGGCCGTCATGTACGGTGTGGACTTGATAATGGGCTTATGTGTGGGTTCAGAATCAGACAGCGAGGAAAACCATCGGGAAGAAGAAGAATGAGAGTTGTTTATAGGATCAGACAACATTCTACTGTTTGTTTTTCCAAACATATTGGAATGTTTTATTTACCAAGCAAAGTTGTAAAAATTCCATAGCGTATGAGTTAAATAAGAGCAGAGATGACGAAACCTAAACCCAAAAACTCAAAACTGAAAAAAAGAGCCAAGTCATCATCGAGTCCTAGTGATAACGAGAGGAATATGCAGACTATGCATTACTTCCACTGCAACTATAGCCACGCCAATCGCTGTCAACAACAAGGAGAGTTTCCCATAAAATCTGCAACTTCAAACAGAAGATTCACTCTCTAAGAAAACAAAAAATATGACTTGTCACCTCCCAAGTAGAGGAACAAACATAAGATGTTTCTTACTTTGAATCTGATTCCAGATTAGATACTATTTCATCAACGTCTAGGTGTCCATTGAAGACCTCGTAGGCTCGCCCGATCGTGGGAGCCCCATCTTTGTCTCTCTTAGCCTAATTTACAGTACATAGATGTTAAATTTCACATTTTCAACTAGTACTAAGATGAAACAAACCAAAAAAGAAACAGGGACTTGACTTACCATACCAATAACAGTCAAAGGCGTACCAATCTCAAGAACATACTCACAACAGCTATGCTCAAGAATCTAAGGAGAAGAAGAAAAAAAAACACCAAAGGCTAATGTTTTAAGTCAAGAGGGAAACATAAAGAAGAGAAAGGGTGAGGAGAGTAGACAAGTAGTACCTGAGCGTCTCTCAAATAAGGAAAGCTCTCTACGAGTTTAGTCACTGGTTCAGCAAAGAGAGACTTTTTCAAAGTATCATAAAACCCTTGGGCATATCGGGCTTCCATTACATGAACCCGAGCAGTACCGTCATCCTATAATGTGAAGACAGAAGCAACGAATTACGAGAAACCGTGCTGAATTTTGTGGATGAGAAAATGTTAGTGTGAAACATGTATTACCAGATACCAAGGAACCTCCTTATCGTTCAACACAATCTTTTTATCAAATTCTTGTGTTGAACCATGACGATTCTCCCTCCTAAAACATATTTTCGCCTGAAGCAACACAAAATAATCTATGTCATATATGGTTTCGAGATAAAGTAAACTCAAGATTACATTTAAACAGAATCCCTTTTTAAAACCACTCATTCATCTGTGTTAGATCAAAGTTAACACAATCCTACTTACCGTTTCCTCAAAAAAAACTCCCATCGCGCCACTTCGGTTGCTCTCAACGGGTGCGGTTGATCCAACCGTTCCAAATACCACAAAACTGCGTCTCGACGTCTTCTTTCCAAGAAGATCCCCTGACAATTTTGGTCGTTAAATTTGAAACGTAAACACACAAACAACCCAAAAAAAAAAACCACATCAACCCCGAAAACCTTACCAAATCCTTTCAGCTCCTTCACGCGGATAGCTTCGTTTAGAATCTGAGCTTTCCTGTACCCAAGAGTAAAATCGGATCAATGAAATAAATCGACGCAGAAACTGATCAGGAACTGACTAACGCTTTAATGCTCTCGCGGGAATAGCCCAATAGGAAGCCAACGCCTAGACATAAACCAGCTACTTCAATCATCTTCTCGGCTGCAAAACAAAAAGTAGGGTCTTTTATGGGTTTAAATTGAAAATAATCAACTCGAACACAAACATAATCGAAGATGGTTATATACCTCACGACTTAAAAACTGAATGCTATGTTTTTGCGCTTCTTATTGGAATTTTAGGGTTTCGCTAATAGCTAGGAGACATGGATGTGTGTATTAGTCGTTAAGCCCCTAGTACTTGGGAGAACAAATTTTGCTTAGTACGAAAGATTGTACCCATTAAAACAGCTATATCCAATATACATATGATAAAGTAGAATAATTTTTGTTTTTGCCAGTCACTCGATTGAATGAATCATATATTATATATGTACGCTCTCTATCAAAAGAAAAATTGATAAGAAATTTTCATTGTTTTATTTAACCGACTTCTTTCATTCTCATCTTATGTGTTGAAGTTGGAATATCTAATGCACATGCATAAGTGAAGTAAATATATCTATATGGATAATAACGTAGATACATTCTCACATACATAAAGTGAAGTGAATATATGCACATACATTCTCATCTTATGTGTTGAAGTTGGAATATCTAAAACACGTATTATACAGGATGTTATTAATTGAGAAAATGAGTATACCCTTTGGCTCTGAATATTGAATAAATCTTTTAATTTTTCAGAAGTTTTTTTGTTTTTAAATGAAAAAAATGACCAGGGCTACGGGTTAAAAGTTCTTCTACGGGCCGGTTACCCCGTATTTTAGAACACTCAGTCGACGACATATACACATAAAGCCCTAAATCCAAGAAGATTAGCAAAACTAGTGTTCAATTTCAGTCGTGAGGCGATCTTCTATTATATTCAATTCGTGGTTTTGCTTTCCCAGTTTAAACCCATAACAAAATCTTATTCGCCGTTTTTTTGGTAGTCGAGAAGATGATTAAAGCTGCTGCTCTATGTATAGGCGCCGGTATCCTATTGAGCTTTTCAGGCTACAGCAGGAAAATGTATGTTAGAATCTTGAATCATTACCTGCTCACAGTATTGAAATCGATTTCTTCTTAGTTACATTTTGATTCATTATCTGCTCTGCTTTAAAACACACTATATATTGTCTTCCTCCCTCCAGGAACGCTGAGTTTCTTAGTGGAGCTACCCACGTGCACAAGCTGAGAGGATTGGGTAAGATTTAGGGTTGATGATTCTTTTCTTTCCTTTCCTTTGTGTGTGTTTTGGTTTCAAGTTGACGATCCAAAATTTGCCAACTTTCAGAGGAATTTCTTGACAAGTCTAATGTACCTGTTGTGGTACATGGAGTTGTTGGATCAACCTCACCTATGGAGAACGACGATGGTAGCGCTTCAGTTGTTTATTTCATGCAAACGGTAAGTAAGATTTGTTTCTCCGACACGATTTTGTCAGTTTATTTTTACATGACCAGAGTAATGCTGGTGTTCCCTTCAGGCCTCACTTGATTTTAAGACACGGACCAGTATTGCTCTAGCACGGGAATATACATGGAAAGTGGTGGAGCGTAAAGAGGTCCCTTGGTATTTGGTAATCACATTTTTCTCAAATCCGCATAGTTTTTTTTTTAAGCCACGAGCTCCTTAGGTTGCTTCTATATTAGGAGGACAACACTGCACGAGTGAATGTAAATGGTTATCAAGAAGCCAGTGGATTTGTTGGGATTTTAAAAAAACGTAACTTTACTGAACCACTGAAGAAACACTTTGAAAGCCTTCTTTTTATGAAAGACATCAAGGTACTTGTCTATTTCCTTACCTCTGCTTTGGCTTTTTCTTTTCCTTGGGGGGCTTAAACAACAGTGCTGGTATTTTTTGTTTTTAGATTCCTGAGGATAGCGAGTGTGAGTGTTGTGACCATATTCTTGAGATTGGTGAGCGTTTGACCGTTGTTGGTAAGGTAAGTCCCAAACCCATGGTTTCGTGATTCTTTTTGTTGTTGTTGTTGGTTTCATCTTGGTGATTTCACTTAGTAGTTGAATATGAAATTTACGTCCATGTAATGGTAGGCTGAGAGAGACAGAGATGAGGCTCCTACGATCGGATCAGTCTATCAGGTCTTCAATGGTCATATAAACATTAGCGATGTTGTTCGTGATTTGGAAAGGTGTTCAGCGTAAGAAACATATCTGATGCTCCTTTACTTTAGAAACGAGGAGTCACATTTATTTTCTTAGATAATTTTCTCTTGTTTCATTTTGCAGGTATTATGAGACAGTGTCCACATTCGTGACAGCTACGGGTGTGGTTTTACTGGCTGTGAGCGTACTGCAGGATGGTGTCTAGATATGAAGTAGTAAAACTATAGCAATGACTAATGGTTATGTAATGTTCCAATGCTTTTGACAGACTTGTATATATATGGCCAGAAAAGAAACAAAGATTAGTAAGTCTGGTCAAAGTCATTTTCAGATAGACGGTGAAAAAAAATATACAATGTCAGTTGTGCGGGTTCACGACTTGATGATACTCTCTATATGTTAGGTTGGAAATGTAAAATATTTACTTAACCAAGAAAGTTTTCAGTACAATATAACTAATTATCCACAAGCAAAGGAAGAGGAAGATAATCACAAAGCTAATGCCCAAATTGAGAGTTACATTTCTGTATTAAGTAAAGACACAATCAAAGAGAAACATTCTAATCGACTGTTCCTCTGAAGCAGCTTCTCCGCTCATCTACAATCTTTGGAACTTCAAGACTAGGATGAGTGATGGACTCTTTTGATTTCTGTCATGAATAAGTAAGAAAAAGCTAAGGTGTCTAAATTTTGTGATCGAACTGAAGCTAAGACCAAGAAAATATCTGCTTTGTTAAGTACTGTTTGACTAAATTACTGTATTTACTTATTATATAGTAAAATCATACTGTTTTACCGTTTTACTCTTAAACTTTAGGCTTAGTCTCTTCTGTTGATCAAGATCAAGCGATATCATCAAAACTGAAAAACAGATATGTAGGCTTCAACTAGTGACCAAGGGAATGAGGGGGAATAATGAATTCCTCTTTATTACTTAAAATTTTACCATTTGCTAGTAATAATATTTTCCTATCATTCCTTCTTATTCATTATCATATACGAACTTATAGAACAAATGTATTCCTTATTAAAATTGGGAAGAAACAAAATATATTTATTTACTTCCTTATATATTTTTTTATTTCTATTCATTTTATTCCTTTCATTCTTTTCCTTTTCATTCTTATTCTTTTTTTTTATTGATTACCAATTAAAACTATCATTTACAAAAGGAAATTACTGATAAAATTTTGGATCCTATTACCAAATTGTATCTGTTTACTAAATTTGAAACATCAATCCATTTTCCTGAATGTTAACCAAGTCTTAATTACAGCATCACATTAGAAGTTGAACTTGGAGTAGTTTCTTCCCTGACCCTACATGGATGAGTCCATAGTCCTTAATAAAAACATTTAGTCCTTGAATCACAAAGCAAAAGCCACAATATTAGTTTCTAGCATTAAGATATGTAATAAAAAAAATCGATGAAAGACATATGAAACATAATAAGATATGTAATCATACCAGAGAGTTCAATGAAATGCAAATCTTGAATCCCCCATAACACGTCCATCCACTTCTGCAGAAAGATTGAGGTGCAATTCTTGTCCAAGGAGTGTGAAAATGTGACAGTTGTAATGTTGCAAGTGTCAAACACCACTTCCAATCCTCTAAACTCATCAATTTTCTTTTTCAAACTGACTGAGCATACATTCTCTTTGCCATCTTCGAAGTGGATCTCTGAACTTGAAATTAAAGATAAACCCATGATATCATGTTTGAATGAACAAATGAGAGATTTTCTGTCCCTGCAAAGTAACTAAACATTGAGAAAATAACAAATATCAAAACAAAACTAAATAAATGAAAAATTAAATACATGCTTACCAGTTTGCAGAAGTAGAGAGGTGAAGTATCTCTACATCGCAAAAAAAAAAAAAAAAAACTTCAGTTGCAAGTTCGACAAAAGAAAAGAAAATGAAGTGAATAAGTTGCAAATAATGATAGTTCATGAATAGGTGGGTGACAATTACCTTATTTCTCAAACATGAGATCAATATATCTTGTTTAGTTTTGTGCAATTTGATCATATAAAATTGATTAATCTGAGAGGTTCGTTCCTTCTTTCCAAGCAAAATAATGCAAGATTTATGCTAATCAATGATCATTTAACATTTAAAAACATAATTATTTCTCATGTATAAACAAAATTAAGTACTTACTACTTACTATATGGTTGAAATTATGAAAAGTCATTATTATTTTTTGATATCTCCGATACAATAACTTATAAATCTTAATATCATAAATATGTCACATTCTAGTACTGTATGTTGATTTAATTCATAGAAACAAAGCTTTCAAGTTGTTTTGTCACTGGTTTCAGTAAAGAAATACTTATTTAAAATATCAAACTGTTATTTAATGTGAAACAACTTAATACTACATACTTTCTTTGGGTTCATAAACGATTATTTTACGTGGGAGTTGGACGTAAGTTTATATTAAGGTTTTCTAAATTATGCGTTACCTAAAAAAAATGGCGGTGAACTACTGACCTCATGTAGCTCTTACATAATTTCACCGTTTCGTTTCACCGAATCAAACCGAACTGTATCGAGAAGAACCCGATTCATCTGGTTAAATCGAACATCCATATTCATGTTTGTTTTTCGTTGGACCGTTTCTGGAAGCCTCTTCTAATTTACGTACGTTCGTACTGAGGAGCTCGAAAAGGTTAAGGCTCAATTCAAAGCGTATTGGCACTAGCAAGCTCATCCCAAACTCTAATCACATCCTTTGGACTCATGCTCAACCTATAAGCTTAGTCGTGGCTAATGTCCGGTTCTGCTACATTACCGTCGCCTGCTTCTTCGCTGTCTAATTTAGCAATGTTCGTATGAGAGAGTGGGAACTTTTTGATATCGCGTTACCGAATATCAAACTAAGTTCAATGTCATTACTCTCGATCATGATGAAGAGCAAAGAAAGCAAATCTGATAATTCCACATGTTAACATGCATTGTCGAAACGTAATTATGAGAACCGGGTTCTTAGACAGCAATTGGAAACTGTTGCTTTTTAGTTCGAAAATGTTTTAGTATGGTCTCGAGTCTCGACGACGTTAGCTATATCATTCTTTTGGCTATCAGAATAACTTGTGGTACACGTCAAGTATCTCCAACTGATAACTTGTTTTTTCTTTTGCTGTTAGAAAGCATCAATGCCTCATTTTATATACTTAGCCGTAATTCTAATCTGAAATATGGAAAAGCATCGTCCAATTCATCACATGGCTTTCTCTTGCATAGGATATTTCATTGTTATTTTTTATGAACTGTTGATTCAATTCATGAAAATCTTCTTTTTCCCAATAGCTCGTGTAATTGATAAGAGTTAATTACAGCAAAAGTGGTAAAGGCCTAAAAGCCTAAAACAAAGGGAAAATAGATGTTTCTGGAGCCTTCAAAAGATTGGAATTTAGCTGGAGAAGCAATGGTATAATAAATAATTAAAGAAATATGTAGATAAATACATGTTTGTGTCAAAAAATAAAAATAAAATATCAAATACCTATTGTCGCTGCAATCTGATCCAGCCCCCAAATTGTCTTTTGTCCTCCTTTCCTTTTCGTTTTTAGGGTTTTTTATTTTTATAGCTGTGCACTCTCTCTTCTCTTCTCTCAATTTCTCTTATTTCTCAATTGTCCCAAATATATTCCTCTGAAAGATTATAGATTAGTTTCTCTCCCCGAAAAACAATTTCCCATAAAGGAAAAAGGAAAAGCCGATCTTGGCCTTCTTCTTTTTGTTTTGGGTGGCTGTTCTTCTCTTGCATCTCGATACTTTGGACGCATTCTCCCCGGAATTCGATTCGCTGGAAATACCCGTCACCGCCGGGCGTTTCGTGAGGCTGATTCCTTCTCCGGCTTGATTCGTCAGTGAAGTCTTTGGTTGAAGCATATGGAAGGAATTCAGAATCCTACACCTCGCACTGTCGAAGAGGTGTTTAGCGACTTTAGGGGTCGAAGAGCTGGTCTCCTCAAGGCTCTCTCAACAGGTGACTTCGATCTCTCTCTCTCTCTCTCTCTCTCTCTTTTGTTCAAATCTAAGCTAATTCGTTTCTCGGGTACACTAAGTAATGAGCACTGTGCCGTATGTTTCGTTTAGATTTACTAGATTTTATGTTTATGCTCGATTTTTTTTCAATTGGGGTTTTCTTCATCTCCAGAGAAACCCAACAATTTTGGCTTTCTTCTTCATGTTATTTTGGTTTGTCTTCTGCTGGGATTTGACGATTTTGGGTTTATTCATGTTTTCCTTTTGCAGATGTACAGAAGTTTTACAATCAGTGTGACCCTGGTGAGTTATTTCGTCACCCATCTTGTATAACTCCGTAGCGCATTGATTCTTCTCTGGTTGATTTCGACTCGTGTTAATCGTTGAATAGTTGATAGTATATGTTTCTCCTGGTCTGAAATAGGGAAGAAATTGTGATGGGAAATTCGTTTTTGCTTCATGAGTTTGCTCACTGGTCTGCTGTTTCTGTGTCTTTAGTCTTTCTCGTTTCTATTTATTAGATCTACAGTTGTCGACTTGTTGTCAGGGTGCTAGTTATTACTTTGGCCGTAGTTTTATGGAGTAGACAGAGCAGTTTCTTGGTTTCGTGATTTCAAGTGTTTGTTGCTAAGAAGAAGTTAGTTCTCTGAAGTGTATATCTCTTCTTAGTGTGTATCTCTTTTAATTGTGTGCAGAGAAGGAAAACTTGTGTCTTTATGGACTTCCGAATGAGTCATGGGAGGTTAATCTTCCCGTTGAGGAGGTCCCTCCGGAGCTTCCTGAACCAGCTTTAGGCATCAACTTTGCAAGGGACGGAATGCCAGAAAAAGACTGGATAGCTTTGGTTGCAGTTCACAGTGATTCATGGCTTATCTCTGTTGCATTCTACTTTGGTGCACGTTTCGGATTTGGTAAAAATGAGAGGTAAGATTCCTTTCTCTGGTCACTCTTCTGTGTTAATTTTCGCTTTCACACATGTATGGTAAAAGCTGCAGTGGCCATTATGATAGCTGCTGCCAATAGTAACAATTTTATGGTACACCTTTAAAACTAGTTATCTTGTTTCTGGGGATATATCATTTTTCGATCTTTTACTTTAATATAGAGAAATGATCCCACAAGTACTTAGCTGAATCAGTTAGTGAGATATATAAAATTTAAAAGGCACATGTGAGCCTCTAGTTCTTCTCTTGAATTCAAGTTTGTTGAACAGTCAAGGAAGAGTGTTTGCTTTCTGATACTTCACAGTCAAACAGTCTATAGTTGTCTTGTCTCTGAGCTTATTACTTTGTCTCAGGAAGAGGCTCTTCCAGATGATAAATGATCTCCCAACCATTTACGAGATTATAACTGGCAATGCAAAGCAATCCAAGGATCTGTCTGCTGCTAACCACAACAGTAGCAAAAGCAAATCCAGCAGTGGCAAGGTAGAATTTTTCTCCTCTTGTTCTGTCAGTCTATCAATCTCTGCAGGGTACTTGTTTCTGTTTTCTTATTCTTGATTTCTCGAATGCAGCCTCGTCACTCCGAATCTCACACTAAGGCTTCAAAGATGTCCCCACCACCAAGAGATGAAGATGAGAGCGGAGATGATGAGGAAGATGACGAGCAAGGTGCTGTTTGCGGTGCATGTGGAGACAACTACGGAGGAGATGAGTTCTGGATTTGCTGTGATGCTTGCGAGAAATGGTTCCATGGGAAGTGCGTGAAGATCACACCTGCAAAAGCTGAGCACATCAAGCATTACAAATGCCCGAGTTGCAGTACCAACAAGAAAATCAAAACTTGAAGGTTGATGATACATTAGGGACTGTGAAGGAAGGAGAAAGTTTTCACAGTTGAACGAAGCGACAGAAGAAGGGTTTTAGCTTGAGAGGAGAAGAAGGAAAAAGTCTCTTGATTGTGTAGTAGTCTTAATGGGATTGAGACAGCTTACAGTTAGTAATGTCTCTCTTCTTTTCTCTCTTTTTCTTTTTCTTTTTCGATTTTGCACTTTGCTGTTAATGTCAAAATGCTGCGACTAATTTGTCTTTATGTTTCTAAGAAAATTCTGTCTTTAAGCACTCTCTTAATTCTATGTCAACTAGTTTCTCCTTATTGGTTTTTTACTTATTTTACAACTTTGGTTCCTTGAAATTCATTAACCCACACCAATTAACCCCAGTAGAACATTACATTCGATGAGATTACAAATTCAGCATGATGAAATATCATATTATTTGTAATGGGGAGGGCTATTTCCATATTGAGACCGAGGTGGGTCCTAAAGCTTTGAAAGCTCATCTTCCTTCTTCCCTATCCCCAAAAGAAAGCTTTACCTTTTTGCCATTGTATAGCTAAAACCATACCACTTCCCAAGAAGATTACGACTATTCTCCCCTCTTTTATTTTATCATTTCACCACACAGAAAATTACAAAGAAGAGGAAAATGTTATCGAAGCTCCCTCAGCAGCAGCAACAACACCAACAACGCTCTCTCTCCTCCTCCTCCGCCATGGAAGTCGTCCGGCGCACACGTGGCAGGCCTCCAGGTTCCAAAAACAAACCAAAGGCACCACCTGTCTTGCTCACTCCGGAGGCTCCTGTTATGAGCCCTTACATCCTCCAAGTTCCCTCTGGAAACGACGTCGTCGAAGCCATCAACCGCTTCTGCCGCCGAAAAGCCATCGGCGTCTGCGTCCTCAGTGGCTCCGGCTCCGTGGCTAACGTCACCTTGCGTCAGCCTTCCCCAGCAGCTCCTGGCTCCACCATCACTTTCCACGGCAAGTTCGATCTCCTCTCCGTCTCCGCCGCTTTCCTCCCTCCTCCCGTCCCCAATTTCTTCACCGTCTCACTCGCCGGACCTCAGGGACAGATCATCGGTGGATTCGTCGCCGGTCCCCTCATTTCCGCCGGAACCGTCTACGTCATCGCCGCCAGTTTCAACAACCCTTCCTATCACCGGTTACCCGCGGAGGAAAGGCAAAGAAACTCCGAAGGGGAAAACCAGTCGCCGCCGGTCTCTGGAGGCGGTGGAGAGTCGATGTACAGTTGCCACATGGGTGGCTCTGATGCTCTTTGGGCCCCCACCGCCAGAGCTCCACCGCCATACTAACCAATCCTTCCATTGATGGGTTTCTGCTTCTTTCTCATCATCAAGAATCGAATCAACCCTTTGCTTCTTTTTTATCTTGTTAGATTTTTGTATCAGAACAATTGACACTCTCATATCTCTCACTCTTCAGTTTCGAGTTTCATATTGTAATTTGATTTGACGTATTAAAATAGTATTAGTACTATATGATTATCCATTGTGTTCTAAAGATTGACTTATTGCATTGTTTATTAGATCTTCAGGGGTTGGCTGTATAATAATGGTTTTATTCATTTTCTCCAATAAAGGACAACATCCCATGGTTTAGTGGTTTTAATTATTACATTAGTCGTAGATTAAACTAATGGCACATAAGAAGAGTCTTTTGTTGAGCACATCAAACAGTACAAAAAGACCCACTTATTTTGCAGTAACAAGAAGAAAATCAAAGATTCAAGGGTGTGTCAATAACAACATTTTAGAGACTGTGAAAGAGTTTTTTTCACAGATTAACTAAAACACACAGAACAAATGTTTTTAGTCTTTATTGGATTGAGATCTCTTAAGGTGTCAGCAATGGATGTGCTCTTACGTTAGGCTTTTTCCAGTGGCGTGCGAAGATAGCCCACAAGAGATAGACAGCAAAAAGCAGGAAAAAGGCGAAGGTCACGGAGAGAAACAGGATTGGGTTTGGTGAGATAACCGCCATGGATAAGGCGTAAGAGAGGCAAAGTGATATCCCAATCCAAAAGAACCATATCGTAAACAGTACCCCAAGTGGCAAGAGACAGAAGGTGAAGAAGAGAGCGCAGCTGAAGCCTCCAGTGTTGGTAACCCAAAGAAGGATGAAATACATTTGCTTCATCACCACGGAACCGGCATCGCCGTCGTTGGACTGGTGTACACCTCCTGGAGGCTGGAGTGCAGTCTGGTAAGTGGTTGTCAGTATCAAAGTGCATACGATCAGGAACACGCCACGAGCTTCATCTGATGTGTTTGACCTGTGGCGTCTCAGGACCGTGGAGCAGTATGTCCACAAAGTGATTGGCGATTTAAGCCGATGAGACATCGCCTTGGAGGGTTTTATTCGCACAGAAGCTGCCTCTTTACACCCTGCTTTCACAGCATCTCGTTCCAAACCCATGTCCCTTCCACTTCCGGCTCTCAAGATATCAAGACATGTTAACCCTTGTCCGTTTACTTTGTTCTGCTCCACCAACCGACATTCTAGTAACAGTCTTACCGCCTACACAAACAAAAACATTTTCGGAAAGAATCTTAATATTTAGTTTAGTAAATCTTATTCTAAAAGCAAGAATCAAAGTAAATGCCTGATGGTCATTCTTATATGCTGCAAGGTGCAAGGCCGTGTTGTAGCTGAGATCCTTTAGATTCAGGACACTGATCTCGGTCGAGTTTCTTGGGACCATCCTCTGGATCCATCCCGTGAGGATTTGGAGAAGTTCAAATCTATCATTCATCACAGCAAGGTGAAGAGCGTTATGGCCATTCACGCTCGCATCTTGGATACACTCAGGGGAACTTTCGAGGCACTCTAGCACAAGATCGACTTCCCCTCTTGACACTAGTGAAAGGAACGGCGTGGTGCCGTTTCTCCCTTTAACGCGGACAAGGTCGTGGTCAAGAGAGATCATGGTGGAGACAAACTCTGTGTGATTCTTGTCCACAGCGAGATGCAATGGGCTGTACCCGCTTTTGTTTAGCTTTCTTGCAAAAGAAGGCTTGAGATTCAGCATCTCCATGGCAAATTGTAGGTTTCCGGAAGCTGCAGCTACGTGGAGGGGAGTGTTCACAAATGGCACCGCATCGATGTTTTCAAGTACATATGGATTCTCATCGATAAGAGCATACAATTCATCGGTACTTCCAGATTTAGCAGCCTGTTCAAGTCTCGGATCCATTGAAAGAGAGTTAGTTTTTTTTGGGAAGAAACTCTGTGAGCAAGACAGAGTTTATAGTCGATAAAGTTTGAGCAAGAGGACAAATAGAAGCAAAGAACAAGGTTCTTTCTTTCTTTTTTTGTGTGGGGAATTTTAATTTTTCTGCAGATGCTGGTTTCCCATTGTTACCCCACAATGATAGAAACTGTCGAGCTTTAGCGTTTTAGGAGGGAGTTTCAAACCCAAACTTTAAAATCATTGAATTAAAGTGAACCTTCACCCATAATGAGTTGACAAAGTAAAAAAAGGTGAATTCTCTTATTGATTGGTGATTTGAAGAAACTTAATTTAACCAAACCCATTCACAACTATAATGACACTCATTGAACATACCAAGATTTTAATACTTGGAAGTTCCAAGTTGGAACATTACATTCTATGTTGAAGGGTTACACATCCTATGCATTTTCAAAGCCCTCTCTTCTGCCTATAGTAAGTTGTATTAAACCTTTCAAAGGGCTCATGTGCCACCATCCGATGCTTCCTCGTAACCAAAGCTCCCAACAAGATGTAGATTGCAAACAACACGAAGATAGCGAAGTTCAGGGAGATGAAGAAGAGAGGGCCTGACGAGTTAACCGCCATTGCAAGTGCATAAGAAACGCACAGAGATGTCGCAATGAGAAGGAACCCTGACGTAAACGCACGTCTGAGCGGTAAGAGACAAAAGGTGTTGAACAGAGCCCAGCAGAAGCCCAAGGTGTTGGAAAACCAAAGAAGGATGAAGAACGTATGTTTCATCCCCACGGAACCCGCTTTCGCATCCTCGGATTGGTGTCCGCCTCCTGGAGGCTGGAGCGCGGTCTGGTAAGTTGCTGTTATTATCAAAGTGTATACAATCAGGAAGGCTCCACGAGCTTCTTCTGAAGTGTTAGACCTTAGGCGTTTCGTGATCATGGTGCAGTATGTCCAGAAACTGATTGGTGATTTTAAAAAATCAGACATTGCCCTGGATCTTGGCATGGAAGCCGCCTCTTTACACCGGCTTTTTAGAACAACCTGTTCCAAATCCAAGTCCCAGTCACCTGCGTTCTGTCCCTGATCTCTTAGGATATCAAGGAATGTTAGATCCTCACCATTTACTGTGTTTCGCTCCACCAACCGACACTCTAGTAGCAGTCGAACCGCCTACACAAAATAGATCATTCTATTAGGAATCTCATATTAAAAAGAGTCTTATTGTATAATGATCATACTACACTCGATCCACTGTCACTTAATTTTGATATGGAAGCTCATAAACTTCACGCTTCTACATCTGGTATAAGAAAAAACGAGATGGAGAAAATAAAGCATGCCTGATGGTCATTCTTATATGCTGCAAGGTGCAAGGCCGTGTTGTAGCTGAAATCCTTTTTATTCAGAGCACTGATCTCGATCGTGAAAGCATTTCTTTGACTCATTCTCTGGATCCATCCGGTGAGGACTTGGAGAACTTCAAATCTATCATTCATCACAGCAAGGTGAAGAGCGTTATGGCCATTAACATTCACATCTTGGATACATTCAGAGCAAGACATGAGACACTCTGCCACAAGATTTACGTCTCCTCGTAACACTAGGAAAAGGAACGGCGTGATGTTATTTCTCCCTTTTACGAGAGCAAGTTCGTGATCAAGCCTGAGCATCCAGGAGACATAGTCTCTTTGATCCTCGTCCACAGCGAGATGCAATGGACTGTACCCGCTTGTGTTCAGCTTTCGGGCAAAAGAGGGCTTAAGATTGAGCACCTCCATGGCAAATTGTATGTTCCCGGCAGCTGCAGCTACATGGAGGGGAGTGTTGACAAATGGCACAGCATCAATGTTGTCAAGTATGTACGGATTCTCATCAATCAGAGCATACAACTCGTCGGTGCTTCCAGATTCAGCAGCTTCTTGAAGTCTCGGATCCATAGAAAGAGAGTTTTAGGCAGAAACTCAGTGATCAAGACAAAGGTTTAAATTAAACGACAAAGTTGAAAATGAGGACACAAGAAGTAGGAAAGAATGATTTTTATGGTTCTAAGGTGGGTGGAATTTTCTTATTTGCAGATGTTGGTGCCTCGTTACCCAATTAAGATCATATACATTCTCAAAACAAAAGAAGTGTTGAGCTTTGGTGTTTTCAGGAGGGAGCTTCGAAGCAAGAACCAGTGAATAAGAGAACCTCTACAAGGAATGAGTGATAAAACAAAAGGTGGAACTTTTAAAAGTGAATGCACTAACATGTAAAAAATAATAAAGAAAGACCCAGGAAATAACATGTAAACGTATTGGTTTTCCTTTACCGATCAGTTCAAGGATGTCTTATTCCCACACGATGTTCATATATGAGAGAGAGAAAACTACTAAAGTAATCAAGGCAAAGTGTGGGATTCTAGTAAGTTTATTAGTTTAAATTTCAGGTTCTATTCTTCCTTGGACTGGGTTGAAGATTCTAGTAGATGTTTTAAGGAATCATTTTTTAACTTTAATACTGAATCAAATTTAATAGACAAAACTCACCGAGTTAAGGCTGGCTCTGAAGAGCGTGCATCCATTGGCATTTTCTCAATTATTCTCTTTCCAATAAATCATCCATACAAGAATAGTGATCCGCCGATGGATTTCTTATTGATTCGAATATTCTCTGGCCTTCTTCGAGTAATCCTGAACGGCTGCAAGCTGTCAAGACACCAGTGTAAGTCACAGGGTCTGGCTCGATGCCTTCTTCTTTCATCCTTGAGAATAAATTCAGCGTTTCAGCTCCGTCTCCATTAGCTGCAAAAGCTGAGATTAACGTATTATAAGAGACAACATCTCTTTCATCCATTTCCTCCAAGACCCGTTTTGCTTCCCTCAGGTTTCCACATCTTGCATACATGAAGACCAAAGACCTGTGTCCCGAGACGCTAAGCTTGATCTGGTTCTGAGAAATGTAATTCACAATCCAATCACCTGATTCTAGATCATCCAAATGTCCGCAAGCCGAGAGAGCACTGATCATCGTCACTGCATCCGGTTTCGCATCTCCAGAACCAATCATCTCTCTGAAAAACTCAATGGCTAGTGTAGGTTGTCCGTTATGAGCAAACCCAGCTATCATCGAGTTCCAAGAAACGACATTCCGCTCAGGCATTGTATCAAAAAGCTCCCTAGCCGAACACAAATCTCCGGTTCTGATATATCCAGAGATCATAGCATTCCAAGTGACAAGACTCCTCTGCATACCTAGCTCGTTGAAAATTCTCCTAGCGGAGAGAATATCTCTGCACTTGGCAAACATATCAAGCAACGCCGTCTTCACAAAGCAATTCAAACGGACTCTCTGCTCATCGATCAGCTTTACTAGTGAGTGAGCGAGGGAAAGATCAGCACGGGAAGAACAAGCGGAGATAACAATGACCCATGTAGTCTCATTTGGCCTAACTCCAAGTCTCATCATATCGCTAAACAATCTCAGAGTTTCCTCTGTCAACCCGTTCTGGGCATAACCTGAAAGCATAGCATTCCAAGAGACAATGCTCTTCTCCGGCATCAGATCAAAATACCTCCTCCCATTTTCCAGATCCTTGAGCTTCGCAAATCCAGTAACCATTACAGTCCAAGAAACCACATCAATTTCATTCTCTGGCATCATATCAAACAACTTACAAGCTTCCTCCTTGTTTCCCCATTTCCAATACCCAGATATCATCACATTCCAATCAGAGCTCGTTCTCTGAGTAATTTGATCGAACAGTTTGCGTGCATTCTCCACTGACTCGTGCTTTGCATACATATCCATTATCACGCTCCGCACATAAGGGTCCCTAATAAATCCCAATTTCTCTACATGAGCATGAAACAACACACCGAGTTTTCCAGCCGATTTTATCACCACAGGGAAAGAGAAAGCGTCGGGCATAATCCCGCAACGCGACCTTTGCGCGTAGAGACGAAGAGCATCGTTCGCCATATCCATCTGCGAAAAGTATCTAAACATCAAATTGACGACGAAGACATTGGGGAATGCCACTGAACCGAAAACGAGCCGCGCGTAGTAAGGCGGCGCACGGAGGCGCGTGCATGAGCTGAGGAGACGCGAAGCCCAGTAGCTTTGTCGATGGAGGGAGTTGAAAACGATGAGATGAGCATGGATTTGGTTTAGCTGAGGGAATGTTAGAGCTTGTGAAGCTATGGCGGCAAAAGACGCAGTGATCTCTCGAGACATATATTCTTCAACGTTTTCGAATTCAGGGGGAAGAATTTTTAAACGTTGAACGGTTACATTATTGTCTCCACTTGATATAAGTGAAGTGAGTTGGGTCCTGAAAGCTCGTTTAGGCCCATTGGTTGCACAAAAGGCCCATCTTCTCTAACATCTGATTTTCTTTTCAAATCTTTTAAGGAAAAGAGAAATAATTAGTTATGCAAGCTACTTCTTCATTTCTTTGCTCTTACACTATCATCGTATTCAATGAAGAAGACCTTTTATCTTTAAGTAGACAATATAATCTGATAGAGGATGTAATGGAACTTTCAAGATTTTCTACAATTGAATATTTTAGTGTGAATTATGATCTAGTGTATCAGCATTAAGCATTGATGAATTGGGGTAATCACTAAAAACAAAACTTACGGACTCTCCTTCTAAGTTCTAATTACAAAAAAAATGGGAATAAGGTCGTCGACATGTTATATTATCCAAAATAACATTGAGACAAATGTTTACTAGTCCATTTATATGAGTAATAAATATTAATTTGAGGCTGAGTGCTATAAAAAAAACTCGGAAAAGGCGACAAAATAGTGGCATGTGCAGCATTTCACCGTTAATTTGTTTGTTGCATATCTGAATGATTACAATGCATTATTGAAAGAGAAACACAAAACAAGCAGACATGAGATTGTTCGTATGCACCTAAAATACATATTAACGCAATCGTAGAGAACAAAATCATTTGTTCGACATTTCAAACGGACCAAACAATAAAAACAGGTAAGGCCCGAGATCTAAAGAGCGTAGAGACATTTGTCAAGGCAAAGATCATGTTCTATGTTTTTTTGTTTATAAAACGCAACTAAGATGTTAGATGTATATGTGGTTTTACGATCAGGCTAAAGTGATTTATGTTTCGTACAATTACAACATATCTTTATCTAAAAGTATTAATAATTGGTCTCACATCGATAGACATGTAAATGTCAGAAATCTGAAAACACGTATAGTATTTGTTGACAAAATTAGACAATGTTTTGTTGATCAGTAAAGACCACGTCACGTTGCTAGAACAAATATTGGCCTTTAAAAGTAGATAATCATTTTCGGTACTATTCTATTCTTTCCCATTTTGAAATGAGAAAATTTTAAAGATATTTTCGATTGTCTTCTTGATATTTGAATGGGCTGAATAAACATTAATAGAAATTTCTTTTTTGTTAAGGGGTTTACATTAATAGAAATATTATACTATAAAAAAATGAACAGAGTTTATAACAGCTGATTTAGTTTTAATCAACCTACGTTATCATCATCGATTATAAACATTTATATATTTGATCCCGTGAAATTTGATAAAACAAGTAATTTTTTAGCTAAACATTTTTTTTAACAAAAGTTTAATTTTTTTGAGTTAAACATACCCCAAAAAAAGAAGTAATAGTGGATAAAATATTTGAAAAATGGAGCAAAGGGTCAACAAAACAGAAAGACAGAGAAGAAGCGTGAGAGGAGTGAGTGAGTGAGTGAGGATCGGATCTGACAAGCGCCCAGAAAAGGAGAATCCCGAGCGTCACCGCTCCTTCCGACCCAGTTTTCACTTTTCACATTTCTTTTCGCGTCCTTCTTCTTTTCTCCTTTATTTAATTTCAATAATATTTAAAAAGCAAAAAAAAAGAATCATGACCGTGATTTTTTTGAATTTCTCAACAATCCCTTTCTCCATATCTCTTCATTAACTCGCTTTCACTCTCATTGCTTCAGTTGCTTAAAGAGAGAGAGATTCGTTCTCTTCTATCAAAATCTTTGTTTTTGTAACGCCCGTGAAATTCCCGGCGTAATTGTGCTATATCCACAGAGAAGAGTAGACTAAGATTCCTTCAGTATCTTCTATATCTTCGTCGTTTTTGAGGTTTTCGATCGCAATGCGTCTGAAACCCCGAGGTCAAGAGTAGGAAGAAGACGAACACTAGTTCCTACCTGTCGGGGAAAATAATGTCGGGTCTAAGGATTTCGGATCCGAGCAAATTGCATCTGAAGAGGGAGCTTACTCAAATCAGGAAAGTTGCCAAGGGTTTACGCGATCCGGGAACCACTTCCTCGTGGAAGTCCCCTCTTACTTCATCGAGATCCGTCGCGGAGACGGTGGCGGAGCTGCCGGCGAGCAAGAGCGTCGACATTCTCGGCAACAATCAGCTGGATTCACAGTTGTCGAGTAGAGGCGTTGGGAACGGGAAGGAGAAGGAGAAGAAGGTGTTTCTGTGCAATTGGAAGACTCACAGAACTTCAAGCGACAAGAGTGGGTTTTCCAGGAACAGTGAGGGTGAAGATGGGACTTCGTGGATCCAAGGTAGCGTCAATGACGACGACGATGATGTGAGTGATGCGAGGAACGGTGGAGATTCGTTTCTTGGGGAAACCCGATCAGCTATTTTCAGGTGCAGAGACACGAATCTAGCGTCGCCGGGATTCTCGAAGATCAGAAAGAGCGGTTTTAGCAAGAAGAAGAGTAAGAGACTGGAGTTCTTGTCTCGGTATCATCAACCTAAACAAGCTATTCCCGGCGGAAGAAACTCTGCGAAATTCAGGAAGTTTCCAAGCAACCTTCACGCTGCATCAGGTTTAAGTGTAGTGAGAGATGAGTCTGGTGATCTATCTGACGAAACAGAGGAATTTAGCAACTCTGAAAATCGCCTGAAGATCGCTAAAGCAGCATCTCCTTTGCTTTTGAAACTCAAGCACAAGCACTGGTCACGCTCTTCATCAAAGTTTTTGAGAGCTACTGGTAAGAGAGAGGATTCTTCTCATACCTGTAACAGCACACCTGCATTGTCGACTAGCTCATACAGTATGTATGCTATACGTAATCCAAGCACTGCTGGATCTTGGGATGATGATGATGGTGATGATGATGAGTTAGATGATGATAACTTGGACTTTACAGGGAGGCAAGGCTGTGGGATTCCTTTTTACTGGACCAAGAGGAATCTGAAACATAGAGGTGGATGCAGGAGCTGCTGCTCGCCTTCGTTTTCTGATACTCTTAGGAAAACGGGAAGTAGCATTCTGTGTGGGAGTCAATCGGTGTATCGTAGGCATAGACATCCCTCAGGGAGATATAACAGTAAACAGAAACTCGCTTCGAGAAGTGCATTAGGTGTTTTGCCTCTGCTTAAATACGGTGGTGACAGTAGAGGAGGGTCGTCTATAGGGATTGTGTGTAGTGACGATGATCCTTCCACTGATCTCGGAGAGCTTGATTTGGAGGCTCGAAGTAGATTAGATGGGAGGAGATGGTCTACGAGTTGTACGAGCCTGGTTGGTTTGGAAACTGTAGATGGAGAAGAGGAAGAAGAAGAAGAAGAAGGAAGTACACCGGAAAATATCCAGAGCTTGAGCAAGAAGTACAAGCCAATGTTCTTTGATGAACTCATTGGGCAGAGTATTGTTGTTCAATCTCTAATGAACGCTGTGAAAAAGGATAAGATCGCTCATGTTTATCTTTTCCAAGGTCCTAGAGGAACTGGGAGGACATCTGCTGCGAGAATTTTCTCGGCCGCCCTGAACTGTGATGTGGCCACTGAGGAAATGAAACCTTGCGGGTACTGCAAAGAATGCAGTGGTTTCATGTTGGGGAAAAGTAGGGACTTGTTGGAGCTTGATGCTGCTAAGAAGAACGGAGCTGAGAAAGTTAGGTACCTTTTGAGAAAGCTGCTGACTTTGGCTCCACAGAGTTCGCCGAGATACAAGGTTTTTGTGGTAGACGAGTGTCACTTGTTGCCATCTAAGACTTGGCTATCTTTACTCAAGTTTCTTGAGAACCCTCTGCAGAAAGTCGTATTCATATGCATAACGACTGATCTTGGCAATGTTCCTCGGACCATTCAGTCAAGGTGCCAGAAGTACCTCTTCAACAAACTCAGAGATGGTGACATTGTTGTGAGACTGAGGAAAATTGCTTCAGATGAAAACCTCGATGTGGAATCTCAGGCTTTGAACCTGATCGCTTTGAATGCTGATGGCTCGCTTCGAGATGCTGAGACCATGTTGGATCAGCTGAGTTTGATGGGAAAACGAATCACCGTGGGTCTTGTAAATGAGCTAGTAAGTTTTTTGGTGTTTGTTCTATGTTTCCTTTCCTTTTGCATTGAGTAACATTAGACGAATCAGTAATGTAACATGTGACTGCTGGTGTTTGTGCAGGTAGGTGTTGTTTCAGATGATAAGTTGCTTGAGCTCTTGGAACTAGCATTGTCTTCTGACACAGCAGAGACCGTGAAGAAAGCTAGAGAGTTACTTGACTTAGGAGCTGACCCAATAGCCATGATGTCTCAACTGGCCAGTCTTATCATGGATATCATCGCTGGAGCGTACAAGGCCTTGGACGAAAAATACAGCGACGCCTTCCTTGATGGACGGAACTGTGAGTTTCTGGAGCTTTAAAGTCATTGGTTCTACTAATCTTGAATGAAACTGCAAAATAATTCAAATGCAAAAGCTCCTTTTTAGGTTCTCTTGCTCTAAAATGTTTTTATGGCTTATTGTCTGCGAGTTTCTCTTGACTGCTTCTCTTTGGCCAATCTTGTTCTTCTTTTTCTGTAGTGAGTGAAGCGGATATGGAGAGGCTAAAGCATGCTTTGAAGATTCTTTCTGAGGCTGAGAAGCAGCTTAGAGTTACTACTGATCGTTCAACATGGTTCATAGCTACCTTGCTGCAGCTTGGTTTGATGCCTTCTCCCGGAACCACACACACCGGTAGCAGTAGAAGGCAAGGCTCTAGAGCAACTGAAGAAACCCAGTCAAGCATTTCAAGAGAAGTTATTGCTTACAAACAGAGATCAGCCCTTCAATGTAGTACCTCAGTGTCCCCAGCTTCCATGAGAAGAGGCGGAAACACCGTTCATGAAGTGAAATCGTCAGACTCATCCCGCGAACTTTTAGAGAATGACGCTTCCATTTCATCGGATGGCGATACAACTGCAAGCACCATGACGCTTACTTGCAGAAATTCAGAGAAACTGAATGATATCTGGATGAAGTGTATAGATAGGTGCCATTCAAAGACATTGAAGCAGCTGCTGTATTCTCATGGGAAGCTATTATCTATCAGTGAAGTTGAAGGTAAGCGTAAAACTTCTCTTAATCACTTTACATTTGTTGAAGTTCAAGCAATTGAAATACTAAAGTAGGATGCTGTTTGCAGGTATTCTAGTTGCTTATATTGCATTTGGAGAAAGAGAGATCAAACTGAGAGCAGAGAGGTTCGTAAGCAGTATCACAAACTCGATTGAGACTGTACTACGGAGAAACGTAGAGGTGAAGATGATCCTCTTGTCTGAAACCGAGTTACTCAACTCCAAGCAGACAAGACAAACAGCAGTGGCTACTAGTTCAGATACTGAAAGTGGGCATGAGATTCCAATGAAAAGGATTGAAACGATCATCCAAGAACAGAGATTAGAAACTGAGTGGTTACAGAGGACTCCTGGTTCGCAAGGCCGGTTAATACCGGAAAGGAATCAAGTTTTACCTCAAGAAGACATCAATCATCATCACCAACCCAACAATGGAGTTAAAGTTTTGAAGATCCGTGAAATGGGTGAGCTTCAGGAGAATCAGACCGGTAAAAGAATGGAGCACTGTCCTGTTTCCCCGAGTTTACTCCACGATAGCAACTTCACAAACAACAAAGACAATCTGTAAGTAATCTTGATTCAGTAAAAGAAACACCGATACACATTTTCATAACAAACAACTTTTTTGTTTGGTTTGTGTAGAGGATATGAATCAGGATCAGGGAGAGGAGTTTGCAGTCTACTTTTCTGTTGGAACACACAAAAAACTCCAAGAAGAAGCAAGGTGAGTTCATCGAGGAAATGTCACTGTAATTAATGGAAAAAAAAAAAACATTTTTCCATTTTTAACGTTTTGGATCACATGAATGTAGATCAAAGGGACTTCCGTGCGATCACGAAGAAGTCGAAAGAGAAGATTCTCGTTATTCAGTGGATGTGCTAAAAAGTAAGAAAGGTTACCCATAGAAGAAGAAAAAACATTCAAATGCCAAGAAACTCTTCTCACTTCTCGAAGTTAGATTGTTCAGAAAAGTCACCGTAGTTTAATTTTTTACTGAATTTACTTTACTTTTTAATGAAGAAAATAGGGAAGTTACAGTAATTAAATGGTAAATTTGAATTTGATAGCAAATAATGATAGAGAAGATATGTAATTTTTTAAGAGTACTCAAATTTGATGCTACTGAATATGCTAAAAACAAATTTCTCTTTATTGCTCTTAGTTGTACCATCCATTACTGGTAATGTATTGGTTCAAAACAATTATGAGATATATTTTGTAATAAATTATTGCACTCGTGACTTTGTGGTTAATTTTGAAAATAAAACGTAAAATATTATTTTTACTGCAGGATTACATTTTGTTTATTACTGTTAATTACAAAAAAAGTACGAAATTTAAAGCCCAATATTTAAAATAAAGCCCATATAGTGTAGAAGCCCATAATTTGTCATAAAAAAAAGATGTCGAAGAGCGTACGGTCGCAGAAGATTAATTGAACACCTGAGAAAATGACGAAGCCTTTGGGTACTACCGGCGAATTTTTCCGGCGAAGAGATGAATGGAGGAAGCATCCGATGCTTTCGAACCAAATGAGACACGCTCTCCCCGGGCTTGGAATCGGCGTCGCCGCCTTCTGTGTCTACCTCGTCGGTGAGCAGATCTACAGCAAAGCGTTGGTTCCTTCAAAATCATCTCACCAACACCAGAAACAGCCTGCTCCGTCTCACTGAATAGCATCGATCTTCCTCGATCAGGTAAAACCTGATTTCTCTGCTAATCTTGTTGAATATTGAAGGGTACCAAACCAAATTACGTGTTGCTTAACTCGTTTTAGCCTGGAAACGTTATGAAATGTTTTTGTAAAGTAATCCTCTCTTCTTCTTTTTTTTCCATTGGCTATCTCTAAGATTTGGCATAGTTAACATCAGCTTACTTTAGTCAATTTGTCTTGAATCTTGATCATTATATATTTGTCTTACTTTGTTCTTGCATCACTAAAGTGGAGATGAAAAGAGCATTTAAAATGATAGCAAATGTTGAGCAAGTTCATATTTTTGAGGAAATTTTAGAAAATGTTGGTTTCAGGGAACAACATTTGCAATATGTTCAATCTTACCCCAAGTTCAGTGCTCTCTTCAAACGTGTCTCTTTCTTTCGAATGTGGCCTATAGATGTTAGAAAATGTAGGTTTCAGGTAATAGAATTTGCAATGTGCTCCTACATGCGTGACTGCGTCCTTTGTGTTGGCTTGTATAAACAAAAAGCTGAATGAAAATCTAAACTAACCCATAGGAGTTAAGGTTGAGTAGATAGTCAGAACAGTTCAAAATATCTATAAATTTATCATTTTTTGCTGGCAAGAGCACAGGCAATTGCTGCCTAAAGAGTAGTCAGTCGGTTTTCTGGTGTGTTATATGCGATCCATCGCCTCTGCTTCTGTTCTAAAGTGTAATCTGTATCAGATCTCTTACACTTGAAACTTGTTGTCTGATTGCAGATGCTTGAAACAGTGTGGCACAAGATGAACTCAAGGCTTCTTCTCGGTTACTAGCTTTCTTGGTTTCTCTTAATAATCTGCTTGAATTGGTCACAAAGAATTTGGTTTCTCTGTTGAATTATTTTAAAGCTTCTCTTTGTATCCAACAAAATTATGTTTCCTTTACGACTGACATTGAAAATTGCCTATCCATATTTGATTGTCTTTCCAAGTAGATACTCAGCTAAGACTGCGTCGTTTTGGCAGTAGAGAATCCTAACTGGGCTTGGACGTGAAATAATGGGCCTAGAATGTTTAGCAATGCTTCGAGTCGGATATTAAAGGGATGTTTGTGAAATATTTATGAGAGAAATGATCCGCATCTTTTGGAAAATAGTATTTCAAGTAAAGTGAGTGATGGATATGTCGTTGCAGTATAGTCAGAAACTAATATACAATTATTTTCGATTATTATAATGCTTTAACTTTTATCCTTTAGTTTAGAAAATTATATATATTAAGGTACGGTTTGTATTTTCTTACACGCTACGTCCATTTCATCTGCCATATAACTGTACGTTGGGAATATATATTAATTTACAAATAGAAAAGTGAATCAAACATGCAATAATACATGTTTGAGGAGAAATCAGATGTCAGCAAACTGATTGCACGTATAACCCATAATAGTGTTAAAAAAATCCCGAACTCGTGCACTTGCTTTGTGGGAAAGTTTGTCGATAATAAGGGAAAATGATTTTCTTGAAGAAAAACATTAACCAGAAAAATTCTCAGACTGTTTTTCTTTTCTGTGAAAGTTTTCATATACTAGAAAGGTTCCAAAACAAAAAAAAATATTATACTGATTTCGTGCTGTGCTCTTTGGTATTTTAAAAATGAAACAAAGAAGAAAAAATAACAACAAAAGTATTGTTATCCTTTTTTATGCATTAGATCTTAAAATATGTCATTTCTGTTTTTTTCAAGATAATAATCCCTTTTTCAAATAAAAGTTTTGTTTTAAAAAGATGAAGATTCTTTGTAAATTCGAATGGAACTGCGTTTGATGGGTACGTAATTTGGAATTAAGAACAAAGACGATAAAAAAGGAAAATTCTTTGGGTTTTTAGTCTTTTAGAGAACCAATATTTCCTTCGTGTAAAAAAAAAAAAAAAAGATAACCAAAATATTCCTCCACTATATTAAATAAGACATGAACTATTTTCCGAGTTTCTGAATTAGATTATTTACAGCAAATGGGCGAAGAGCTGGTCCATGGATTGGTCCCCAGTTCGTCTGTTGCACCGTTTCTAGTATACATAATTAAATGTGTGCTTTTTATGAATTTGTATTAATAAAATATACACATATGACAATAATACGAATATAGATTCGCGCTTATTAACATAATTGTATGTATTGTAGTCTGTAGACCAACTGACCAAGCAATTAAGGCATATAACTCTAGGTTTTTATATCCATTATTATCTGTATATAATGATAAATTACTGATTGGATATATTAAGCTGATTACTAGCTGTTTTAGATCAAATACGCCGATTAATTTATAGATCTTTTAAAATATGTCTTATGATTAAGTGTAAAAAGCAAAAAAACAAAGGAAAACTAAAATGTTATTTGCGAATGAAGGAAAATAGATAACTGTGGCATATATAAACTGAACTTTAACTAAATTTGCAAGGAAAAAGCAGGGAATGTCAAGATTCAAAGCAAGGTTACTTTAAAACAATTCTATATATATATTCAATTTTTCAAGATAAAATCATGATATACAAGGTGCTGGACCTGGTCATGACTGCAAGACACATGTTACATGTATATATATGTGTGTGTGATAAATATACTAGCAGAAAACAATATCCCCGAAAATATATGCAACGCTTGGAAATCAATAAATCATGTATTAATCGTATATTAATTTAAAAATGGAAAATATGATAATGATCTTGTATTAATTTATATAGTTTTCAGGAAATGATGTGGTGAAAATCACCATTTTCTTATGGAAACTCTTTCTTGTAGGAGTAATTTTTTTATATATAACTTGACTTTATAAATCTGAAGTCATATAGAAATGCTATATAAGGGTCAATTTTAATTTTGAAAAAAATATATGAGAAAGTTGCATATATAGGTTTTCAATTTCATCGGATAGAAAAAAAGTTTCAAAGTTCATAACTTTCCGTATACCGTTTAGTTATAGGTGAATTCCCAAAAAACTGATTACTCTTTCTGTTTCAAAATAAGTATTATTTTGACATTTTTCACATAAATTAAGAAAATGATTAAAAATTCTGTTTTGCTCTTTGTTCACACATAAAATAACATTCTTTTTCTAATTAAAACAATAAAATTCAAATGTTAAAACTGAATATTTATTTAAAATTATGCATTAAAAATATAAAATAACATTTTTTATGAAACAAAAAAATAGAATAACACTTATTTTAAAACGGAAGGAGTAAAATTTAACTAAACATGAATTTACCTTTCATTGGATTGAAGTGGTGTGGGGCTTTTGAATCTCATGCCAAAAGGAATTAAAAGAATAAAGTAAGTTTAGAAAACAAAGAAAAATAAAGAGACAGAATGTTCCCAACGGCTGGATTTTTTATGCCTAATAATGTCGAATTTTTATAAATATAATCTTATTATATATAGTGTATAAAATCTAAACCATGTAAAATGCCTCGAAATTGTGTATATAAATAAATTAAAATAGAAATTCAATAGTGTATCTGAAAACAAATAAGAACCCAATTCTTATAACTGCTGTAAAACCTGGAAATATCCCATTGTAAATGAAGTTATATCATGAAAATAATATATAATCAGATATGATGCAGATTTAACGACAAATACTAAAACATAATTAACTGCTTGTAAATCAGTTACAAATTTGTAAAATATGAAACATTATAGATCAATGATGACAAATATATCACAAAATTTAGCTAGAATATTTATTATAAAATCATAATTAAAGTATAACAAATTTTTTAGCTGTCAACGAAAATATAAAATTAATCTTTATAATCTACTGAATCTCGGCATCTCCAAATATATATTTACTTTTTTATTTAATTTTATATATTGGAATCAGTTTAAAACGAAAATATAAACTAATCTTTATAATCTACTAAATTTCGGGTCTTTTGTCACTCAATTCTTGCATTTGCTAGCTGTCATTAACATTTATCTCTTTTATGTGTTTAAAATTCACTATTGTATGTCGTGGGAGAAGTTTTGTAACTGAATTCACAGGTCGACTGAAGAATATACTCGTAGAAAGTGATATAATTATATGAAATATAGTGACATACATAAAATGGATAAAATGTGTTTCCAGACTTTGAAATTAATCCAAATGGTGTGTTAGGAAAGCAAGGAACACATGCAAGAATTGAGGAAGAGTATGAGTAAATTGTGAAATTTAAGATTCGTTTTTCTGTTGCTTTTAAGTTAAATGCTTGTTGCCACATATATATAATGATGAAATTTAAGAAAAAGAAAAAAATTGTATTGCAAAAAATGGAATACGTAAAAATATATTGAATGTTTTCATATCTTCGTTTTATATGCAAAATGCAAACTAAATGATATATATAAAAAGTCATATAATCATCAACTAATGTATGGAATCAAGAAATTTAACAGTTAAATTTAATACCTTTATAATCTTATAAAAATATAGCAAATGATATTGTTATCATAATTTTATTATTATAATCAATCCTAAAATTAACTCATTATTATTTGTCAAAGTATGATTTGAATCTTTATTTTGATTAGCTTCATAAAAGGAAATAAGCTTTAATTGACCAATATGAATAACTAAAAAGAAATAACCAACTCATTTGCACGCTTGTCACTGAAAAAATAAAATTATGGTTTATTTGTTCACTGTGACTTCAAAAGAGAAAGAAAAATCGAGAGGGGTTTAAATTCTACTTTAATAAAGTATTAAGTGCTCAGATGTATTATTAGTAAAATATAAATAGGTAATTTATAATATAATGCAAATAATAATAAATCAATATAGTATAGTATATATAATGTCTTCAGTTATTTTGAAGCACTTACAAAAATTTAAATTGTCCTAACAAAGTAAAAATACATTTTATAATCTTGTGTTTTACTTTGATAATAGGAAAAAAAGGTACAAATAAATAAGCAGGAGACAGATATATAAGATATATAAAAAATATAGAAAATATATACAAAAGTGTGACTCCATAAGTATAAAAGGGGAACGAGTAAATACGAACATCTTGAAAATTGTGAGCAGTTTTGGACCATCGACCTAACGTCATTTATTTTTGTGGACCCTTTTTATTTTGTTACAATAAAAAAAATATACTGTTAGAAGTTAAAACTATTCCAAGTTGTTTTTTTTTTTTTTATAAAAAGGGCATACTATTCCAAGTTTTGAATTCAGCCTTTGTATGCCAGACCGAGTGATCCTCAACCGAAAAAATTTAGAGTTTAGACATTAGCTATTCGTAATTTAGAAAAAAGGTTGAGAAAATATACGGACGATAAAAAGAAAAGGGGGTATATAAAAATAAAAGATAAAGTATCTTAAAAATGTGATCTGATATAGTAAAGAATAAAAACCATACGGATATATATAAATATCAAAATGATTGATTCAGCGATATGTTAAAAATTTATGTTCATTAAACGAATGTAATTTTAAATTGAAGTAGCTGTTGCATGATTACTACTGCTAAGAGCAGTAAGTCTGAAATGGTAGGCAAGATTTTCCATTTTACCACGACTTCCTATGTTTAGTCAAACGAAACGAACATTTCGATATTTTGGCCATGCTTCCTAATTTACTGCGAGGGTATATAATTATAATTAGTGGTAAGTATACTGTAATTCTTTTTTTACATCACTACTGCAATTTCATAAATATTTATTTGGTTCAGTGGTTGGATATATGATTGTAATCTCCAACTATATAAAAGATCACAGAAATATATTTACAAATTAGGAAGAACACTAATAACTTGTTTGTCATGTGAATTGAATAGTTTACTATGGTTCGATATGTGGTGTATGTTGATTTGAATAGTTCACCGTAGTCTCGAACTTCGTGCGAATGTGTGAAACATCACATATCGTCATTTAGATAAAAAAGCATTTGTGTATATTTTAAGAAAACTTATCAAATATAATATACCATCCAATAACAGTACTTTCTCACTGAGTAAAAAAAAAATTCAAGTTAGTATATACTAAATCCAATAAATT